GGCGAACTCGCCTCCACGGTCAGAGTGGAGACACAATACGGGGAGACCGCGGTGAAGACGCGCAGCCACAACAGACGGGAGATGAACGTCAGGCACGTCGGCCTTCCGCTCCAGGGGAAACACAGTGGTGTAGTGCGTGTAGTCGTCGACGAGCACAAGAAAGTAGCGCTCACCACGCGGTCCTGGGACGGGGGCTGGGCCCCAAACGTCGAGGTGCAGGGTCTGAAGGGGAGCAGTAGCAGGGCGATGCGAGGAGGAGTGAGGGGCACGGCGGAGCCGGCCCTCGACGCAAGGCGTGTACGGTGGAGCAGGCGAGGGGGGAAGCGCGGGGAGCGACGCGGGGAGGCCTAAGACAAGTCCGTGCTGGGACATGTGACGCAGACGCGGGAGAGTAGGGTGACCTAAGCGGTGGTGCCACAGAAGGGACGGGTGAGTGAGGGACCAACACGAGCAAGCTGCAGCGACCTGGGAGGACGCACCAACCGGGTGGGAAGCGGTGTCAAGGGTAAACAGACCGGACACCAGGTTCCGGGGGAACGTCACAAGAGGGGAACCTGAGACAGCCTCGGTACAGACAGCGAACCGCTCGTGCCCTGGGAACGTAGTGGTGGCGCCGAGGTCCTGAAGACGGCCGACACCAACCAGGTTCCTAGAGAACGAGGGAACGTGGAGGCCTATAAGGGAGCCCGAGGGAACGGCTGGACAGGGAAGGGAAGTGGAGCTGCGAGCGACGACAGGACCCGCAGAGGGGTCAGCGAGAGCAACAACAGCAGGCGCGGCAAGCATCGTGAGCGTGGAGCGGTCGCGGAAGAAGCAGGCGGAAGCACCGGAGTCGAGAGTGAAGGACAGTGAGGCAGTGGCGGAGGCCGGGAACAGAGCCGGAGCCGGAACGAGGCTAGTCAAACTAGGCAGTCCTACACCTGACGCAGCAGGGGAGGCTAAGCTACACAAGGGTGCTACACCTAAACTAGAGTACACAGGGTAATAAGATCCAGCAACACTAGAAGCGTTAGCATACAAGGCATGCAAAGCAGCACCTATCTGATCCATATCTAACTCAAAGATCGGCACACCCTGGCGAAGCAGGCTGTGCCAGTCGGGGAGGTCCGGGGCCGGGCCAAAGCAACGACGAAAGAGATCGTCGAGGCGGTGGAAACAGCAGGCGGTCGGGTGCGGGCGGCGGCACAGAGTGCCGCGGAGAGGTCCGGTCTGAAGCTGGTACTGGCAGGTCGCACCTCCGGAGCTGCCTGTAGACGCCAAGCTGCGCGGGCCGCCACCACGGCCACCACCTACGGAGGTGCCGGGCCAATCCGGCGAGGGCTGAGACAGCTGCTGCGACGACTGCGACTGCTGCGACGGCTGCTGCGGCTGCTCCTGCTGCTGGGGCGACGGCTGCTGCTCCTGACTAGCTGCGGCAGTCCCCTCAGTAGAACCACTGTCCCCAGCACCACCACCACGACCAGCTCCACCACCACGCCCTCCCTGGCGGCCACGGCCAGCGCGACGCGGGGGCTGCTGCGGGTGGACCGCAGCTGCAGTCTCGGTCAGAGGGGTCGAAACGTCAGTAAACGTGCACTGGGAGGGGGCGCAGCCGTGAAAGATAGAGACTGGCGGCGCACCGCTCGACTGAGCGATAGTGCGCTGGCGAGTCTCGATCTCGGTCAGGGCAGTGACAAAGGCCGTAAGGGTGAGATGACCAGGGTGCTGGCTAAGTATGTGGCCGCGTGCACTAGCAAGGCGGTCAGGCAGGCGCATAGCGATAAAGTAGAGGGTCATCCAGAAGGGGGAAGGGAGCGCAGTGAGCTGGGCAGCAGTGCTAGCAGTGCGGTAGCGAGACTCTAGGGCGTGCAGGTGAGTGGCAAGGTCAGCAACAGTAGGGAAGGAAGCAAGGTCTGGGAAAAGCATAGGGAAAAGCAGGCGGCCTGTAGTAGCGGAGGCAGGCGTGGAATAGCGAGCAACAACAGCATCTAGGTAAGCCTTGGCGGTATCAACTGTAGCAAAACGCGAACGCTCAGACACAGGGAGGGCGTTACTGATAGCGACCTGAGCAACTGCATCGCGAGAGTCCCAGACGGCACAGGAAAGTGCAGCAGCAGAGAAAGTCTCACGCTCAGCAGAGGTGGGATCAGCAGGGAGGGGAGCAGGCTCAGGGGGCGGGGGAGCAAGCCATCAGCATGGACAACCAAGGAGTGCCCATCCTGGCGCTGACCTGTGAGTTGACGGCGGAGGCTGGACAGCCAGGCGGCGAAGTCAACCGCGTGGCCCTCAGCGTCTAGGCGGAGGACGAAGTCAGCCATCGTGCAGGGTCAGCGACACAGGGACACAGCAGCACAGCTCCAGGAGGACGTCCGCAAGACGCTCCAGCGCGGGCAAGCAGAAGTCACGGGGCCGGAGAGTCGAGGAACCGTGCCGAGCAGAAGACACGGGGCCGCAGGAGCCGGGCGTGCACTGGAAGCTGCGGGCCGCAGGAGCTGGGCAGGCGTGTCGGGGCCGGGCTGGCGCTAGGAGGGGCCGGGTAGGCGCTATGAGGCGGGGCCGGGCTGGCGCTAGGAGGGGCCAGGCAGCGCCAGGAGGGGCCGGGCGGGCGCTAGGAGGGGTCGGGCAGGCGCTAGGACGGGCCGGGTGGGCGCTAGGACGGGCCGGGAGGCGCAGGGGCCGGCCAGGCGAGCGCTAGGAGGGGCCGGGCAGCGCTAGGACCGGCCGGGCGGGCGCTAGGAGGGGCCGGGCAGTCGCTAGGAGAGGCCGGGCGGGCGCTAGGAGGGGCCGGGCAGGTGCTGTGGGACGGGCGGGCGCAACTGGCCGGGCGGGCGCTAGGAGGGGCCGGGCGGGCGCTAGGAGGGGCGAGCGGGCACTAGGAGGGGTCGGGCGGGCGCTATGGGCCAGGGTGGCGCGGAGGGGCCAGGCGGGCGCGACGGGACCAGGCGGGTGCGACGGGGCCAGGCGGGTGCGACGGGGCCAGGCGGGTGCTACGGGCCGGGCGGGCGCCTGGGGCCAGGGTGGCGCGGAGGGGCCAGGCGGGCGCGACGGGGCCAGGCGGGTGCGACGGGGCCAGGCGGGTGTTACGGACCGGGCGGGCGCTAGGGGCCAGGGTGGCGCGGAGGTGCCAGGCGGGTGCGACGGGGCCAGGCGGGCGCTTAAGGGCCGGGCGGGCGCTAGGGGCCAGGTGGGCGCGACGGGGCCAGGCGGGTGCGTAAGGGCCGGCGGGCGCGACGGGCCGGGCGGGCGCTACGGGTCGGGCGGGCGCTACGGGCCGGACGGGCGCGAGGTCTAGGTTGGGGGGGGGGGTAGGCTAGGGCGCGGGCGGAAGCGTGCGGTTGGACCTAACCTACTCGTGATACCATGTTAGAATGCAAGAATAATTGACTAGTGTGAGAAACCTAGAACATATACCTGTTGGGGTTGTACTCACTAGAAGCACACACCTAGGCTAGCCTATAACTTCTACATACAGCATATGTATAAGTTGACAACAATGTCAGCATGCACGTGGTTAGTTTGTCGTGATCTATCCGAGGTTCGTTTGCCGTTAGCTACTGTGGCGTCCATTGACACTGTATGTCCCCTCCTTGTTCCGTGGGACGGTCAGGGCTAGCGAATCGGGTCTCGGAGATTCACAAGCCCCATCACTCAGACCTTTTCCGGTAGGGCAGGATATGGCAAGACGAGAGAGAGCGAAGGGCTGGATGGATTCATTCAAAGACCCTCGAAGGGTCGGAGACCCGCTGGGGTTGCCCTTGAGATCCTCGGGGAAGGGTTACAAGTGCAGAACCTAGGGGGTTATGGGTGCACTTACCCGTTACTTAACAAGCCCTTTTAACTCAGTGGTTAGTGATTGAGTTTCTAGCATGATGTCATAGCCATAGGGGCTGGTTCAAATCCCAATGTGTGCACTGGTAGGAGTGACAGTGCACCAGGAGAGGCGTAAGGTCTTCCGCCTAGCCCAGTGAGAGGGGGTGTCAGAGACCCGGTGGGGTTGCCCTTGAGATCCTTGGGGGAAGGGCCACAGGTGCAGAACCTGGGGGGTTATGGGCGCACTTACCTGCTACTTAACAAGCCCTTTTAACTCAGTGGTTAGTGGCTGAGTTTCTAACAGACCCCCCGTGAATTTCCGAAATGTTCAGTTGAGCGGCGAGAACAGGCCCCCCCTGTCCGGCACGCCCTATTCATGCCCTCTTCGAAACTCCCGCCAGCGCCATGGACGACTACCGTATTAGCCCGGATAGAAGACTCATGGGTCTTATCACATACCGTTTGGAAATAGTCAAAAGGGTCTTATAAACGGGAAAAAAAAAGGTGGAAGTGGGTCTTATAAATGGAACCATCGTAACTTCACAGGAAAACACCAGGGGTAGTTACACCAGACTTCTGGCAAGCGTTTTCATAGAGAAGGCGTCACAAAGGGGGCGACTTTTTTGGCGGCAACAATGACAGCATGCACGAGTAAAGCAGCAAGGGAGGAACGAGGGTGTGGAGTGCGACCATCCCAGCCGTCGATCAAGCTGTGATTTCAGTACCATGGAGACATTCGAGGATCACTTGTCAGAAACACTTGTCACGAGCTAGGTACACCTGTCACAAGCCGCGTCAGAAACACATGTTTCCAGCCTAGCACATCGCCAACTGGACAATCGGCACGACAAATCCTCGTCGAAATTTCTCCCAATACATGAGACAACATAGAAGTTACAATATGATAAAAAAATGGAATTGACATAAAAAATGTCATAAACGTTAATGGGGTGGGGGGATATAAATTATTCGAATAAACGACCCCCCTCCCCTATAGGGGCGCTTATCTGGGGGAATTTGGTAAACAAGAAAAAAAACAGGCAAGGGGAGGGGGGGTCTTATCTCATACCGCCCAGGGGGTGTCTTATAAACGGGAAGCCCAAAAACAAGATAGACGCCTCATATAAGACCCTGGGTCTTCTATTACTAGGGGGTCTTCTATCCGGGCTATTACGGTACTAAATGTGACGAGGGATTGTGGCCCTTCTTGAGAAATAGTATCCATGTTATTAAATGCGCGACGGTAATAAATGAAGGTGTCTGAATCAACACAGATTTGTCCAAATTGCTTACAGTACTACCATGGATAAGAACCAATCATAAGCCCTCCATAGAGTTAAGTGCTAAGATGGCTTCACCAAAAGAAGGAACCAAACCGATGCAATGCACCTCATGACGGGATGTCGTAAACAGAGACCCTCTTGGAGGTGTCTGCAACAAAGAGCTTTCGACCGCGCACGCCAGACGAAGTGGTAAGGAAATTCACCTGGCACATACAACCGTACAACACGACAATCAAGGAGACAGAACAGGGACGCCAAGAAAGGATGTCAGAAACGATTTCGAAACGGCAGCTTAGAAACTAGAAACCGAGGAACAATCACACACAGCGTTAGAGATACCCAGCAAACCATCCGCTTGTGTTTGTATCATCCCCGCATCGCTCCCCTGCCCCATCTGTCACTCTCACCTTCCGCCTGTGCTGTATCCGCATGATTGGTCCTAAGGCACCCCTCCCACCAGTCCCTTTCTGCCCTTCATAGCCTTGAGGCACCTTAAAATCGGGCCCCATCTGTCGCTCTCACCTTCCACCCGTGCTGTATCCGCAGGATTGGACCGAAGGCTCCCACATCTGCCACCTTCCTTGCTCACCGCCAGGATCACTGCTGCCCGATTCATCATCACCAGCTTTTGAGTTGACTCAAGAGCAGACTCACCTTCCGCCCGTGCTGTATCCGCAGGATTGGACCGAAGGCTCCCGCACCTGCCACTTTCTGCGCTTCACCGCCGAGATGGCTGCTGCTGGATTCACTATCACCCGCTTCCGCACCACCCCCCTCTCTTGCTTCAGACGAAAGGGAAAACGACGAGGAAGAGGAGGAGGAGGAGGAAGTGGAGAGGGCCTGAGTGACATCCCAGAGTAGGACGAGCCGGTCGTTGCCACCAGAGGCGAGGAGCGGTGAGATGGGAGGGGCAAAGCGGCAGAATGTGCTGAGGGAAGAGTAAAGGGGGGGAGGGGGGGGAGGCAGGGACAGATAGAGGAGGGAAGGAGGGGAATGGGAAGAGGCAACATAACAGTGCGAGGCAGTTGGTGCAGGGATGGAGAGGGGAGGAGAGAGGGGCAACGCGGCAAAAGGCGCAAGGGGTGAGGTGGGGGAGGGGGAGGACGGGGAAATGGGAAAAGGGGGGAGAGGAGGGGAGAGAGGGGGGGGGGGGGGAGGGGAGGTTGGGCTTGGGATTGTGGGGAAGAGGGAAGAGAGGGGATCATGAGCACAGGTTTAAATGAGACGGTCTTAGAGACATGTCAAAGAGAAGAGGGGCGAAATCACTCACACAGCAGACACTGACGCGCAATGGCCTCTCATCCCTCCCTCTCTTGCTGCCATGCGCCCACCAAACACCAGGAGCTGTGGCCCGCTCCGCTTCTCCCTCTCCTCCTCCCTTCCCCCCCTCTCCTCTTGACTCCCCTCTGCCCCACCTGCATCCCCATTACAAGCATCCTCGCTACTCAATTCAGAATCTTCTGCAATGGTCGCAGGAACAGAAGTGCTGATACTTGCTCCCCTAACTGTTGCACTAGGCACCTGCCCCCTCCCCTGCCTTCCCCCTCCTTGTCCCCCTCTCCCCCCTCTCCTCTCTCTTCCCTTCCCCTCCCCTCCCCCCACTCCTCCTCCTCTCCTCTTGCCCACCTCCTCCCCTCCTCCCCCCTTCCCCTTCCAAGTCAGCATCAGCATCCCACACTGCTACAGTGCCATCGCCCTGCGCCACAGCCAATAGCGTCATGCCACGTGTCCTCCAAGAATCACCAGCAGCAGTGGCGGCGGCGGCAGCAGCAGGGGCGGTGCTGGCGGCAGTGGAGGGAATGGTGGTGGTGGTGGTGGTGGTGGTGGTGCTATTTTCAGCAACACAAGAAGCCTTCACAGGAGGCATGTGGTGGACAGATAGTGAGTGGATGAAAGGAGGGTTGCACATACGAGAAGAGGAGGCGAGAGAGGAAGAGGAGGACGAGGAGGGTGCGCCAGCGGAGGGTGCACTGGGGGAGGTGGTATCTGCTGACAGGTTGAATGAGCGAAGGGGGCGGCCAGAGGCAAAGTCCCATTGAGCCCAGCAACAGTCAAGACCAGCAGAGAACACTGGGGGGGGGGAGGGGGGGGGGGGGGGGGGTTGTTTGGAAGGAAGTACGAGGGGAGAGGGTTTTAGGGGGGAGAATGACAGAGAGGAGAGACGGCTACTCTTCCCTTGGAAAACCAACTCAAAGAAGAGCCGCAAAGCCGAAACAGTGAACCAGTTATAGAATCCAAGCGTGAGTCTATTTTTTAGGCGCCTAAAAGCTGGAACCTACCCTAGTCCTAAAAAAACAACTCAAAACGAGCTGCGAAGCTGAAACAGTGAACCCTACCCTAGTCCTCACATTGCCATGGCTGCTTGGGGTGGAACAGAACGGAGCTGCATATCTGCCAGGGGAATGTGCATGCATGGCGTGAAGGGCACAGGGGGACGAAGGGAGGAACAGGGGAATAGTAGAAGGGGAGGGCAGGGAAGGGCAGGGGAGGGCATGGGAGGGCAGGGGAGGGCAGGGGAGGGCAGGGGAGGGCAGGGAAGGGCAGGGGAGGGCAGGGAAGGGCAGGAGAGGGCAGGGAGGGCAGGGGAGGGCAGGGGAGGGCAGGGGAGGGCAGGGAGGGCAGGGGAGGGCAGGGGAGGGCAGGGGAGGGCAGGGGAGGGCAGGGGAGGGCAGGGGAGGGCAGGGGAGGGCAGGGGAGGGCAGGGGAGGGCAGGGGAGGGCAGGGGAGGGCAGGGGAGGGCAGGGGAGGGCAGGGGAGGGGAGGGGAGGGGAGGGGAGGGGAGGGGAGGGGAGGGAGGGGAGGGGAGGGAGGGGAGGGGAGGGGAGGGGAGGGGAGGGGAGGGGCAGAAGAAGGAATAAGCAGTGAAAAGCGGAGCAGAGAGTGGGTGGAACGGAACTGAATGGAGCTGCAGATCTACTACCAGGGGGGCATGCATGTATGGGTGAAAGGCACAGGCAGAAGCAGGGGATAGGGGGAAGCCGGGGATAGGGGGAAGCCGGGGATAGGGGGAAGCCGGGGATAGGGGGAAGCCGGGGATAGGGGGAAGCCGGGGATGGGGGGAAGCGAGGAGCAGGGAATAGGGGACAAAGGGAGCAGCAGGAAAAAGCAGTGGAAAGCGGAGGAGAGAGAGGGTGGAGCTGTAGAGAGGGGGCAGGAGGGAGCTGGCAGTAAACAACTGAAGGCGACATGAAGGAACAAAAACGGAGGCAAAAAACAGAGGCAAAAAACAGAGGCAAAAAACAGAGGCAAAAAACAGAGGCAAAAAACAGAGGCAAAAAACGGAGGCAAAAAACAGAGGCAAAAAACAGCGGAGCAGAAACAAGCAGAGAGTAGTGCGCACAAGCCAGGAAGGATCATGGAGTACCCTCACCTCAGGGCTTGCTTACCGAGCTATGCACGCCCCTGAGAGTTCGGTGCAGCGAGTGGTTGACCAGGCTGACGACCTGACGGTATGTGCAATGGTGGGCATATCGTAGGGGCCACGGAGGGGTTGCGTGTGTGATGAGTCTATTTTTGAGTCGACTAAAAAACAGACTCATAACACACCTGATGGCATGGGCAATGGTGGGCATAGCATAGTGGCCACGGAGGGATGCGGAGGAAAGAGATGCGCAAGAGATCACTGGAGACAGTGGCTGGCAAGACTACCTCGGGGTCATTCGGGCAGTCAGAAATAAAAAAACAGGGTCCTGGTTAGGTTCCTCCACCACTCGCACACACACACACCTTGACTTGCCCTGAATCGTCAGCTGCTGCCAGGAAATCACCCTTACGATCCACTGCCAGCTGGTGGAGTGCGGTGGAGAGGGGTTCAGAGGCACAGAAATGATTTGATGAATAGAATAGGCAATTCGACAGTGAGAAACAAAGAGCCACCAAGGTGAACCTTGCAAAAGAAGGGGTGTAAGTTGAAGTAACTGAACTGGCCACAGAGGCATTACTTAAATTGACAGACCGCATGCACATTGGGGGAAGGGAGGGACGGCTGGTGGGGGAGGAGGGTGGGGAGGGGACTGGGGGAAATGGCAGCAAGGGAGAGTGAGAAGGAGTGAGAAAGGAAGGGGAGGGGGCGACAGGGAATGGAGGCATGGGAAAAAGAACCCCAAGAGAGAGAGTGTGTAAGGAACTAGACTCACAGCGTTGATCTCATCAGCATTAAACGACAGCCGTCGGATTATGGCCTCTGATCCATCTGACGATCCCCCTGCCTGACAACATGCCTCACCTCATGCCATGCCATGCCATGCCGTGCCATGCCATGCCATGCCATGCCACGCCACGCCATGCCATGCCATGCCGTGCCATGCTATGCCATGCCATGCCATGCCAGACACACCCATGTCATACCAAGCCATTCCCATGAATGTCATCCCATCCCATGTACACCCATTCCATAGCATAGCATGCCATTACATGCAACACCAGGACTAGAAAGTGAACATCGTAGGCCATGTGATGCCATGGCATGTCAACCCCAGCAACGAGACCAGAAGCAACGGAACTAGCAGCAAGCAACGACACTACCCCCACCCCCCCAACTCCCAACCAACAGCCATCCCAACACCCACCCTAAAATCATCCCAACACCCACCCCATCTCTAACCCCCCCCACTATCCCTTCTAGACTAGAACCACGCCTCACTCCCTTCTTACACCACCGCCCTTTGCCGCCCTGCAGCAGTTGCCAACTACCCTCGCTACCCTCGCTCCCCCCCATCACCCATCCCTCTCCCCCCACCCCCGGCCACCCCCCCTCCCCCCCCTCCCCCCCCTCCCCCCCACCCCCCTTCACTCCTGCCTCCCCCCCCCCCCCCTCCTCACCGCCTTTCGCCTGTCAACAAGGAAGACGGACGAGCCTGCTGCAGCTGCCAGCACATGCTCCTGGGCTGATGAGAGGGGATGAGGGGGGTGGGTGGGTTGGGGGGGGGGAGCGGGGAAGGGGATGGGGGGGGGAAGGAAGAAAAGAGAGTGCATTACTGCTTGCGAGTGGGATGGACGAAGCAGACGAGCCTGCCGCAGCAACTAGCATTTGCTCCCGGGCTGATGAGTGAGAGTGAGAGAGGGGGGAGGAGGGGGGGAAGGCGGGGAGGGGGAGAGGGGAAATGGAGATATCAACACGGAGAGTGAAGATTCGACGCGCTTCTAGACTAAGAAAGTGTGAAATGTAGAAAAATAGCAACATGATCTTGGGTGTATGGAGCGAGCAATAGAGGTGCAAGGAATACCGTGCCTGGGAGGAAGAGCAGGCTCGGTACCGAGGCTCCACCGAAGCAGGTGAGGTGGAGGGGTGGGGATGGTGCTGGGGCTCGTATGTCACACAACGCCATGCTGCCATCCTGTGTGGTGTGGTGTGCATGGTTGCGCGGGAGCAGGGATGTGTAGAGTGGGTGGGTGCATGCATGGTGAGTAATGGAAAACTGGAGGGGAAGGAATAGTTTGTGTACGAGATCGCTCCATTGCTGCGTCTGCTGCATTGCTGCATCACTCCATTGCTGCGTCTGCTGCAGGGGAGCTGACCATTTCTGCTCATAGAGCCATGCCGGCCTCGTCAAGAACTAACGGCCCATAGAACTATAACCAGGTGTGATTATAACGCGTTTCAATGCCCTAACGCCGCATCGTTTCCGCCAGCGTCCAAGTATAAATCCTGCGTTACCGCTAGCTATATTAATTACCGTGCGAGACTAACTAGCGTGGAAGATTTGATGCGCCTCACCTCGCTGCCGGTCGCAAGGAGGCAATCCGAAGCGTCCACGTGGCAGCACAGCACGGAATCTGAGTGGATGCGTGGAAGTAACGTGCGCGGGACAGGCGGTGCGTCAGACGCCGGTTTTGCCGCCATGATGGCCTGCTACAGTAGAGAGAGATGAGGGACTATATGCAGCGGGAGTGAAACGGGGGGAGCAGAAGTGGCAGGGGGAAGTTGATGATGGGATGGGATCGGCTACGAAGTGACAGACGCGGGTGAGGGGGGCCCTGACTGAGGGCGTGTCCCTACGCGACACAATGTCACGCTACTTCGTGTCAGAATTGTATTGACGGGGCAAATTTGACGGGCAAAATCCCGAATGACCCGAAGTGCCTGACATTGTGTCACGTAGGAACACGCCCTGACAGCAACTTATGACGTAAGGTGCTAGACTAGATCTCCCATAGTTCTGATCACTGGTTTACTGAAGCTAGTAGATCCTGTTAGTTCGCGCATCGTCCCATGAGTGTGTCATAATGAGCAGCGCGCATGATGACAACCCACGAGGGGAAGGGCAGGCAGAAAAGGAAACTTTAGGGTTCAGGGTAGCAGGATAAAATAAAATTACAATGTTTGAAGGTGTAACGAGGCTGGCTGTAGCGGAAATTTCTTTGTTCCATCCGTTTCCTATGCGGAAAGTATATCGACGCTCAGTATTAGGGGCCTCGATAACATGTACGGTCAGTAGCACGATATACCGCTGGTGTGAAACAAACTCACGAGCAGAAGTGTTGCTGCTTATGTAAGTGTGGAGTTTTATCTCAGTAAAGCTGCATTGCACATCACAACTTCGAGTCCACACCTGGAACCCGACCCCCACCCTCTCTATCCTGCCACACCCTCGTCAAATGCTTTGATCTCCAAATACAGACCCTCAGTCAGTCAGGCAGCCCTGGCCTCCAGCCTTGGCCAGTCAGCCTTCCCTCCCTTCCCACCATAATCAGTTCTCTGCGCGTTCCGAACCGCTATGTCCGCCATTTCCAAATGATCCACCGATTTTAGATCAAAATCCGTCCCGACTCCCGCCGCAACATATTTCTTAGACGTCAGCGTGCGGCTTCTGCGGTCGCGCTGTTGAATCGTTAGCGGGGCTTTCGTCGTCCCGTCGTACGGATTTCGTTAGCCTTCGCCAGCCGTCGCCATGGTTCGCCTGACAGCGGATCTCATCCTCGAATCGCCGCAGTATTTCAACGCGGTGCGGGAGCGAGAGATTGACCTGAGAGGTACGCCACCGTCACTTACGGTATGGCTCGAGTCGGAATAATACCCGTCGCATAATTTTGATTCTCTGATCGCGATAAGTTGGCCAACCCGCATAATTCGCTCGTTTTCTCCAGCGTAATCCAGCAGATTTTATTATTATTATTATTTGTCAGACAATTTTCCACCTGATGCGGTCCTATTTCAGCCCTCCTTTCTATGTCGTCCGCCACCATCACTGTTGAAAGGGCATCCTTTTTTAGCACATCCCTTTCACCGTGTACACGTGACTCTGCAAAGTGGCTTACGGTGTGATTCTGCGATGTGACTGTACGACGGTATGCCTGGCAGGGAATAAAATCGCAGTCATTGAGAATCTCGGCGCTACAGAGGTGAGCCCACTCTGCTTCCCTCCAAAGATAAAAAGAAAATAAAAAGCAATCATTCCCCTCTAACCCGTTCCCTAGACCTTGCCTCCATATCAACCTTTTTCTCCAATCCTATCCCGTTCCAATTCTTCCTTCCCCTCGCAACCTCTCCTCCCGTGTCCGGTTTTTGAGAATTCTCAAAAACCTATCACACCCTCACAGCCTCCCCCTGTATTTCTCCTCTTGCTTGCCGGAGACGCCAGTTAAAATCCCCGAGTCCGCTTTTCTTATCCCGCCATAGATCCCGGCGGTTCATTCTCTCCCCTTATCCCCCCTCACCTCCCCTCAACCCCCTCCCCTTCCGCCAGGACCTGTTTGACAGCATAGACCTATCCGGCAGCTAGACATGTCAATTCATACTCCCCTCCGGCCCGTATATTCTCCCCCCCCCGCCTCCACCACCCGTCCGTATTTATTCGACAGCATAGAACTATCCAGCAACGAGATCGTGAAGCTGGAGGGCTTCCCTCTGCGGTGTCTCCACACATGTCGCATCATATCATACTCCCTTCCGGCGCGCATATTCTCCCTCCGCCTACCCCACCTTTTCCCATAGCAGGGCGTATTCGACAGCATAGACCTGTCGGACAACGAGCTCCCCCCCCCCCCCCCCCCCTTCCCCTGATATCAGGATCTGTTTGACAGCATAGACCTGTCGGACAACGAGATCGTGAAGCTGGAGGGCTTTCCTCTGCTGCGGCGGCTGTCCACTCTGCTGCTCTGCAACAACCGCATCACACGCATCAGCCCCCAGCTAGGTAGTACGTATCGTACGCTGACATGTCGTATGCTGACGTATCATACGCTGACGTTGGCTAGGTACCTTACGCCCCCTGCTAGGTAGTACGTATCATATGCTGATGTGTCATGTCCCCTGCTAGGTAGTACGTATCATATGCTGATGTGTCATGTCCCCTGCTAGGTAGTACGTATCATATGCTGATGTGTCATGTCCCCTGCTAGGTAGTACGTATCATATGCTGATGTGTCATGTCCCCTGCCAGGCCATGACCCCTCTGCTTTCTCCCTCTTTCCCCTCCCTCTCCCTCCTCACCCACCCAATCCCCCCTCCTTTCACTCCCCCCCCCGCCTTCCTCTTTCCCCCGAATAGCCCATCTGCCCAAGCTGCAGACCCGCGTGTTGGCCAACAACGCCGCCAGCAACAACAGCTGCATCACCAACGGCACAGACCTCGACCCTCTGGCGTCGCTGGGCCACTCCCTCACCTCTTTGTCGTCTGCCGTCTCTCTCCCCCCCCCCCTCTCCTCTTCCCTCCCGAGCAGCCCGTCTGCCCAAGCTTCAGACCCTTGATTTGGCCAACAACCGAATCACCAACGTCACAGGCCTCGACTGATCCCCTGGCCCTCTCCCTGCTGACCCTCTCTACCTGCCTACTCTCCCCTTTCCCCTTTCCCCTTTCCCCTTTCCCCTTTCCCCTTTCCCCTTTCCCCTTTCCCCTTTCCCCTTTCCCCTCCCCCCTCCCCCCCCTCGACCCCACCTCTTCCCCCTCTTCCAACTTATCCCTCCTCCCCAAGCAGCCCATCTGCCCACGCTGCAGACCCTTGTTCTGGCCAAGAACCGCATCACCAACCTCGCAGATCTCAAACCTTTGGCGTCCCTGGGCCACTCCCTCACCTCTTTGTCGTCTGTCGTCTTCCCCCCCCCCCCCCCCTCCCCCCTCTTTCCTCTGTGCAGCCCATCTGCCCAAGCTGCAAACTCTTGTTCTGGCCAACAACCGCATCACCAACCTCGCAGATCTGGACCCTTTGGCATCGCTGGGGCATTCTCTGACCTCCCTCTCGCTCATCGACAACACGGTTGTCAAGAAGCCCAAGTACAGGCTGTACGCCATCCACCTTCTGCCAAAACTCCGGCTCTTGGACTTCCAAAAGGTCAAGCTGAAGGTGCGTTAGTGTGCCGTACCTTGCAGGCCGTGGCTCACTACTCCGATGTCTCTTTACCTCTCCTCCCTCGCGTCCCTCTCCTCCCTCACCTCCCTCCCTCACCTCCCTCACCTCCCTGACCTCCCTGACCTCCCTGTCGCTCATTGGCAACACGGTGGTCAAGAAGCCCAAGGACTGCCTCTATGCCATTCACCTGGTGCTGCCCAAGCTGCGACTACTGGACTTCCAAAAGGTAAAACTGAAGGTGCGTTGCTGTCTTTGATTTTTTAGGCGCCTCAAAAGCTGAGGGTGCGTTGCTGCCTCATCCTGGATTCTCCTCTCTCTGACACCCGTCTACCACTCCCCCTCCCCTCCCTCCCCTCCCTCCCCTCCCTTCCCTCCCGCCGCAGGCCGCAGCAGCAGCAGCAGCAGTCAAGCGCCAAAGACTTTTGTGCCTGGCGAGGCTCTATCAGAAGCATGGGGGGTGCCCAGTTGACGTCTTTCAATTTTTAAGACTTCCCCCTCCCTCTTCTTTCCCCCACACCCCACACCCCACCCCCACACCCCACCCCCACCCCCACCCCCACCCCCCTCCCACCCCCCTCCCATCTTGTCAATAGCAGGAGAGGCAAGCAGCGGAAGCAACGTTTGGCAAGGACAAAGCAGCAGCTGCAGCAGCAGTAGCAGCCGCCAAGCGCCAAAGACTTTTGTGCCTGGCGAGGCTCTATCAGAAGCATGGGGGGTGCCTAGTTGACGTCTTTCAATTCTTAAGACTTCCCCCTCCCTCTTCTTTCCCCCACACCCCATCCCCACCCCCCTCCCATCTCGTCAATATCAGGAGAGGCAAGAAGCAGAGGCAAGGATAAAGCAGCACCTGCAGCAGCAGCAGCAGCCAAGCGCCAAAGACTTTTGTGCCTGGGGAGGCTCTAGCAGAAGCATGGGGGGGTGCCTAGATGACGTCTTAGCCCCTCTTCCCCCCCCCCCCCGTTCTCGTCAATATCAGGAGAGGCAAGAAGCAGAGGCAACGTTCGGCAAGTATAAAGCAGCCAAGCGCCAAAGACTTTTGTGCCTGGGGAGGCTCTAGCAGAAGCATGGGGGGGTGCCTAGATGACGTCTTAGCCCCTCTTCCCCCCCCCCCCCGTTCTCGTCAATATCAGGAGAGGCAAGAAGCAGAGGCAACGTTCGGCAAGTATAAAGCAGCCAAGCGCCAAAGACTTTTGTGCCTGGGGAGGCTCTAGCAGAAGCAGTGAGGTGCCTAGTTGACGTCTTAGCTCCTCTCACACCCCCCCCCCCCCCCCCCTCTCCCCCTGTTCCCATCAATATCAGGAGAGGCAAGAAGCAGAATCCACATTCGGCAAGGACAAGGCAGCAGCAGCAGCAGCCAAGCGCGTGTCAGCAAACACGTTTGTTCCTGGGGAGGCTCTAGCAGACGCAGGGGGGCCAGGGCAAGGAGGGGCTGCAGCTGCAGCAGCAGTTGGTGGTGAGAAGGAGGGCGGGGGGGAAGGGCCGGGTGCTGCAGCGTCAGCAGCGGCAGCAGCAGCCAAACAGGGGCCAACACCAGAACAGATCACAGCAATCAAGGTGATTATGGGTGGGGGGGTTGGGAGTTATCCAAGCATGGGGGGTGCTACAGCAGCAGCAGCAGCAGCAGCAGCAAAGCAGGGGCCAACACCCAGAAGAAGTCACAGCAATCGAGGTGATTGTAACAGGGGTTGTTAGTGGGGGGGGGGAGAAAAGAAGGGGAGGGGACTGGGGGGTGTGTAATCGCGACTGCGAGTTTTGGGGGAGTTGCAGGTATCCAGAGGATAGAAGGGGGGGGGGGGGGGGAAGGGGAGTGTGTATATGTGTGTGTGTGTGCTGCTTCTGAGTGCACAGGGAGAGAGGGGCGAACGCCAGAGCACAGAACAGCCATGAGGGTAATAGCCTGACAGGTGCTCAGAGAGGCAACGAGCCATCAATCAACGTAATGGCTTCTTTCCTCATGTCCAATATAGTAAATCATCGTGATGTCCAATAGGGGTGCGCATGCGGCATGTCCACTCCTCTCCATTGAGTCGACTCAAAAAGTCATTTTGTCCAATATCGGTGCTCATGTCCACTCCCTTGGATCAGGGATGCCCACTCCTCCCTGTTCTCCCTTGGGCATGTGGCCATCAGCACAGCACAGACGCTGGAAGAGGTCGCATTTGAGGCACCTCAAACTTTCACTCATGTCAAAATAAAGCCCATTCCTTCCTCCCTATTCTCCCTTGTTCAGGCAGCCATCAGCACGGCTCAGTCACTTTTTGAGGCGCCTCAGGAGGAGGAAACGAGCATCCTCTTCCGCTCATGTCCAGTAGTCCACTCCTCCATGTTCTCACTTGTGCAGGTAGCCATCAGCACGGCTCAAACGCTGGAGGAGGTTGCTCGACTCGTCCAGTCTCCGTGTGTCACACACACCCCTTCACACCCCTTCACACCCCTTCACACCCCTTCACACCCCTTCACATCCCCCCCCTTTACTCACATCCCTCCCATCGGATTCGATGTGTCTCCTGCAGGCGGCCATCAGCACGGCTCAGACGCTGGAGGAGGTTGCTCGGCTCGAGAAGGTGGGTTGCGTGATACTTGCCTCACAACTCTCTTCTCATGCGTAACCATGTGAGTTGTGTTTCAGACAGGCAGACTTGTAGAAAACGCTTTTGAGTCGGCTCAAAAGCAGACTCATGCGTAATCATGTGAGTTGTGTGTCAGACAGACAGACTCGTAGTGAATGCTTTTCTTTTTTCAGTGCTGAGCTTTCGCTGCTTCGATTCTTTTTCAGGTCATTTGGTAAATAACATTTCTGCGTCCTTGTTATAACTGCCCTACCTCCCCCGTCCCCCCGCCCCTCGTCGACAATGCCCTGTTCCTCACACCACATCTCACCATAACACACCGCATCAGGCTCTGCAATCTGGTCAATTGCCATCCGATATCAAGGTGCCTGCAGCAGATACAGACAAAACAAGTCAACCCATGGAGTGAGTTTACAGTCTTCCAACTGTGTGTTTGGTTGCTCAGATGCTCGTTTCGTTCCCTACCACTCTGCTGCTGGCTGTACCACTCTGCTGCTGGCTGTACCACTCTGCTGTCATACTTTCTCTCCCTGTGTCTTTATCTGCTCATGCTCCGTTGGCTGAAATCGCCTACCATTAGTTTGCTGTCTTCAAGTGCATAAGTGGATGACACCGATGGACCCATACTTTTCAGGGTTAACCATGGTGTTTTTTTTTTTAGATGACTCAAAATACAAGTCGTAAAATGATGGAAGTATTTCAGGTCCAACTGTCAGGATTGATGCGATGTAACTCGTAAAATACTTCCATTTTAAGTAATCCCTCTCCTTGCATCTTTCTTACTTTCCCCTCTGTATGCTTATCCCATTGTCACCACCTTCCAACGCACATGCAGAGCGGATTAATCGCACACGCTTCCAAGTCTTGAGATGGCTCATTTTGTGACAAACAGCCAGCCTTAATCGTTATAAGTCCAACTCTTCTCTCATACTACACACACAGCATCATTTGATTAAGCCACTGTTACGACGGTACTAAACCGGAGCCCCAGTGCATTACTGTACTGGTATTTGCACCTACCGCTACCGTACTTTTCTTTGACAACCTATTGAAGGAGCCTGCCTGATCAGATGGAGGCACCTCGACTGGATTAAATAACATGGCTATTTTGCACGAACAGCGGACATGGCACTCAGCCTGAGACAGTTGGAAAGGTAGACACCCCGATCAAGCAGGGCAAACAGGGCTAGACTTCGACAGGGAAGACCCGACATTTGTATGCTGCCGGCAGCGGGAACTCGCGACTGTGATGATCAGTGATCACTGGCTCTGACATGCATTGCCGTGACGTGACACTGTTGTGATGAGAGTTGAAACCCCCGGTGTGGCGAACACTAACCACAACAGTAACCATCTGCTGCCAACCAACAGCTACAGTATCTACAGTATGGATTCTGGGTCAGTTAGTCCTCCTTGGGCTTGGGCACGGGCTTGAACTCATAGTTGTTGATGTCGATCTTCTGCTGCATGCTCTGGCAACAGAAGTTGAACCACGAGGAGACAGGAAACAGTGGAGTGCACGAAAGCGAGGCATGGACAAGATCGGATAGCATATTTTTTAGGCGCCTCATAAAAAGAAGTTGAACCACGGGACACAGTGGAGTGCACAAAAGTGAGGCATAGACCGTACGTGTGAGCAGCATGCATTAGGGAAGAAAGAGCGCATGCAAGCATGCATGCAATGCAAGCGGAGGCAAGATCCGGGCAGGCAACAACCCTCGTGTTGCAGTGTAGAGCAGACAGCAGGGTTGTTGCAGAGCGGCTATAGAAAGGATGGGCACGATTGACACTGCGGACGTTTCAGCCTAAATTAACGTCATGGGTCAACAAGGAACGACTTATTGTCCGCAGATGCAACTCGACGTGGTGGAAGAAATATTCAACTGCTTCAGTTGACTTCTCACCTCCACTTCTTCTCACCTTTAGCTCTTCCTCCAGCTCCATCACGTTCCGTAACCGGTGCTTTTTTCTAGGCGCCTAAAAAATCTCCAGCTCCATCACGTTCCGTAACCATCAGGTGCTTTCAACTCTTCAACGCCCTTTCCCTGGTCAGCAATCGAGTTGCCTCTAGTGTCGCTCACTCCCCGTCTCTCCTCTGTCTAGGTCCATGGCTTTCCGACTGCCCGGTGCCTTCAACTCGGTGCCTTCAACTCACCAACGTCTCTTGCAGAGCTGCTCATCTCCATCCATCCTCACAATCGCACCTTGAGCTCTTCCTCCAGGTCCATGACTTTCCGTCTCCCTGGTGCCTTCAACTCGGTGCCTTCAACTCGGTGCCTTCAACTCGGTGCCTTCAACTCGGTGCCTTCAACTCGGTGCCTTCAACTCGGTGCCTTCAAATCGGTGCCTTCAACTTGCCAATGTCCCTTGCAGTGCAGCACATTTCCATCGATCCTCACTAGCTCACCTTGAGCTCTTCCTCCAGGTCCATCGCTTTCCGTTTAGCCGGCGTTTTCAGCTCTCCAATGTCGCTTTCCCTCGTCAGCGATCGAGTTGCCTCTAGCGCCGCCCACTCCCCGTCGTCCTTAGCTCGCTCCAGGTCCCGCCTGAAGGGGGAGTGAAAGGGGGAGTGACAGGGGGAGTGAAGGGGAGAGTGACGGGGGGAGTGACGGGGGGGAGAGACGGGGGGAGACGGGGGGAGTGACGGGGGGAGTGACGGGGGAGTGACGGGGGGAGTGACGGGGGGAGAGACGGGGGGAGTGACGGGGGAGTGACGGGGGGGGGAGTGAACGGGGGGAGTGAAAGGGGGGAGTGAAGGGGGAGTGACGGGGGGAGTGACGGGGGAGAGACGGGGGAGAGACGGGGGGAGGACGGGGGGAGTGACGGGGGGAGTGACGGGGGGAGTGACGGGGGGAGAGCCGGGGGGAGTGACGGGGGAGTGACGGGGGAGTGACGGGGGGAGTGACGGGGGGAGTGACGGGGGGAGAGACGGGGGAGTGACGGGGGAGTGACGGGGGAGTGACGGGGGAGTGACGGGGGAGTGAAGGGAGAGTGACGGGGGAGTGACGGGGGGAGAGACGGGGGGAGAGACGGGGGGAGTGACGGGGGGAGTGACGGGGGGAGAGACGGGGGGAGAGACGGGGGGAGTGACGGGGGAGAGACGGGGGGAGTGACGGGGGAGTGACGGGGGGAGTGACGGGGGAGTGACGGGGGAGTGACGGGGGGAGTGACGGGGGGAGTGACGGGGGAGAGACGGGGGGAGTGACGGGGAGTGACGGGGGGAGAGACGGGGGGAGTGACGGGGGGAGTGACGGGGGGAGTGACGGGGGGAGTGGACGGGGGAGTGACGGGGGGGAGTGACGAGGACGGGGAGGACGGGGAGAGACGGGGGAGTGACGGGGGAGGACGGGGGAGAGACGGGGGAGAGACGGGGGGAGGGGGGGACGGGGGGAGTGACGGGGGGAGTGAAGGGGGGAGTGACGGGGGAGGACGGGGGAGAGACGGGGGGAGAGACGGGGGGAGTGACGGGGGAGTGACGGGGGGAGGACGGGGGGAGTGACGGGGGAGTGACGGGGGAGTGACGGGGGGGGAGAGACGGGGGGGGACGGGGGAGAGACGGGGGAGTGACGGGGGGAGTGACGGGGGGAGAGACGGGGGGAGTGACGGGGGGAGTGACGGGGGAGGACGGGGGGAGTGACGGGGGAGTGACGGGGGGAGTGACGGGGGGAGTGGACGGGGGGAGGACGGGGGAGTGACGGGGGGAGTGACGGGGGGAGAGACGGGGGGTGACGGGGGGGAGTGACGGGGGGGGGGGGGAGTGACGGGGGGAGTGACGGGGGGAGTGACGGGGGAGTGACGGGGGGAGTGACGGGGGGAGTGACGGGGGGAGTGACGGGGGGAGTGACGGGGGGGAGTGACGGGGGAGGAGTGACGGGGGAGTGACGGGGGGAGAGACGGGGGGGAGAGACGGGGGAGTGACGGGGGGAGTGACGGGGGGAGAGACGGGGGGAGTGACGGGGGGAGTGACGGGGGGAGTGACGGGGGGGAGTGACGGGGGGAGGAAGGGGGAGAGTGACGGGGGGAGTGACGGGGGAGAGACGGGGGGGAGAGACGGGGGGAGTGACGGGGGGAGTGACGGGGGGGAGACGGGGGAGTGACGGGGGAGTGACGGGGGAGTGACGGGGGGAGTGACGGGGGAGTGACGGGGGGAGTGACGGGGGGAGTGACGGGGGGAGAGACGGGGGGGAGTGACGGGGGAGTGACGGGGGGAGAGACGGGGGGAGTGACGGGGGGAGTGACGGGGGAGTGACGGGGGGAGTGACGGGGGGAGTGACGGGGGGAGGGACGGGGGGAGTGACGGGGGGGAGTGACGGGGGGGAGAGGACGGGGGGAGTGACGGGGGGAGTGACGGGGGGAGTGACGGGGGGAGTGACGGGGGGAGAGACGGGGGGGAACGGGCGAGGAGAAGTGAAAGGGGGAACAGAAAAAGGGCTTGCACGCCCCGGAGTGGGCTTGCTGCCCACTCCACTCCCCATCATCCGTGGCTCGCTCCAGGTCCCGCCTGAAGGGGGGAAATGGAACAGATGAGTGAAGGCGGATTAGCATGGGTCAAGAGCGGTTGAAGGCAGATGGGCGCAAAGGGAACATCAAGAGCATGCAAAGGGAACATCAAGAGCATGCAAAGGGAACATCAAGAGCATGCGTGCAATGTCTAGGAAAGGGGCTGCGTTGCGTTGCGTTGCGTTGCGTTGCTCCCCACTCCCCATCATCCTTGGCGCGCTCCAGGTCTCAATGGAAAGGGGGAATGAAAGGGGAACCGGCCAGCATGAGTGAAAGGGAAACAACAGAAGGGTTCTTGCACGCAACGGGATGGGATTGCAACCCAACGCCCACCAACCCAACCCCCATCATGCTTGGCGCGCTCCAGGTCTCAATGGAAAGGGGGAATGAAAGGGGAACCGGCCAGCATGAGAGATACTTGGTAGTTCGAAACCGCGAACCATAGTTGGTTATTCGATATAAGGCACGCACTACCGTACCTCCATTACCCGCGAGTCCGAAACCGCACCTGCCTTGCACCATGTAGCCCAGCCCCACGGATCCGACGACCATCATCGACAGCATCGGTAGGCCATATCGAACGAACGGCCCAGATCTTCGCGGGTTGGCCAACCTGCCACGCGTCATCATTTCAGAGACCTATGGCATACCCTGGCCGCTTCTAGGGAGCTACTCTACACTGTTACAAGCCAGGATCAACCATTCGATCCTGAATTCCTTGCAGACGTTTCGAATTCCGGAGCGCAAGCACTAACGACTAATACGAAAGCACAGGACTCCGCAAATCAGGTCCATGGTGGGTGCTTCATTCTCCGTGTTAGAGGCTGGAGCATCCCTGCACCATGACTCACTTGGCTTGCTTCCTCGGAAATTTCTATGGCTTCGCCTGAACTACAAGAGTCCGCGTTATCGCTAGGATGAAGCAGAGTGGATAACAAACTGGGTGTCGTCACAAATAATTACTGTTAAATGCTTTCAAAGCTCATAACATAAATTCCAGGTTATTTTGCACTCCAGGTGCATCACCAAGCCAGAGTAGGCAAGAAAATCAATATATGTGGAAATCAATATATCAAGAAAAATATAATAGGCATGAGTAACTCTACTCTACTTTGTGTATAGATGTGCCTCGGCAAGGTAGGAAGGAATGCCCTTCTCTACATATGGACAGACCAAGTTGCAGAAAGTATGATATTTATTATTTGAAGTAACTTTATGGATACTGGGCAGCATCATACGTGCATGTCATCGGGTCTCCTTCAGCATGTGTGAGCACATATTCAGAGAAAGGTGTTAGATGTCTAGCTTTTTGGTCAAAACCCTACCCAAACGTTTTAGGTTTGTTATCGATCCTTCTGATCCGTGAGGCACCTAACCCAACCGTAAACAAATGTACGCGCTGGACACGCCCTAACTTTGTAGTCGGGTACTCACTTCAGTTACGCACCATTTCGCCAACGCCACAATGTTTCGCCAAGGTGAGGAGGGGGCCTGGTGATGATCTCGAGGTCGAGGTTCTGTACCTGACTACCAGAGCAATCGAGCAGGAAGTGGCGGAGAAGCATTACAGCATTCACCTCACTTTCCGTACTTTTCCCTTGGGATTCCACTCCAGTTCCGAGATTTCAGTCAGGTCTCCTGTCCTGAATCCTGATACTGCCGTCTCCGTAACGGGAAGTAGTTCTCTAGGTCGTCCCTAGCTGCTTAGAACACCACGCTTCGGAGCCGCGCCGTCCGGATGTGCTTGTGGTCTGGCACACTTTCGGCTCACGCGCTAGGCGTATTACAGTTTGTCAGTGGTGTACCTAGTCGCTGACCATTGGCTGAGGAAATGGACCAATCAGAGGCGAAGGATGCTGCAGCGGCGATCGTCGCTCCGGGGACGGTGGCAGGCGACGGAACGGCGACGGAATCGACGGTCGCAGACGCCAGCAGCTTCGGATTGCCGTTCATCTTGAATTACTGGAAGGGTACAGAAATTACCAGGAACCTTTCTCGCCAGTGTCTTTCCTCTGATTCATCGCCAATGCGCGTCTCCCGGTCTCTCTCGTTTCTTGTGTCCTGTTGGTATCTCTTTTTTTTCCTCCGCTCTGTTCATTCTACCCAAGTCGTCATGTCGGTTTTCTTTCTTGTCTGAAAATCCGCCTCCGCATTTACAACCTCATCCCCTAGTTTTTCTTTTTGTACTCTCACGCATCCTATGTCTGCGTGGCTTCATTGTCCGTCTCTCTTCTATCTGTGCATGCAACCCTCCGAGCCTTCTCTCTCCCCAGAGTTCGACCTGGAGAGCGCACGGACGTCACTGGACGAGCAAGGGTTGAAGATTGCCGAGAACCAGGAGGCGAGCACCAAGAACCGGCGGAAACTAGCAGAGTCAACGAGGGGTAGGTTGGATTGGAATAAAAAGCCTTCAAACGCCATGAAGTGCAAAGGCGGAAGATGCCCAGAACCAGGAGGCGAGCACCAAGAACCGACGGAAGCTAGCGGAGTCGACTAGGTGTAGGTTTGAGTGGGTTCAATCAAAGGCCTTCAAATGCCATGAAGAGCTGGTTGCGAGCACCAGGAATCGGAGAAAGCTAGCAGAGTCAACGCGAGGTAGGTTGCTCGCAGTGAAATCTAAGGCCATGACGAGTGGGGGCGAAGATAGTGGAGGATCAGGAGGCGAGCACCAAGAATCGACGGAAGCTTGCGGAATCCATGAGAGGTGGGTTGGAGTGGAATCAATGCCTTCACATTACTTGTCACGAGGAGCAAGAGTTGAAGATATTGGAGGATCAGGAAGCGAGCACCACGCACCTAGGAAGCTAGCAGAGTCAACGAGAGAGTTGTGCCAATCATTTGGAGTGCGATGAGCCAACGAGAATATATGCAAATCAACAGCATATGCATTTGTTATGTATATACATATGTACAACAATATCAATATCCCCAAGCCCTATCTTTTCACCCATCAGACTTCAAGAAAGCATCCAAGGACGAGCAGAGCAAGCTGTTTGTCGCGCTGCTGAAAGCGTACCAGGAGGAGGTGGATAACCTCACCAAGCGCGCCAAATTCGCTGAGGCTGCCTTCCTGGGCGTCTACCAGAAGCTCTACGAGGCTCCGGATCCCGTTCCATCCCTTGCATCTGCTGCTGTGAGTTGCGTTACCAGTGAGTTGCATTACCAGTGAGTTGCGTTACCAGTGAGTTGCGTTACCAGTGAGTTGCGCTACCAGTGAGTTGCGTTACCAGTGAGTTGCGTTACCAGTGAGTTGCGTTACCAGTGAGTTGCGTTACCAGTGTGTCAAGCGTTGGTGTACGTTTACTAGTGCGGCCTGCCTTTCTGGGCGTCTACTACCAGATGCTGCTCTATGAGGCCGTGTCGTCCCTCCCTGGCGTCTGCTTCTGTGAGTGTGCGTCTGATTTTAGTGGACTGCTGTATGTAAGGTGCGCTGCTAGTGCTGTAGGTCGCGTATTCAACTGCCCCCCTGAGCGTCAATCCGCGGAAGCTCTATGCGGTTCCAGTCTCCAGATCCTGTCCTGTGCCGTCCCTGGCGTTTGCTGCTGTGAGTTGATGTACCAGTGCTGTGAGTCTGCATTGTGCTCTAGGTTGCATATTTAATTGCATTTCCAGGCGTCCATGTATGTCAAGTAAGTATGCCACGTCTGCCCCTTCACTCACTTCCCCCCACCCTGTCAGTTACATACTCTTATGCTCTCCACCCTTTGCTCCAATGCTCCAATCTCCTCACTCCCAACCTAACCCCCTCTCTCTGCCTTTCCCCAGGAGGTGGCAGCGAACGCTGCTGAGCTGGCGGCGGAGAACCGGCGCATGCACGCTGAGCTGGAGGAGTTCCGGTCTGAGTCAGCGCACCTCAAGAACCAGCAGGCCACCGTGCGGCGGCTTGAGGAGAGAAACAGACAGCTGGAGCAACAGGTGGGAAGGAAGGGGCAATTAGAGCTGGCACTGAGAAGGTGGCTGGGGAAGGAAGGAGTGAGAAAACAGGTGCGGGGAGGAGATTCCCTGCCCTGGGGGTGGTTGCTACTGAAGCTACCGTTGCTCATGGTATGAGTAGTCGTTTGTGCGTGGCCAAACGTTTGAGCCGCCATGGCCCACGGGCCGCCATGGCCCATGGGCGCACGCACTGTTGCTTGAGCAATGAGCAAGGTGTTACTTACATTACATCCACGTTCATGTATGCGCCGCCCTGGGTGGCAGATGGAGGGGAAGGTGAAGGAGATGGTGGCATTTAAGCAGCACATGCTTTCGAAACATCTCAATCCGTGTGTCTCTCTCCCTGTCTGTCCGTGCCTCTGTGTGTGCATGTCTCTCTTTCTCTCTCTCCCTGTCTGTCCGTGCCTCTGTGTGTGCATGTCTCTTTTTCTCTCTCTCCCTGTCTGTCCGTGCCTCTGTGTGTGCATGTCTCTCTTTCTCTCTCTCCCTGTCTTTCCGTGCCTCTGTGTGTGCATGTCTCTTTTTCTCTCTCTCCCTGTCTGTCCGTGCCTCTGTGTGTGCATGTCTCTCTTTCTCTCTCTCCCTGTCTGTCTGTGCCTCTGTGTGTGCATGTCTCTCGCTCTCTCTCTCTCTCCCTGTCTGTGCGTGGCAGATGGAGGAGAAGGTGAAGGAGATGGTGGCGATGAAGCAGCACGTGCTGGCAGAGGAGAGCCAACGAAGCATGGAGACACTCAAGTCAAGGCAAGTCAATGCTGGTCAACCCAAGGCGTCTCGAACATTCTCCCTCACACACTGCTGCTCGCTGGTTTTATGTCTGGGTAGGAGATATTACCTGCTCACAGAGGAGATCCAACGGAGCATGGAGACTTTCAAGTCAAGGAAAATCAGTGCTGGTCAAAGCAGGCAGGTCAACGGTGGTCAAGGCAGGTCCACCCATGTCGTTTGACCCAGGTCACTTTTCACAGGTCACTAGAGCCATGTCAGAGCGCTCTCCCTCGTTCACTCATTCACTCGCTCACTCCCTGTCCTCCTCTCCCCCTGCTCTCTCCTTTGCAGAGAGAACGCCCTCGGGGAGCAACTGAGGGCAGCAAGGGAGACAGTGAGCACCATGCAGCAGCTGCTTGATTGAACCGCACAAGCCTCCCATTCCCCGTGCTCTCTGTCTCTCCCGCTCCTCCGCCCTTCTCTCAGGAAGGACGCTCTCCAGGACCAACTGAGGGCAGCGAGGGAGAAGGTAAGCAGCATGCAGCTAGCTGACCTGCTCACATCTCCCCTCCCCCTTGCGACCTGTCTGTCTGTCTCCCCTCCCTTTAGCTTCCCCCCTCCCGTTCTCAGGGAAGACGCCCTGCAGGAGCAGCTGAGGGCAGCGAGGGATGTTGTGCAGCTAGCTGAACCGCACACACACACCTTCCCTTACCCTTGCTCTCTGTCTCTCCCACTCCTCCGCCCTTCTTTCAGGGAGGACGCTCTCCAGGACCAGCTGAGGGCAGCGAGGGAGACAGTGAGCAACATGCAGCGGCTGCATGAGATGAGCCAGTCGCAGCTGTTTGAACTCAAAGCGCAGTCAGGTGGGCATGCCGGGGTGCAGTCAGGTGGGATGCCGGGGTGCAGTCAGGTGGGATGCCGGGGTGCAGTCAGGTGGGATGCCGGAGTACAGTCAGGTGGGATGCCGGGGTGCAGTCAGGTGGGCATCGCTCAAAACTCCAGGTGCATGCGGCCCTTACCGCACAAAACTCAAGGTGCATGCATTGGGAAGGCAGGTGTGTGTGAGGCTAGCGCAGTGAGCAACATGCAGCGGCTGCACGAGATGAGCCAGTCGCAGCTGTTGAAGTCAAGGCGCAGTCAGGTGCGCATGCGACGCTTTTGGACATTTCTAATCACAGCACATCCGTCCTTATAGTTAAAGAGGGCTGTTGTTGGTGTCAGGCCCTCATCTCTCCCCATGCTTCTGTCTTCCCCCTGTTTTCCCATCTACCAGAGGAGGACCGTGCATTGAAGCAGGGCGAGATGAACCTGCTGACAGACGAGGTGGAGAGGGCACAGGCCAGGCTGCTGGCGCTGGAGAGAGAGAAGGTGAGACGTTGTGTGGTGGGGTAGGGCGCCCACAAGGAAGATGTGCAGCTGGGTGATGGAGAGAGGAGAGGGAGGGGGAAGGGAGGGAGTGAACGCAGGGCGAGATGAACCTGCTGGCAGACGAGGTGGAGAGGGCACAGGCTAGGCTGCTGGCTCTGGGGAGAGAAAAGGTGAGAGGGGGAGAGAGAAGGTGAGACGTGGTGTGGGGTAGGGCGGCCACAAGGGAGATATGCAGCTGGGTGATGGAGAGAGGAGTGGGAGGGGGAAAGGAGGGAGTGAAAGCAGGGCGAGATGAACCTGCTGGCAGACGAGGTGGAGCACACACAGGCCAGGCTGCTGGCTCTGGAGAGGGAGAACGTAAGGGGGGGAGACTGAGTGGGACTGAGTGAAGTGGTGAGAAGGCACGGATAGACATTCTGTTAGGGTGATGGAAGGGAGAAGGGGAAGGTGACTGTGCGAGGCGAGGTAGTGGTGGAGGGGCGGGGGGTGATGGAGGTGGCAAAGCAGACAGATTCGAGAAGGCGCTGCAGGAATGAACGCAGGCAGTTGTTTACCCTTTTGCGAGTGCCTTTTCGAGAGAACACCACTTGGTGGTGGTTTTAGCCATACGTGGCAGCGGGCTTGTAGAACACTTATTGTTTAGAGAAAAATTCTTGCTCAGAAAAAACTCTCTTGAATTCGTAGGCAGTTGTTTACCCTTTTGCGGGTTCCTTTTCGCTTGCCTTTTCGCTTGCCTTTTTCATTGTCTAATTCGTTTCCTTCGCATACGTTCCTGTGCCTCCCGTCCTCCCCCCGTACACACAACATACTTTATCCCATCTTCCAGGAAGCTCTCAAGGCGCAGCTGCATACAGCACAGCCCAACGAAGCTGCAGCCAATGGCGACAGGTGAGATGCTGCTGCTGCTGCTGCTGCTGCTGCTGCTGCTGCTGCTGCTGCTGCTGCTGCTTTTGCTGCTGCTGCTGCTGCTGCTGCTGCTGCTGCTGCTGCTGCTGCTGCTGCTGCTGCTGCTGCTGCTGCTGTTGCTGCTGCTGCTGATGATGCGATGATGGTGATGATGATTATGATGTCACTGCCCCCCTGCCGCCTCCTCATATCTTGTGGCCTCTACTCCGTACTTTTGAGGCGCCTCAAAAGTCACCTCATATCTTGCGGCCTCTACTCCCTACTTGTGTTGTGTTGTGCGCTTCTGTTTGTCCCGATTTTCTGGCGCGTTTTCTCCTTCTCCACTCCTATGCAGCACGGACAGCAGTGGGGAAGCGGGGTGGGGTGCAGCAGTGAGGACCAAGTAGGCATGAGCATGCGCACGCGGCCCGGGCCGGCCCGCAGCCCGGGCCGGTTTTGGCTGGGCACGGGCTGCCCATTTTTAAGACTCGGCCCGACCTTTGGCGGCCTGGCCCGGCCCGGCCCGCCCCCGGCCCGCCCCTGGCCCGCCTCGGCCCGCCCCCGGCCTGGTTTTTGCCCCTGGCGGGCCCCGGCCCGCCCCCGGGCCAAGGCTGGACCGTCCCCTAAATCGGGACGCTGGCTGGGGAGTTTCCAAGGTTGGCCCGACCTTGGCCTGGCCCGGCCCGGCCCGGCCCGTGCTCGGGCGGGCCGACCAGAAACGGGCCGGGCGGGGCCTATGCTCATGCATAGGGCCAAGGAGGCGGTGATAGCATCAGTGCATCAGGAGCAAGGGTGGACTTTTCTAGGTCTTCCCAACTAATCCTCTCCCTCATCCCCTCCATTCCCTCCCCTCCATTCCCCCCCCTCCCTCCCCACTTCCCATCCAACCAGCACGGACAGCAGCGGGGCGGTGGGATGGGAGGCGGCGGTGAGGGCTAAGGAGGCGGTGATAGCATCGCTGCACCAGGAGCTGCATGCCCTGGAAGCAGCAGGCGAGTGAGGATCATATCCCCGTTTCCTTCCCCTTGTTTTTCCTTTTCCTCTTCTTCTCCCCCCCCCGCCCACAGCACGGACAGCAGTGGGGCGGTGGGGTGGGAAGCAGCAGTGAGGGCAAAGGAGGCGGTGATAGCATCGCTGCACCAGGAGCTGCATGCTCTGGAAGCAGCAGGGGCGGCAGAGAGGGAGGAGCAGAGGACGGAGATGAAACAACTCAAGGCGCAGCTGCAAGACAAGGTGGGCTTGTTGTGGTGTGAGTCCGGAAGGCTTAGTGGAATATTACTGTGAAATGCTGCAGCACAAGGCAGTGTGCGCGACAGGGAGGGAGGAGCAGAGGGCGGAACTGAAACGACTCAAGGGGATGCTGCAATACAAGGTGAGTTTTTTTGGACTGTCATAGAATTAAATTAAGGTGGTGCCGCACAAAAGGGCAGAACCGAGGTCCACAATGGTTCTCGTTCCTGCAACGAGAAACTCATTCATTCGCGTTCCCCCCCCTTATCAGGAGTTGTCACTAGCAGCAGTGAGGGCGGAACTGGCGACGAGGCCCACCCAGAAGCAGTGGGAGGACCTTCGCAAGCAAGTCAAGATTTTGCAGGTGAGAGACAATACCCACAGAAGAAGCATATCGCACAGCATGATTATAATCATGATAAGCATCCTTAGCTGTGTTGAGAGCGGATCTAGAAGGCAGGCCCACGCAAAAGCAATGGGAGGTGCTGCGCAAGCAAGTCAAGGTTTTGCAGGTGGGACCACTCTCTGTGGCAAACATTTAGTGCATTGTCCAGTGTTTCAGGTATGTGTTAAGTGCCAAACATAAGGTTAACCACCGCATGTGTCGTAAGAACCAATCTTTGTGTACTAGAAAAACCATGTGCTATCCTCGTGCTCATCCTTTGTTTTGTGGTTTCCAACGATTCGCCAGAAATTGCAAACCCATGCTAGCATCGTGTGCCAAATTCCACACTCCTCAAGCTTACCTATTGAGACCATAGACGTCGCTGACCAAGTTGCACATAGGTAAGCGAGAGGGATGTAGAACTAGACGCACGATACTAGCATGCGTTTGCAGTTTCATGCTCCGAATCGCTAGAATAACAAAACGAAGAGTGAGCACAGGATAGCACATGGATCCTAGCCATGCAACGTCAAAGAAACATTGTCGTCGTCGAGCGGGAAGGGATTACAATATCCAGACGCCCTTAAAAAACAGGTTCAAATCTAGGTTTTCTTCGCTAGCTAGAGCAGGTAGTAAGCAACGATGTTCATTGCTCGTCTCCTTTTTTCCTCGCCTCCCTCCACTCCAACCAACCCCCCCCAGGCTGTGGGTTATAATGCAGTGGAAGTGGACGACTGGGATGAACCGGGCATGGCATCCAACGGTCTAGGATCGTCCTTGAACCTCTCTGCTGCTGCTGAGGGCGACAGTGTAAAGGGGGGAGGAGGAGTGGGGATGGTGAGCAGCAACAGTGGGAGCGACATTGGCAAGCTGGAAGCTTTGCTTCTGGAGAAGAACAAGAGGATAGAGCACGAGTTGACCCAAGTCAAGGTGAGTCAACGCTGGTCAACGTGGGTCAAGGTAAGGCCAAAGGCACATGAGTAAGAACGAGTGGGGAGGGATGGTGAGCAGCAGCAGTGGGAGCGACATTGGCAAGCTGGAGGCACTGCTTTTGGAAAAGAACAAGCGGATGGAGCACGAGTTGACCCAAGTCAAGGTTAGTCAACGCCGGTCAACTTGGGGGTCCCATCCCGTCCCGTCTTGACATGAGCTGACAGAGGCAAGCTCGAGGAGCCACTCCTGGTGGAGAGGAACAAGAGAGGATGGAGCACGAGTTGACCCAAGTCAAGGTCAGTCAACGTTGAGGCACAAGAGCAAGCAGCTCAGCAGACAGCAACAGAAGCCACAGTGGCAGAGCAGAATTCTCACAATCTCATGAACATTTTTTGTTCAAATTACCACCCGCTGCCTAGACATGGGCAAAAAAAATCGCATCGCATCGCATTTAATCCCGTTTTTGCGATTGCGATGTTTTTTTTTTTTTTTTTTTTTTTTTTTTTTTTTTTTTTTTTTATCATCGCGCGATGCGATGAATTAATATCGCGCGATTTACATTAAATCGCATTTTAATCGCGCTAAAAAACGCGATTTAAATGCGATATGCGATTTTTAAAAAATCGCGCACGATGTTGCACTGAAACCCACTCTGAAACCCACTACGAAACCACACTAATTATTTGCACTCTAGCTTACGACTGCCCGTGATTCAATTTCCTGGCAGCCATGGTTTTTTCCTGGTTTTTGGGGGTGTTTTTTAATTCTGTTTTAAAACGCGATGCGATTTAAAATCGCATCGCGCGATTTAATTAAATATCGCATGCGGTTTTAATATTCATCGCGCGCAAAACGCGATGTGCGATCTATGTTTTTCCAGAAATTAAATCGCGCGATGCGATTTAAAATCGCATCGCATTTAATTAAATCGCCCCCCAATGCGATGCGATTTAAATCGCAATCGCATTTTGCCCATGTCTACAGCTGCCCCCACCCAACCTTCCTCTCCCCCCTTTTTTTTCCTTCCCCCCCTCGCTATTTCCATCTTTTCTCAAGCATCCCCGCAGATGAGATGCGTGTGAGGGAAAAAGAGGAGTGTGCAACAAAAATCAATGCTTTCAGCAGCACTGGAAGCCACAGTGGCTAAGCAGAAGGCTTTCGTACACAACCTCGACGATTACATTCTTATAAACCATCCACCCCCCTCCCCCTCCCCCCCCCCCCCCTCCCACTCCCTTTCCCTCTCTCCCTCAACACCGCATCAGATGCGTCTGAGTGAGAGGGAGGAGGAGTGGGAGCAGCAGAGCGCAAGGGTAGCGGCACTGGAAGCCACAGTGGCAGAGCAGAACGCCCTCCTAGGCTACCTGAATGGAGAGCAGAACGCCCTCCTAGGCTAGCTGAATGGAGAGCAGAACGCCCTCCTAGGCTAGCTGAATGGAGAGCAGAACGCCCTCCTAGGCTAGCTGAATGGAGAGCAGAACGCCCTCCTAGGCTGGCTGAATGGAGAGCAGAACGCCCTCCTAGGCTACCTGAATGGAGAGCAGAACGCCCTCCTAGGCTACCTGAATGGAGAGCAGAACGCCCTCCTAGGCTAGCTGAATGGAGAGCAGAACGCCCTCCTAGGCTAGCTGAATGGAGAGCAGAACGCCCTCCTAGGCTAGCTGAATGGAGAGCAGAACGCCCTCCTAGGCTACCTGAATGGAGAGCAGAACGCCCTCCTAGGCTAGCTGAATGGAGAGCAGAACGCCCTCCTAGGCTAGCTGAATGGAGAGCAGAACGCCCTCCTAGGCTAGCTGAATGGAGAGCAGAACGCCCTCCTAGGCTACCTGAATGGAGAGCAGAACGCCCTCCTAGGCTAGCTGAATGGAGAGCAGAACGCCCTCCTAGGCTACCTGAATGGAGAGCAGAACGCCCTCATAGGCTAGCTGAATGGAGAGCAGAACGCCCTCCTAGGCTAGCTGAATGGAGAGCAGAACGCCCTCTTAGGCTACCTGAATGGAGAGCAGAACGCCCTCCTAGGCTAGCTGAATGGAGAGCAGAACGCCCTCCTAGGCTAGCTGAATGGAGAGCAGAACGCCCTCCTAGGCTACCTGAATGGAGAGCAGAACGCCCTCCTAGGCTACCTGAATGGAGAGCAGAACGCCCTCCTAGGCTACCTGAATGGAGAGCAGAACGCCCTCCTAGGCTACCTGAATGGAGAGCAGAACGCCCTCCTAGGCTACCTGAATGGAGAGCAGAACGCCCTCCTAGGCTAGCTGAATGGAGAGCAGAACGCCCTCCTAGGCTAGCTGAATGGAGAGCAGAACGCCCTCCTAGGCTACCTGAATGGAGAGCAGAACGCCCTCCTAGGCTACCTGAATGGAGAGCAGAACGCCCTCCTAGGCTAGCTGAATGGAGAGCAGAACGCCCTCCTAGGCTAGCTGAATGGAGAGCAGAACGCCCTCCTAGGCTACCTGAATGGAGAGCAGAACGCCCTCCTAGGCTAGCTGAATGGAGAGCAGAACGCCCTCCTAGGCTACCTGAATGGAGAGCAGAACGCCCTCCTAGGCTAGCTGAATGGAGAGCAGAACGCCCTCCTAGGCTAGCTGAATGGAGAGCAGAACGCCCTCTTAGGCTACCTGAATGGAGAGCAGAACGCCCTCCTAGGCTAGCTGAATGGAGAGCAGAACGCCCTCCTAGGCTAGCTGAATGGAGAGCAGAACGCCCTCCTAGGCTACCTGAATGGAGAGCAGAACGCCCTCCTAGGCTACCTGAATGGAGAGCAGAACGCCCTCCTAGGCTACCTGAATGGAGAGCAGAACGCCCTCCTAGGCTACCTGAATGGAGAGCAGAACGCCCTCCTAGGCTACCTGAATGGAGAGCAGAACGCCCTCCTAGGCTACCTGAATGGAGAGCAGAACGCCCTCCTAGGCTAGCTGAATGGAGAGCAGAACGCCCTCCTAGGCTAGCTGAATGGAGAGCAGAACGCCCTCCTAGGCTAGCTGAATGGAGAGCAGAACGCCCTCCTAGGCTAGCTGAATGGAGAGCAGAACGCCCTCCTAGGCTACCTGAATGGAGAGCAGAACGCCCTCCTAGGCTAGCTGAATGGAGAGCAGAACGCCCTCCTAGGCTAGCTGAATGGAGAGCAGAACGCCCTCCTAGGCTACCTGAATGGAGAGCAGAACGCCCTCCTAGGCTACCTGAATGGAGAGCAGAACGCCCTCCTAGGCTAGCTGAATGGAGAGCAGAACGCCCTCCTAGGCTACCTGAATGGAGAGCAGAACGCCCTCATAGGCTAGCTGAATGGAGAGCAGAACGCCCTCCTAGGCTAGCTGAATGGAGAGCAGAACGCCCTCTTAGGCTACCTGAATGGAGAGCAGAACGCCCTCCTAGGCTAGCTGAATGGAGAGCAGAACGCCCTCCTAGGCTAGCTGAATGGAGAGCAGAACGCCCTCCTAGGCTACCTGAATGGAGAGCAGAACGCCCTCCTAGGCTACCTGAATGGAGAGCAGAACGCCCTCCTAGGCTACCTGAATGGAGAGCAGAACGCCCTCCTAGGCTACCTGAATGGAGAGCAGAACGCCCTCCTAGGCTACCTGAATGGAGAGCAGAACGCCCTCCTAGGCTAGCTGAATGGAGAGCAGAACGCCCTCCTAGGCTAGCTGAATGGAGAGCAGAACGCCCTCCTAGGCTACCTGAATGGAGAGCAGAACGCCCTCCTAGGCTACCTGAATGGAGAGCAGAACGCCCTCCTAGGCTAGCTGAATGGAGAGCAGAACGCCCTCCTAGGCTAGCTGAATGGAGAGCAGAACGCCCTCCTAGGCTACCTGAATGGAGAGCAGAACGCCCTCCTAGGCTAGCTGAATGGAGAGCAGAACGCCCTCCTAGGCTACCTGAATGGAGAGCAGAACGCCCTCCTAGGCTAGCTGAATGGAGAGCAGAACGCCCTCCTAGGCTAGCTGAATGGAGAGCAGAACGCCCTCTAGGCTACCTGAATGGAGAGCAGAACGCCCTCCTAGGCTAGCTGAATGGAGAGCAGAACGCCCTCCTAGGCTAGCTGAATGGAGAGCAGAACGCCCTCCTAGGCTAGCTGAATGGAGAGCAGAACGCCCTCCTAGGCTACCTGAATGGAGAGCAGAACGCCCTCCTAGGCTACCTGAATGGAGAGCAGAACGCCCTCCTAGGCTACCTGAATGGAGAGCAGAACGCCCTCCTAGGCTACCTGAATGGAGAGCAGAACGCCCTCCTAGGCTACCTGAATGGAGAGCAGAACGCCCTCCTAGGCTAGCTGAATGGAGAGCAGAACGCCCTCCTAGGCTAGCTGAATGGAGAGCAGAACGCCCTCCTAGGCTAGCTGAATGGAGAGCAGAACGCCCTCCTAGGCTAGCTGAATGGAGAGCAGAACGCCCTCCTAGGCTACCTGAATGGAGAGCAGAACGCCCTCCTAGGCTAGCTGAATGGAGAGCAGAACGCCCTCCTAGGCTAGCTGAATGGAGAGCAGAACGCCCTCCTAGGCTACCTGAATGGAGAGCAGAACGCCCTCCTAGGCTAGCTGAATGGAGAGCAGAACGCCCTCCTAGGCTACCTGAATGGAGAGCAGAACGCCCTCCTAGGCTACCTGAATGGAGAGCAGAACGCCCTCCTAGGCTAGCTGAATGGAGAGCAGAACGCCCTCCTAGGCTAGCTGAATGGAGAGCAGAACGCCCTCCTAGGCTAGCTGAATGGAGAGCAGAACGCCCTCCTAGGCTACCTGAATGGAGAGCAGAACGCCCTCCTAGGCTAGCTGAATGGAGAGCAGAACGCCCTCCTAGGCTACCTGAATGGAGAGCAGAACGCCCTCCTAGGCTAGCTGAATGGAGAGCAGAACGCCCTCCTAGGCTAGCTGAATGGAGAGCAGAACGCCCTCTTAGGCTACCTGAATGGAGAGCAGAACGCCCTCCTAGGCTAGCTGAATGGAGAGCAGAACGCCCTCCTAGGCTAGCTGAATGGAGAGCAGAACGCCCTCCTAGGCTACCTGAATGGAGAGCAGAACGCCCTCCTAGGCTACCTGAATGGAGAGCAGAACGCCCTCCTAGGCTACCTGAATGGAGAGCAGAACGCCCTCCTAGGCTACCTGAATGGAGAGCAGAACGCCCTCCTAGGCTACCTGAATGGAGAGCAGAACGCCCTCCTAGGCTAGCTGAATGGAGAGCAGAACGCCCTCCTAGGCTAGCTGAATGGAGAGCAGAACGCCCTCCTAGGCTACCTGAATGGAGAGCAGAACGCCCTCCTAGGCTAGCTGAATGGAGAGCAGAACGCCCTCCTAGGCTAGCTGAATGGAGAGCAGAACGCCCTCCTAGGCTAGCTGAATGGAGAGCAGAACGCCCTCCTAGGCTAGCTGAATGGAGAGCAGAACGCCCTCCTAGGCTACCTGAATGGAGAGCAGAACGCCCTCCTAGGCTACCTGAATGGAGAGCAGAACGCCCTCCTAGGCTACCTGAATGGAGAGCAGAACGCCCTCCTAGGCTACCTGAATGGAGAGCAGAACGCCCTCCTAGGCTACCTGAATGGAGAGCAGAACGCCCTCCTAGGCTACCTGAATGGAGAGCAGAACGCCCTCCTAGGCTAGCTGAATGGAGAGCAGAACGCCCTCCTAGGCTAGCTGAATGGAGAGCAGAACGCCCTCCTAGGCTACCTGAATGGAGAGCAGAACGCCCTCATAGGCTAGCTGAATGGAGAGCAGAACGCCCTCCTAGGCTAGCTGAATGGAGAGCAGAACGCCCTCCTAGGCTACCTGAATGGAGAGCAGAACGCCCTCCTAGGCTAGCTGAATGGAGAGCAGAACGCCCTCCTAGGCTACCTGAATGGAGAGCAGAACGCCCTCCTAGGCTACCTGAATGGAGAGCAGAACGCCCTCCTAGGCTAGCTGAATGGAGAGCAGAACGCCCTCCTAGGCTAGCTGAATGGAGAGCAGAACGCCCTCCTAGGCTACCTGAATGGAGAGCAGAACGCCCTCCTAGGCTACCTGAATGGAGAGCAGAACGCCCTCCTAGGCTACCTGAATGGAGAGCAGAACGCCCTCCTAGGCTACCTGAATGGAGAGCAGAACGCCCTCCTAGGCTACCTGAATGGAGAGCAGAACGCCCTCCTAGGCTAGCTGAATGGAGAGCAGAACGCCCTCTTAGGCTACCTGAATGGAGAGCAGAACGCCCTCCTAGGCTAGCTGAATGGAGAGCAGAACGCCCTCCTAGGCTACCTGAATGGAGAGCAGAACGCCCTCCTAGGCTAGCTGAATGGAGAGCAGAACGCCCTCCTAGGCTACCTGAATGGAGAGCAGAACGCCCTCATAGGCTAGCTGAATGGAGAGCAGAACGCCCTCCTAGGCTAGCTGAATGGAGAGCAGAACGCCCTCCTAGGCTAGCTGAATGGAGAGCAGAACGCCCTCCTAGGCTAGCTGAATGGAGAGCAGAACGCCCTCCTAGGCTACCTGAATGGAGAGCAGAACGCCCTCCTAGGCTACCTGAATGGAGAGCAGAACGCCCTCCTAGGCTAGCTGAATGGAGAGCAGAACGCCCTCCTAGGCTAGCTGAATGGAGAGCAGAACGCCCTCCTAGGCTAGCTGAATGGAGAGCAGAACGCCCTCCTAGGCTACCTGAATGGAGAGCAGAACGCCCTCATAGGCTAGCTGAATGGAGAGCAGAACGCCCTCCTAGGCTAGCTGAATGGAGAGCAGAACGCCCTCCTAGGCTACCTGAATGGAGAGCAGAACGCCCTCCTAGGCTAGCTGAATGGAGAGCAGAACGCCCTCCTAGGCTACCTGAATGGAGAGCAGAACGCCCTCCTAGGCTACCTGAATGGAGAGCAGAACGCCCTCCTAGGCTAGCTGAATGGAGAGCAGAACGCCCTCCTAGGCTAGCTGAACGGAGAGCAGAACGCCCTCCTAGGCTACCTGAATGGAGAGCAGAACGCCCTCCTAGGCTACCTGAATGGAGAGCAGAACGCCCTCCTAGGCTACCTGAATGGAGAGCAGAACGCCCTCCTAGGCTACCTGAATGGAGAGCAGAACGCCCTCCTAGGCTACCTGAATGGAGAGCAGAACGCCCTCCTAGGCTAGCTGAATGGAGAGCAGAACGCCCTCTTAGGCTACCTGAATGGAGAGCAGAACGCCCTCCTAGGCTAGCTGAATGGAGAGCAGAACGCCCTCCTAGGCTACCTGAATGGAGAGCAGAACGCCCTCCTAGGCTAGCTGAATGGAGAGCAGAACGCCCTCCTAGGCTACCTGAATGGAGAGCAGAACGCCCTCATAGGCTAGCTGAATGGAGAGCAGAACGCCCTCCTAGGCTAGCTGAATGGAGAGCAGAACGCCCTCCTAGGCTAGCTGAATGGAGAGCAGAACGCCCTCCTAGGCTAGCTGAATGGAGAGCAGAACGCCCTCCTAGGCTACCTGAATGGAGAGCAGAACGCCCTCCTAGGCTACCTGAATGGAGAGCAGAACGCCCTCCTAGGCTAGCTGAATGGAGAGCAGAACGCCCTCCTAGGCTAGCTGAATGGAGAGCAGAACGCCCTCCTAGGCTAGCTGAATGGAGAGCAGAACGCCCTCCTAGGCTACCTGAATGGAGAGCAGAACGCCCTCCTAGGCTACCTGAATGGAGAGCAGAACGCCCTCCTAGGCTAGCTGAATGGAGAGCAGAACGCCCTCCTAGGCTAGCTGAATGGAGAGCAGAACGCCCTCCTAGGCTACCTGAATGGAGAGCAGAACGCCCTCCTAGGCTACCTGAATGGAGAGCAGAACGCCCTCCTAGGCTAGCTGAATGGAGAGCAGAACGCCCTCCTAGGCTACCTGAATGGAGAGCAGAACGCCCTCCTAGGCTACCTGAATGGAGAGCAGAACGCCCTCCTAGGCTAGCTGAATGGAGAGCAGAACGCCCTCCTAGGCTAGCTGAATGGAGAGCAGAACGCCCTCCTAGGCTAGCTGAATGGAGAGCAGAACGCCCTCCTAGGCTACCTGAATGGAGAGCAGAACGCCCTCCTAGGCTAGCTGAATGGAGAGCAGAACGCCCTCCTAGGCTACCTGAATGGAGAGCAGAACGCCCTCCTAGGCTAGCTGAATGGAGAGCAGAACGCCCTCCTAGGCTAGCTGAATGGAGAGCAGAACGCCCTCTTAGGCTACCTGAATGGAGAGCAGAACGCCCTCCTAGGCTAGCTGAATGGAGAGCAGAACGCCCTCTTAGGCTACCTGAATGGAGAGCAGAACGCCCTCCTAGGCTAGCTGAATGGAGAGCAGAACGCCCTCCTAGGCTACCTGAATGGAGAGCAGAACGCCCTCCTAGGCTACCTGAATGGAGAGCAGAACGCCCTCCTAGGCTAGCTGAATGGAGAGCAGAACGCCCTCCTAGGCTAGCTGAATGGAGAGCAGAACGCCCTCCTAGGCTACCTGAATGGAGAGCAGAACGCCCTCCTAGGCTACCTGAATGGAGAGCAGAACGCCCTCCTAGGCTAGCTGAATGGAGAGCAGAACGCCCTCCTAGGCTAGCTGAATGGAGAGCAGAACGCCCTCCTAGGCTAGCTGAATGGAGAGCAGAACGCCCTCCTAGGCTAGCTGAATGGAGAGCAGAACGCCCTCCTAGGCTAGCTGAATGGAGAGCAGAACGCCCTCCTAGGCTACCTGAATGGAGAGCAGAACGCCCTCCTAGGCTACCTGAATGGAGAGCAGAACGCCCTCCTAGGCTACCTGAATGGAGAGCAGAACGCCCTTCTAGGCTACCTGAATGGAGAGCAGAACGCCCTCCTAGGCTACCTGAATGGAGAGCAGAACGCCCTCCTAGGCTAGCTGAATGGAGAGCAGAACGCCCTCCTAGGCTAGCTGAATGGAGAGCAGAACGCCCTCCTAGGCTACCTGAATGGAGAGCAGAACGCCCTCATAGGCTAGCTGAATGGAGAGCAGAACGCCCTCCTAGGCTAGCTGAATGGAGAGCAGAACGCCCTCCTAGGCTACCTGAATGGAGAGCAGAACGCCCTCCTAGGCTAGCTGAATGGAGAGCAGAACGCCCTCCTAGGCTACCTGAATGGAGAGCAGAACGCCCTCCTAGGCTACCTGAATGGAGAGCAGAACGCCCTCCTAGGCTAGCTGAATGGAGAGCAGAACGCCCTCCTAGGCTAGCTGAATGGAGAGCAGAACGCCCTCCTAGGCTAGCTGAATGGAGAGCAGAACGCCCTCCTAGGCTAGCTGAATGGAGAGCAGAACGCCCTCCTAGGCTACCTGAATGGAGAGCAGAACGCCCTCATAGGCTACCTGAATGGAGAGCAGAACGCCCTCCTAGGCTAGCTGAATGGAGAGCAGAACGCCCTCCTAGGCTACCTGAATGGAGAGCAGAACGCCCTCATAGGCTACCTGAATGGGGGACGACGATTGCAAACCCATTCACGAATCTCCCCCCCCCTCCTCTCTCCCTCACGCCCTCCCCCCCAGATGTGTCTGAGTGAGATGAAGGAGGAGTGTGCACAGGAAATGGCCAAGGTAGCTACACTGGAAGCGACAGTAGCAGAGCAGAAGACCCTCATAGGCAAGCTGGAGGACGATATTCTCAGGGACCCTTTCACATCCCCTTGCTCTCCCTGTTTCCCTGCTCCCTCACACCCCCTCCCGTCAGATGCGACTGAGTGAGAGGGAGGAGGAGTGCGCCCGGAAAAAGGCCAGGGTAGCGGCACTGGAAGCCACAGTAGCAGAGAAGAAGGCTCTCACTCACCAGCCAGCTGGAGGCGGCACTCTCAACACCCATCTCCACAAAATCTCCCCCTTCTCTTCCGCACGCCCTTCCAGATGCGTCTGAGTGAGAAAGAGGAGTGTGGAGCTGCAAGCAGCAAAGGTAGCGGCACTGGAAGCCACAGTAGCAGAGCAGAAGACCCTCATTGGCAAGCTGGAGGACGCCATTCTCAAGGACCCTTTCACATCCTCTTCCTCTCCATGTTTCCCTGCTCCCTCACACACACCCTCTCATGTCAGATGCGTCTGAGTGAGAGGGAGGAAGAGTGCGCGCAGGAAAAAGCCAAGGTAGCAACGTTGGAAGCCACAGTAGCAGAGCAGAAGACCCTAATTGGGAAGCTGGAGGATGACATTCTCAAGGGCTATGGTGCCAGGGACAAGCACCGGGCGGCATCGGTCGGCAGTATTGTCTCGATACCCGGTGCAGCGGGCGGCAGCGGTGGCAGTGATGGTGGCGGTACAGGTGGCAGCAGCGGGCTGGTGGATGCTGATTCGGTGCTGATGGTGGTGTGTGGGCAGCGGGACAGATTCCGGCAACGAATGGGAGAGCTGGAAGAGGTGAGCGGCGGCACTAGGTGGCACTAGTGGGTGGGGGGGTTTGGGCATGGGGTGTTGAATAGGGGCGACTCATGGTCGTGTGGTGGGGGACATCGGATCCGGCAGCGGATAGAGGGGTGACTTATGCTGGTGTGTGGCCAGCAGGACAGGTTTCGGCAGCGAATGGGCGAGGTGGAGGAGGTGAGAGAGGGGGATAGGAAGGTGGGAGGGAGTGGGGAGAGGGGGTGGGTTGTTCCTTCCCGAGTTTGAGGTGATCGGTCCGTTCAGATGAGTTCTCTGCTACTGAGTGCTGCGTTGCCAAGTAGCATGGCTTTTGGCTTGTTTGTTGTAGACGAGGCTTACTCATGAGATAACTCATAGTTTTGAGGCGCCTCAAAACGAGGCTTACTCACGTGATTACTCATAGTTTTGAGGCGCCTCAAAACGAGGCTTACTCATGTGATAACTCATAGTTTTGAGGCGCCTCAAAACGAGGCTTACTCACGTGATTACTCATAGTTTTGAGGCGCCTCAAAACGAGGCTTACTCACGTAATGACTCATAGTTTTGAGGCGCCTCAAAATGAGGCTTACTCATGTGATAACTCGTAGTTTTGAGGCGCCTCAAAACGAGGCTTACCCACGTGATTACTCATAGTTTTGAGGCGCCTCAAAACGAGGCTTACTCATGTGATAACTCATATCTCCGCCCGTTCCTATCTGTTGGCAGGAGCTGCGAGCAGAGAGGGAGAGGAGCAGCAAGCTAGTGGCAGAGTTGGAGCGGTTGAAAGCCGACAACGTGAAGCTGTACGAGCGCATGCGATACGTGCAGGACTACACTAGTGCGGGAGGGGATAGACCCAACTCCAGTCGGTCAAGGAAGGTGCGTGAGTCTTCCTATCGAGGAAAGGTGCAGCTGTACAAGAAGATCTATGTCAAGACCATTACCCCTCCCTTCACACGACTTCCAACTCACTGAATGCTACTCCACCCACCCAACGTCCCACTCCCACTCCATCCATATCAATGCGACATAGAGGTGGCGTGATATAAGGTTTGTTTGGAGACGTCTCAAAACAAACCTCCCACTCCCCGCTCCATCCATATCAATGCGACATAGAGGTGGCGTGATATAAGGTTTGTTCGGAGACGTCTCAAAACAAACCTCCCACTCCCCGCTCCATCCATATCAATGCGACATAGAGGTGGCGTGATATAAGGTTTGTTTGGAGACGTCTCAAAACAAACCTCCCACTCCCCGCTCCATCCATATCAATGCGACATAGAGGTGGCGTGATATAAGGTTTGTTTGGAGACGTCTCAAAACAAACCTCCCACTCCCCGCTCCATCCATATCAATGCGACATAGAGGTGGCGTGATATCAGGTTTGTTCGGAGACGTCTCAAAACAAACCTCCCACTCCCCGCTCCATCCATATCAATGCGACATAGAGGTGGTGTGATATAAGGTTTGTTTGGAGACGTCTCAAAACAAACCTCCCACTCCCCGCTCCATCCATATCAGTGCGACATAGAGGCGGGCCCAGCAGAGGAGGCTAGATCGTGTACAAGTAAGAATGGAGGAGGCTATCAAGCCCGTTCTTCACCCCACACAACCCCCGCTCTTCTGTCTTCCTGCCCACCCTGCCAGGGTGACATAGAGGCGGGCCCAGCAGAGGACGTGGAGAGCAAGTACAAGAAGATCTACGAGGACACCATCAACCCGTTTGCTGCTTTCTCCACCAAGGTTTGTGTTGTGTTGCCATTGTTTTTGTCTGTGTTGTGTGCATGGCTTGTTTTGAAACCGATGCTCTAACAGTTGAGGCTGGTTCAGCCTGGAATTGAATCCCGGTCTAATGCACCTTTCTCTAACATTTGTGCAGTCCCCCACACCTCGCTCCTCACCTCACCTTTTTCCCCTTTTTTTTTGTTTTCTTTTGGCTGCCCACAAGCCTGCATCCCTCCCTCCAAACCTGGTTCCTTACACCTCTGCGCTGGTACTAGGAAAACCATATGGTCATATGGTGATCATTTCACCAATCTTGTCTGGTTTTCCCCATGTCTTTGACTCGGTATGCTCCCCATTCTACCCTTGTCTCTGCGCGTGCGTGCAGGAAAGAGAGCAGCGGGTGAGGGAGCTGGGGCTAAGGGACCGCATCACTCTCACCGGCGGCAGATTCCTGCTTTCAAACAAGTCAGTTACTGTCACCGACTCGCTCACTCAGTCAACCACTGTCGCCCACTCACTCACTCACTCACTCCCTCCTCCCCCCCTCCTCCCTCCCTCCTCCCCCTGCCTCCCATTGTCACCTCGCCTCTCTGCCTGAAATGCATTCACACTTAACGAGGTAATGTCTCAACTCAACCATGACCGCATCTTGTTCTGGACTGGCATGCTGCCTGCTTCTGTTTACGCGGTTTTTTTTTTTTTTTTTTTTTTTTTTTTTTGGTGTCACTGTTGCAGGTACGCGCGCACGTTTGTCTTCATCGATGCTATCGGTGTTGTATGTTTCTCTCCTAACTAGCAATTCCTCTTTCCCCCCCTGCATGCTCCTTTCTGTTGCAGGTACGCGCGCACGTTTGTCTTCTTCTACGCCATCGGCCTGCACATCCTCGTGGCTCTCAGCATGTACCGCCTCTCCAGCCTCAGCCATGCCAGGTCAGCATTGGAGCATGTGTTGGCATAACTCAGCTGTTTGGTATCCATGCATCCATGCATCCATACATCCATGTATCCATGTATCCATGCATCCATGCATCCATGTATCCATGTATCCATGCATCGATGCATCCATGCATCCCTGTATCCATGTATCCATGCATCCATGCATCCATGTATCCATGTATCCATGCATCCATGCATCCATGTATCCATGTATCCATGCATCGATGCATCCATGCATCCCTGTATCCATGTATCCATGCATCCATGCATCCATGTATCCATGTATCCATGTATCCATGCATCCATGCATCCATGCATCCCTGTATCCATGTATCCATGCATACATGCATCCATGTATCCATGTATCCATGCATCCATGCATCCATGTATCCATGTATCCATGCATTTATGTATCCATGCATTTATGTATCCATGCATTTATGCATCGAGGCATTTGTGCATCTATGCATCTACGCATCCATGCACATATCCGCTTGGCTCTCAGCATGTACCGCCTCTCCAGCCTCAGCCATGCCCGGTGAGCCCCCATGTAGAAAAGCACCTATGTGCATGATACCGCATGCATCCATGCACCCACCTGCACATCCTCATGGCTCTCAGCATGTACCGCCTCTCCAGCCTCAGCCACGCCAGGTCAGCAATGGTGCATGTGATGGTGTAGCGGTTTGATATCTATGTATCCAAGCATCCGTGTATCCATGCATCTATGCGCATATCCTCACGGCTCTCAGCATGTACCACCTCTCCAGCCTCAGCCATGCCAGGTCAGCATGAGTGCATGATGTGAGCGGGTATTGGTGTGTTTGAGTCATCCTGGCTGCATACATCCATGCACACATATCCTCGTGGCTCTCAGCATGTACCGCGTCTCCAGTTTCAGCCATGCCAGGTCAGCAGACACAAGTACCATATGCATTCACATCCTTCAAGGCTTCTTTCAACCATCCACACATGGCCTATTGTTATGGGCCAGTCGCCCGTCGTATCGCGCTGAGATTGTATTTTCTCCGTTTCCCCTCCCTTCGTAATTCAGGATAAAGTTTGACGAGTCAGAACTTCCTTCGAAACACTCACTTTTGAGTGCCGCATTGAGGTCTCGCAATGCCACATATGGCGGAGGGTTTTCGTCCAACTGAGAACCATGGAAGTTGTGAATGTCATTATGGAAGTTTTGTACGTGTACATTACATTTCATGGTTTAGAATCCTCTCAGCATTATTAGGGCCCGTTCCAAAAATGTTCATGATACACTTTGTAATCACAATGGCTTTGCTTCTGCTATTGAATGTGATATTCCTGACGTGATTACGCGTATGTAGGATGTACGGAGGGCATTTATATGAGGGGTCACAAACACTAGGCGTGCTATCACGTTTAGTCATTCGGCTATCACGAACAGTCACTTTTAGTGGCGATCCATCACGGTTAGTCACACGGTTATCAGGAGTCATCACTCCCTCGGGGCCAAGGCCATCACGTTCGGTCACAATGAAACAACCGCTGGAAAGCTGAAACTCCCGCCAAAAATTCCACGCGCGCTGAGCTACTGTTAAGATTCACACCAGTGATCAGTCGCGCGTGGCCTCGTCCTTTGTGCGCGACTGATTTCCAAGTGATTTCGCCAGACTGTCTGTTATGAATGAACAAGCAGAGTAGCGCGGAAATGAATAACGAAGTGTTCACTCAATGAATATGACCATACAGAGAATGGCAAGCCAAGATATAGGAACACCAGAGCTAGTCTAACCATGCGATGGGAAGGTTCGGGAAAGAGATCGAAGGGTCTCGAAGTGACGAAGCGAGGCCCGGAGAACTCCCGAAGGTCGAACTAGAAGGTCTGGAGTATCAGAAATTAGAATTGAATTATTGGTAAAGTGAGAGTACACACAAATATATCTAAGTTTTTGTATCCTCTAAGAGGTGACTCTATACAGTCTATACAAACATGACAAATACACATGTTTGACACACCCCCTAGACTGCATAGGGGAATACCCTAAACAAGCAGCTCAGGGCGGCACTACTAGTCCAACCTCTGAGGCAAGGGTCTGAGCGACCGGTCAGAAGGAGTACAGACAAGGCAAGCACAAGAGCAGGGCGGCACTACTAGTCCAGCCACTAGGAGAGGACACAAGTCCAGTCTGAGTATACATATAAAGAACAGTACAAAGTCAAGGTCCTAGCAAGTGAGAGGCTACAGGAACTAGGCCAAGCTGTACACAGTGCCGCTGATGATCTTTAGGCGCAAGCGCCTTCGTAAAGATATCAGCCGTGTTGGCACCTGAGGCCAAGTGTACTACGCGAGCCTGACGTCGCTGCTGTAGCTCACGCAGGAGGAAGTACCGCAGCTGAATGTGTTTCGCTCTGCCCTCGAGTCGAGGCTCCTGACACAGGAGGATCATGGCCCTGTTGTCAGCGAACAGGACCGGGGCAGAGCTAGGCCGCTCACCTAAATCAGTGAGCAAGAAGGTCAGCCAGCGGAGCTCCTGTGCCGCCATGGCACCGGCGTAGATCTCAGCCTCACAGCTGGACTGTGCAACAGACGAGGAGCGAGTAGCTCTCCACGAGACGGCACCTGAGCCAAGGCTGAAGCAGTAGCCCTGGGTAGACCGGAGTGTCTCAGCGTCGTCTGCCCACGAAGCGTCTGTGTGCCCAGTAAGGACCGCTGGCCTGCGTCCTCCTAGCACTAACCCCATGCCCGATGTACTAGCAAGATAACGCAGAACCCTCTTAGCGGCAGACCAGTGCTGCGGTCGGTGTCTGCCTGTGGCCACAAAGCGAGCCAGGATGCTGAGAGGGTATGCGAGATCTGGGCGAGTGCAAGTCATCAGGTACATGAGGCAACCCACCAGCTCTGCGTAGGGGCCGCTGGGCTCTACCAACTCCTCAGGCACTGGAGCGGAGAGCCTGTGGTCTACAGGCAGAGGGGTGGGCTGTGCAGAGGAGAACTGAAGGCTGAACCTCTAAAGGACCTGGCGCACCAAGTGTGACTGAGTCAGGGTGATGGTGCGCGCAGCTCTGTCCCTGGAGATCTGCAAGCCAAGGTAACGGCGCAGTTCTCCAAGGTCAGTGCACGTGTGTCTCTTCAGCAGCTCTGCCTTCACGGAGGCCAGCGCGTCCCTGTCTGCTGTGGCAAAGACCAGGTCGTCGACGTAAACAAGGATGTAGAACGGAGTCTGGCCAGCACGAACGAAGAGTGAAGGGTCTGCAGAAGACGGAAAGAACTGCAGGTCAGCAAGCGTAGCACGCAGAGTGTCGTGCCACTAATGGGGAGCCTGGCGCAGGCCGTAGACGGGGCGCCGCAGGAGCCACTGGGTCCCAGGAGGGAAGGTGCCAGTAAAGCCCGGAGGGCGGCGCAGGTAGACCTGCTCGTGTAGGCTGCCCTGAAGGAAGGCAGTGGAGAAGTCGAGGGAGTGAAGCTCGTAGTCACGCTGAGCAGCTAGGTGTAACAGAACCCGAAGAGTAGTCATCTTCGGGGTCGGAGCGAAAGTCTGGAAGAAGTCCACCCCCTCACGCTGACTGAAGCCTCTAGCCACATAGCGCGCCTTGAAGACAGGCGGCTCTCCAGGAGGGCGCTTCACCTTGAAGAGCCAGCGGCCATCGACTACGTTCACCCCAGGTGGGGGAACTGCGTCGACGAAGGTGCCGGTGGATCTCCAAGATGCCATCTCCTGCTCCATGGCAGCTACCCACTGCGAGGCCCAGGGTCCCGAAGTCGCCTCAGCGTAAGTGCGAGGGGTCGGGATGTCGAAAGCGTCTGGGTCACCCTCAGGGACTAGCAGCATGGAACAGAGATGGGGAGCAGCCTCGGAGAGGAAAGCAAGCTCGAACTGGCGGTCCTCCAGGACGTCACTGCCAAGGGCAGGAGCACCCCCGAGAGACGGAGGACAGGCAGGGTCAGAGACCAGAGCGGTGGCGTAGTCAAGGCGGCGGGTAGAGGCGAAGTCAGCGACAGCAGCGACAAGAGCGTCAAGGCACGAGACTGGAAGAGACGGGTCGGTAACGAGAGAGGCAAGGACCCGAGGAACGAGAGGATGAGCGGCACGAAGGTAGTCGGACAGCGGGGGGGGCGCAACAAGAAGGGAGGACGGAGGAGGCGACGGCAGAAGGGGAGGACGAGACGCGTGTGAACGAAGCAACATAGGGTGGGAGCGCAGGACAGGCGAGGCAGGACGAGCACGGGAGGGACGGTGAGACCAGACGTGGGATGGAGGAGTCGGGTCAGGAGACAGGGGTGGGGACACAGGAGGGGAACGAGGGGGGAGACGGGTCGCGGACGAGTCCGGCGGAGGGAAAACAGGGCCGTAGACAGGAAGAGGAGGAGACGGTCGGGGAGGAACCGACGCAGGGTCGGGGGACGAAAGGCCGAGCAGGCGAAGGGCGGACACCGGCGGGGACTGCTGCTGTGGCGGCACAACGGCGACACCTGGACCGCAAGCTGCTCCTCGGCTACCACCGGCACTCTCCACACCCGCACCCCCAGAGGGACCACCCTCAGGGCGACCGGGACGAGCACCCCCAGAGTCAGCGAACGGGGGCTGCGACGGCGGCGGCGGTGGCGACGGCGACGGCTGCAGTGGCGCAGGGGCGGCGGAGGAGGGGACTGGGGAGGGGACACCTGGGGAGGGGCGGCCGGCGAGGACTGCACCGGAGGGCCACCAGAGTCAGAAGACTCCTCAACCGGGTCCACGGACGGAAGGGGGGTGACGTGGGACACACCAGAGGGGGCGGGACGGGGAGGAGGAGGAGGAGGGGCAGGGACTACCGGGGAAGGGGTGACCAGGAACAGGGGGGGGGTAACCGGGGGACCACGGTGGGGGAAGCGGCAGTAGTAGGAGACGGACTCGTCAAAGGTGACGTCACGAGAGTGAAAGAAGCGGTGAGACGGCGGGTGGTAAAAGTGCCAGTCGGACGCGTCAAGGGGAAAACCGAGGAAGACGCAGGGAAGGGTGCGGGCAGTGAGCTTGTCCGTGCCGGAGGCACGGACGTGAGCAAGGCAGCCCCAGACGTGGAACGTAGACGCATCACCAGGAGACCCAGTCCACAGACGGGTCGGCGAAACCTGCGGCTGCTGAGGGTGCGGCCACAGGTTAAGCTGGTGAGAAGCGTAGCGCACAGCGAACGGCCACAGAAAATGGGGTGCACCGGCATGGACCATGGAGGTGCGAGCGACCTCCTTGACCAAGCCGATGCGTCGCTCAGCGACCCCATTCTGCTGTGGGGAGTCCGGTAGGGTGAACGTCTGGGTGATGCCCTCCGCGCGACAAAAGCGACCAAGGACACCTGAGGCAAACTCGCCACCACGGTCTGAGTGAAGACGCAAGACAGGGAGACCGCGGTGGACACGCGCAGAGACAAGCCAGGGGATGAGGGCGTCAGGCACGTCGGCCTTGCGCTCCAGGGGAAAGACTGTGGTGTAACGAGTGAAGTTGTCGACAAGCACAAGGAAGTAGCGCTCGCGACGCGGCCCAGGGACGGGGGCGGGGCCCCAGACGTCCAGGTGCAGGGTCTGGAGCGGCGCGGCGGTAGGGGGGAACGAGGAGGAGTGAGGGGCACGGCGAAGCCGACCCTCGACACAAGGCGTGCAAGGTGGAGCTGGGGAGGAGGGAAACGCGGGGAGTGAACCTGGGAGACCAAGGACAAGACCGTGCTGGGACATGTGACGCAGACGCGGGAGCCCAGGGTGACCTAGGCGGTGGTGCCACAGGAGGGTCGGGTGAGTGAGGGAGCGACAGGAGCAGGCAGCGGCAACCTGGGTAGACGCAGCCGCCTGAGGGGGCGCTCCAGCCGGAGGGGTCACGGTGTCCAGAGTGAACAGGCCGAACACCGGGTCCTGGGGGAACGTGGACAGGGGGGCACCAGTGGCGGCCTCGGTACAGACAGCATACCGCTCGTGGCCAGGGAACGTAGTGGTGACGCCAAGGTCCTGGAGGCAGCCGACACCAACTAGGTTCCTGGAGAACGAGGGGATATGCAGACCTGTAAGAGAGCCCGAAGGAACCGCCGGACAGGGAAGGGTGGTGGAACTGCGGGCGACTACCGGACCGCCGGAGGGGTCAGCAAGAGAAACGGCAGCAGGAACAGAAAGCGGTGTCAGGGTGGTGGAGTCGCGGAAGAAATACGAGAGGCGCCAGAGTCCAAGGTGAAGGAAAGCGAAGCCGAGGGGTCTGGCGACGGAACGATGGCAGAAGCACCAAGACTACACAAAGCAGGGGATCCTACGCCTGACGCAGCAGGGGAGGCTAAGCTAGGCACACCTACACTAGGCAACAGTGAGTAATAAGCTGGAAGCACACTAGAGTCATCAGCATACATCACATGCAGAGCAGAAACAATGGCATCCATGTCCATATCAAAGATCTGAATCTGACGACTAAGCAAACTGTGCCAGTCCGGGAGGTCTGGCGACGGGCCGAAACGCTGACGAAAGAGGTCGTCCAGGCGACGAAAGCAGCGGGGAGTGGAGTGACCGATCTTACCGCAAACGAAGCCGCGGCGAGGACCGGTCTGGATCTGGTACTGACAACGCCCGCCGCCAGAGCCACCACGCGGCACACCACCACGCGCCCGTCCACCGCCAGCGCCGGGCCACCCTGGCGGGAGAACACTCGTCGGCCGCGTCTGCGACGGCTGCTGCGGCTGCTGCGAAGGCTGCGACTGCGGCGACTGCTGCGCCTGCTGCAACTGCAGGGGCGGCGACTCAGCTGGACTGGGCAGGGTCCCCTCGTCCGCTCCAGCACCAGGCGACCCGACCCCACCACTACCCCCGCCCGCACCCCCGCCGCCCCCTCCGCCGCGCCCAGCCTTGGGGCGGCGGCCCTTCCCAGAACGGGCCTGCGCTGCAGCAGCAGTCTCAGCCACTGAGGCAGAGCCGTCGGAGAAGGTACACTGAGCGGGGGCACAACCCTGAAAGAGAGGGACCGGCACGACACCGCTCGCCTGGGCGATGGAGCGGTGACGGGTCTCTATCACAGTCAGGGTGTCGACAAATTCAGTGAGGGTGAGGTCTGCGGGGTGAACACTAAGGAAGCGGTCGCGGGCGACAGCAAGGCGGTCAGGGAGGCGGGTGGCAAGCAGGTAGAGGGTAGAGGTAATGGGCGGCTGGTGGGCTCTAAGCTGTGCGTCAGTGCAGGCGGCGCGCCAGGTCTCCTCTATCGAGCGCAGGTGGGCAGCGAGGTCAGAGACAGTGGGGAACGAAGCAAGGTCAGGAAAGAGCAGCGGGAGGATCAGGCGACCCACCGAGGCAGCCGGAGGGGTGGAATAGCGCTTGATGACAGCATCTAAGTATGCCTGAGCAGTAGTGAGGGACCTAAAGCGAGGACGCTCGGACGGGGGGAGGGCGTTGCTAATGGCAAGCTGGGCGACAGCATCGCGAGAAAGCCAGACAGAGCGCGCACGGGCAGTGGCAGCAGTAGACTCACGCTCAGTGGGTGTGGGGTCAGCGGGCAGAATAGCAGGAGGGTCTGGGCAGGGGAGCGTACCGTCAAGGTGTGCAGAAAGCGGTTCACCATCCTGCCGCTGGCCAGTGAGCGGCGGAGGTCGGCAAGCCACGCCTCGAACTCTAGGGGCTGACCTTGAGCGTCGAAGCGAAGCTCCGCCGCCATCAGGAACAGTCCAGTGCTGTGCAGGGCGGTGCAGCTAGGTGGGGTGCGGTGCAGTGCGATACAGTGCGGTGCAGTGCGGTGCAGTGCAGTACAGTGCGGTACAGTGCGGTGCAGTGCGGTGCAGTGCGGCGCAGGGCGGGGTGGGGGGGGGGGGGGGGGGGGGACCGTACCAGTGAGGAGGACGGGGCCGGGGCTGGCCCGACGGGGCCGGGCGGGCGCGACGGGGCCGGGCTGGTGCGACAGGGCCGGGACGGGGCGACGGGGCCGAGCGGGCGCGACGGGGCCGGGCTGGGGCGACGGGGCCGGGCGAGTGCGGCAGGGCCGGGCCGGTGCGACGGGGCCGGGCGAGCGGGACGGCGGCCGGGCTGGTGCGACGGGGCCGGGCGGCTGCGACGGGGCCGGGCAGGGTGCGACGGGGCCGGGCGGGTGCGACGGGGCCGGGCGGCTGCGACGGGACCAGGCAGGGTGCGACGGGGCCGGGCAGGCGCGACGGGGCCGGGCAGGGTGCGACGGCGCCGGGCGGGCGCGACGGGGCCGGGCGGCGGCGACGGCGCCGGGCGGGCGCGACGGGGCCGGGCGGCGGCGACGGGGTCGGGCGGGCGCGACGGGGCCGGGCGGCGGCGACGGGTACGACGCGGCCCAGGAGGGGCGCTACGGGGCCCAGGAGGGGCACGACGGGGGGCCCATGAGGGGCGCTACGAAGCCCAGGAGGGGCGCGACGAGGCCCAGGAGGGGCGCTACGGGGCCTTGGAGGGGCGCGACGGGGCCTGGGAGGGGCGCGACAGAGCCTAGGAGGGGCGCTACAGGGCCCAAGGAGGGCGCGGCGGGGCCCAGGAGGGGCGCTACGGGGCCCAGGAGGGGCGAGACGGGGCCCAGAAGGGGTGCTACGGAGCCCAGGAGGGGCGCGACAGAGCCCAGGAGGGGCGCTACGGGGCCTGGAAGGAGAGCGACGGGGCCCAGGAGGGGCGCGACAGAGCCCAGGAGGGGCGCTACGAGGCCTGGGAGGAGCGCGACGGGGCCCAGGAGGGGCGCTAGGGGGCCTGGGAGGAGCGCGACGGGGCCTGGGAGGGGCGCGACGGGGCCTGGGAGGGCGTTATAGGGCCCAGGAGGGGCGCTACGAAGCCCAGGAGGGGCGCGACGAGGCCCAGGAGGGGCGCTACGAAGCCCAGGAGGGGCGCGACGAGGCCCAGGAGGGGCGCTACGCGGCCCAGGAGGGGCGCGACGGGGCGCTACGGGGCCTGGGAGGAGCGCGACGGGGCCTGGGAGGGGCGCGACGGGGCCCAGGAGGGGCGCTACGGGGCCCAGGAGGGGCGCGACGGGGCGCTACAGGGCCTGGGAGGAGCGCGACGGGGCCCAGGAGGGGCGCTAGAGGGCCTGGGAGGGGCGCGACGGGGCCTGAGGGGGGCGCTACAGGGCCAGGGGGGGATGAGCGGAAGCGGTAGGTGGGGGGGGATCCTACCTACGCGTGATACCATATCAGAAATTAGAATTGAATTATTGGTAAAGTGAGAGTACACACAAATATATCTAAGTTTTGTATCCTCTAAGAGGTGACTCTATACAGTCTATACAAACATGACAAATACACATGTTTGACATGGAGAAGCCGAGGCGGTTCTGTCAGAAGGTCTGGAACAGTCCCGAGGCTTCGGGTGTGTTCGAGCGTACGCGATAGCAGTACCGCTCGGTAAGGAATGGAAAATTCCTTACACCACCCCCCCCCCTTAGCGAAGGTGATCTATATCAGCCACATGCTTGCGGGTCAAATAATTCGCAAGTATCGAAGGTGACTGTATCTGGTCCGAGGGCACCCACGTGTCGTCCTCATTGGTACGATTGGTCCATCGTATCAGAAAGTCAACGTGTCGTCCTTGGCCGTCGATACGAATCTGATGGCTCAAAATCTTCGAAGGCTCGATGGTCGTCTCGGCTGGTGGCCGTACATCTGGGACCAAGCGCTGTCGAGCGATGTCCGACGTGTCAGGAACAAAGGGTCGCAACAGGCTCAAGTGGAACTTGGTGTGAATACGTCAATCATCAGGTAGGTGTAACTGGGCGGTCACCGGCGTCACCATCTTCATGATTTTGAACGGGCCACAGAAACGTGGTCGTAATTTCGTCGTTAGTGGCAGTCGTAAATTCTTGGTGTCCAACAGGACTAGTTGCCCTGCTGCCATGGTAATATCTCGTCGATGTAAATCCGCATACCGTCAGGCAGTAGCGTTCGCCTTGCGAATAAGTTCGACCGCTTTGTCTCGGGCAGTCTGTAATTCTTCGACGAACTGCTGCGATCGCGGTACTTGACTCTCAACGTTGGTGGCGATTGGTACTGTCGGGTCCATCCCGTAATTGAGATAAAACGGGGAGTGATTAGTCGTAGCCGAGGGCGCGTTGTTGTAGGAGAATTCCAACATGGGCAGCACGTCCTCCCATTTTTTCTGGTCGGGGCAGTTTGTCCGAATCAGCTGCTCCATCGTTTGATTCGTCCTTTCAGTCTGGCCGTCCGTTTGGGGATGACAAGCGGATGAGAACTGTAGACGCGTGCCGTACCGAGCCCACGTGTCCTGTCAGAATTTTATCGTGAACTTCGGATCTCGATCGCTAATGATTGCTGCTGGTATCCCATGTAGACGAACAACGGTCGAGACGAATAGGCACGCTGTTTCTTCGTCTGTAATGGTTGTACGACATGGTGCGAAATGCGCCATTTTCGTCAATCGGTCGACGACAACCAAGACCGCTTCGTTTCCGCTGGGTCCGGCCGGTAGTCCCGTAACGAAATCCATCGTCACGTGTTGCCATGGGCGTTGAGGTGGCTCGAGGGGCTGCAATAGTCATGTAGGTCGCTGGTGTGATGACTTCATTCGCTGGCAGATCGGACACGCGGCCACGTAACGCTGCACGTCCGTCACCATATCTGGCCAGTAATAAAACCGTTGCAACGCCTTCGGAGTTTTATCAACCCCGAAATGTCCCGATAAATTCGAATCGTGGACTTCTTGAATTAATAATTCGCGAAGTAGACGATAACTTGGGACCCAAATTCGATCACTCCCGCTTCGTAAGTAATAGACGCCTTTCCGTGTAGTGAGTGGGAGATGGCCGTCGTTTACGAAGAAGGGGTCAGTCGAATACCTGTGGGTAAATAGTCCACTCAGTAGCGGGTTGCTTTGGGCAACTAGTACTGCTGCGAGTTGGGCAGATGGTCTGGAAAGGGCATCGGCAATATTGTTGGCACCGTTTTTATACGTGATATTGTACGTGAAGTTCGACTCCAGATAGTCCAGCCAGCGTATCTGCCACGGGTTGAGATTCGGCTGCGCTCTCAGGTACTGTAGTGATTTGTGATCAGTTCGCACCATCACGTCTGCTCCAGTCAGGTAGCATCTCCAGATTTTGAACGCGTGGACGATCGCCAGCATCTCCTTGTCGTGTACCGGATAGTTGCGCTCAGCAGATTGCATTTTCCGAGACTCGTACGCGATTGGTTGAAGCCCATTGCCGAAATCCTGCATGAGCACTTCTCCGATGGCGATGTCACTTGCGTCGGTGATGACTTCGAAGGGTCGTTCTGGGTCAGCGATGCGAAGTACCGGTGGCGACATTAAAAGAGTTTTTAATGCCTCGAACGCAGCTTGCTGCTTCTCCCCCCACTCGTAAAAAGTCCCCTTCTGCAGTAGGTCGGTTAGAGGTCCAGCCATGTTGGGTATAAACCGCCGCACGTAATTCACGAAACCCAAGAATGATTGTAGCTGCTGCAGATTTGTTGGTGGTTTCCACTCCTGAATAGCCCGGAGTTTTTTCGGGTCTATTCGAATCCCCTCCTTGGAGATCACGTGCCCCAGGAACTCCAGTTCTTGTTTTAAAAACTCGCACTTGGAGCCCTTGGTGATGAGACGATGCTGCTGCAGCCGCTGAAAAAATGGCTTCCAGGTCCTTTAAATGTTGCTCCCGGGTCTTGCTGTAGATCAGAATGTCGTCCACGTAAATTATCACGCATTTGTCAAGTAGATCGCGGAACACCCCGTTCATGGTGAGTTGGAACATCGAGGGGGCGTTCGTTAATCCAAACGGCATCACCGTGTATTCGTAACTCCCGTAGCGAATACGAAACGCGGTCTTGTGGCAGTCGTCAGTGAATACTCGAATTTGATGGTAACCGCCACGAAGGTCGATCTTCCAAAAATAGCGAGCTCCGCGAAGGTTGTCGATCAGTTCGTCTGTGCGTGGGATTGGGTAGCGCGATTTTATCGTTACCCGATTAAGGGCCCGATAATCCGTACACATGCGAAGTCCGCCGTCCTTTTTTGGTGTGAACAGGATCGGTGCTGCGAACGGTGGCGTGCTCGGCCGAATGAACCCTTTCGCCAGCAGGTAGTCCAGCTGGTTCCGTAATTCCTGTAACTCCGGCTGATTCAGGCGCCATTGCGTGCGGACTGTAGGCTGCGCGCCGGGCTCCAGCTCGATCTTGTGGTCCTGGGGTCGTTCGGGTGGCAGTCCACTTGGCAAGTCATCCGGGAAAATCTCAGGATATTCCCGAATAATTTTCACCAGTTCGTCCGGGACCGAAGCGCAAAGTTTGTTGATGTCGGTCGCCTCGTTCTGCTCCATCGATTTGGTAAGATGGACGGCGTATAAATCCGCTCCATTCTTGACCGCTCGTTTGAGGCACCCTGCGTTGACGCGTGTCGAGGTCGTTTCTGCTTCCGGCCACGTAGGAAATTTTCGCCAGCCTTTGTCGCACTTCACTGTACACTCGCCTGTTGTCCAATCGATCTGCGGGTTGAATCTCCGCAACCAATCGCGTCCCAATAGCACATCGTAGCCGTCGAGTGTTGTCGCCAGCATCGGCGCGCTGAAACCAAAATCTTCGCCACACTTCATTCGAACGACGGGTACCTTGTCGCGTATCGCCAGCGGGGTGCCATCCACAGATCGCAAGTCGATTTCGGGTAGACACCTCTCCAGCGTCAGGTGTAGTCGTCGTGCTGTCTCTCGATTTATCAGGCTGTGACTCGAACCTCCGTCGATGAATATTTTTATTTTTCTCCCGTTGAGTCGTCCCTCCGCCAGTACAGGGTGGTCCACTGGGTCATCCCCCTTATTCAGACGGGAGCGGTTGATAGCATGTATCGGAACCCCTACCCGGTGGGGATGGTGTTTTTCAGGCGATGAGGCAGGGTCAGTAGGGGGCCCGACCGCTACTGACGCTTGGCGTATCCCGACATGTCCTCGTCGTTCTTCTTTATCTGCTTCTTTCGGGGGCAATCGTGAGATTGGTGACCCGGCTGGTGGCAGTTGAAACATTGTCCCTTGCGAAAATCGTCCATGTGCTCCTTCGCCACTACGCTGTGAATCGTGGGCCGTGGATTCTGGCCACGAAAACGATTTCCCTCCCGGGAACCCGCTCTCGCATACGTCCGATGTGCGTCGAAATTGTCTGCGATCCGGACGGCTTCGTGAAACGTCGCCGGCAGTCGCAGCCGGACCTCGCATTTAATGTCTTGCTTCAAACCCGAAATGAATCGAGCTTTCTTCTCGGAGTCATGCATGTCGGTGATTTGATCGCATAACGCCATGAAGACCGACGCGTAATCCTGGACAGAACTCCACTGGCGCCAGTTGTCCAGCTTCCTGCGCGCGTTGTCCGAGACGGATATTGGCTCGAAACGTTCACGCAGAGCTGTACCCCACGCTTTCCACGTGCGAATCTTGGTCGATCCAAAAATCACGGTTGACCCTTGGGAGCAGACCCAAAGTTTCCGAAAAACCCTTGTGTGTCGCCTGCCGAAAACTCCCCCTCATGTAGAGTATATCGCCACCAATCTAGCGCAGGTCCCCGCAGTAGTGATACAGCCAGTCGAATTTTTAAATCGTCAGCAGTGATCCCAGCGGCGTTAAAATAAAGTTCCGCCGAAAATAACCAGCCCGTAACAGTAGTATTCTTATCGGTGGGGTTGAACGGGGGTGGCATTGTCGGTTTGATCGTCGCTGTCGTCACGATCGGCATAAACGTCGCTGCGGCTACAGTAGCGGCTACTTCTGACCGAGCGGCTGCTGCTGTCGCTGCTGCTGCTGCTTCGGCTGCTGCGCGTGCTGCCACGTCAGCTGCTGCGGCGGCTTCACTGTCCTTGCGCTCCTGTGACACCTCACGTGCGATTTCGTCCAAAACGGTTTCGACACGTCCGGTGCTAGCGACCTCCTCTTGGGCGGCAATTTTCTGACGCGAATCCTCTCGCGCCTGGCGTAACTCAGCAACTTCTGCACGAAGTTGCTCGTTGTCCTCTAGCACTGTAGCCATGCGTGTGTTCATGATGTTGAACTGCTCCCGAAGCTCGTTGAATTGAGCTTGGTCCATTTGGCGAATGCTCCGCCGGGGCATGGGGAATTCCGTCGTGTGCCTGTACTCAGGTAAGCGCAAACGCTATCGTAGTTGGGCGAATTAATCAGTCTAGCTCGCGAGCAACCGCTTTGCAGCTTACGTGAGGGACTTACCCCCCCCCCAAAAAATCAACTCACGAAAACGGGTGAGCGAGGAAAGTGGCTCTGAATACCATGTGTTATGAATGAACAAGCAGAGTAGCGCGGAAATGAATAACGAAGTGTTCACTCAATGAATATGACCATACAGAGAATGGCAAGCCAAGATATAGGAACACCAGAGCTAATCTAACCATGCGATGGGAAGGTTCGGGAAAGAGATTGAAGGGTCTCGAAGTGGCAAAGCGAGGCCCGGAGAACTCCCGAAGGTCGAACTAGAAGGTCTGGAGAAGCCGAGGCGGTTCTGTCAGAAGGTCTGGAACAGTCCCGAGGCTTCGGGTGTGTTCAAGCGTACGCGATAGCAGTACCGCTCGGTAAGGAATGGAAAATTCCTTACACTGTCAACGAAACGAGAGTTACAGATGTAAGTTTGTAACTCATTCAATTCTGATGTCCTAATCCATCCTAAACTATAACAAAAACCAGTTCGTGTATACACATGATCGGATTACAGACCTAGTACTGCAACAAAAAAATCACATCGTGTATACGTATAATAAAAACATAACCTTACATGAAAACCATCTTATTTTAAGCAAACGAATATTGCTGCCTACTTGTCTATGTGACTTGACCAAGCCTTCTGCCTTTCATAAGGGTCAATCCAAACCCTGTGAAGTTATAAAAATAATGACACGCCAAGATCTTCATTTCTTATCTCTTAGGACAATGGATTTGGAAATTGCAGGAAATATCAAACATCCTTGCCTACATTCGTGAAGTTCCTGGGCTGGTAATTCAGGTTTTCTCACGAAAAAGAACCCAACTTATCGAACTTGGTCATTTTGCTGAATTGAAGACATCAGAATTGAATGAGGTACAAACTTACATCTGTAACTCCCATTTCGCTGACAGTCTGACGAAATCACTCAGAAATCGGTCGCGCACAAAGGACGAGGCCACGCGCGACTGAACACTGTGCGAATCTTAACAGTAGGTCAGCGCGCGTGGAATTTTTGGCGGGAGTTTCAGCTTTCCAGCGGTTGTTTCATCTTTGTGACTGAACATGATAGCCTTGGCCCTGAGCGAGTGATGACTCCCGATAACCGTGTGACTAACCGTGATAGATCGCCACTAAAAGTGACTCTTCGTGATAGCCGAATGACTAAACGTGATACCACGCCTAGTGTTTGTGACCCCTCATATAAATGCCCATGTACGGACGGAATTGGCCAACGGGAAACCGAAGTGTAGCACCCAGTTACCGTTCCGACAACGCTGGCACCGTAATTCACAGCTCTCGGCCTTTTCAAAGCATTTATGGTGTTCGCTACTGCGAACATGAGAACACGAGACCACGAGTTCTTATTGAACAAGTCACATTGTACGACCGATAGTTCAAAATCACATGGTTGTTCTGCGAAGCAGTACACCAAGCGGGAGGCGCGCATGTAGCCATGGATCCCAAGCAGGACGGCATGGATCCAAAGCAGGGAGACGCAGTGAAGGAGAGCAGCGACCCTGTGATTGTATCGAAAGATATGGAGTGCCACGACCATGTGCTTGTATTGAAGCACGTGCCGGCGACCGTGAGCCAGGAGACGCTGGATCGCCTGCTGCAGCGGCTTGGAGCGACGGAAGTGATTACGAGGTGCGCCGAGCGGTCGGAAGCGGTTGAACGATTCACCCTATGGGTCAAGGTGCAAGCAAAGGGACTGTTGAGTCGAGTCAACCCTCCATCCCCTCCCCACCCCCCCTTCCCCCCCCCACCTCCCCCTCCTCCTCTCCCCTCCCCCCCTCCCCCCAGGAGCTAAGGTCTGGTGTATTTACTGTTGAAGGAGCAAAGTATCTGTTGATTGAGTCAAGTGGAAACCCTCCCCAGCATGTCACCTTCGTCCAACGTCCGTTCCTCTCCCCCCCGACACCAGGAGCAACAAGTGGTGTTTGCACTGCGGTTCAAGGAGCAGAGTGCCTGATGAGACCACCCAATAGTCTTTCCCCCAGCCTGTCCCTTTTCCCAGCCTATCCCTTTTCCCCCAGCCTGTCCCTTTTCCCAGCCTATCCCTTTTCCCCCAGCCAGTCCCTTTTCCCCCAGCCTGTCCCTTTTCCCCCATCCCCCCTCCCACGTTTCCCCTACCACGAGCAAGGGAGTGGTGTATGCACGGTTCAAGGAGCAGAGTGCTTGATGAGTCAACTTAATGGTTTTCCTCCTCACCTGTTCATTTTTCCCCATCCCCTCTCACGCTCTTCCCCCACCAGGAGCAAGGGCGTGGTGTATGCACGGTTTAAGGAGCAGAATGCAGCAGTCACAGCCAAGAAGCAATTGCACGGGTAGGATGCATGCAACAAACGTCTGTGTGCCTGCGTGTCAGCGTGCGTGTGAGCGTGTCAGGAGACCATAGTCGCAGCCATAGCCACAGCGAGCAAAGCCCACTTAACTTATTGTTTTTCGTTACAAGCTTCTGGAGAAGCTAAGAACTCGCAGCATCTTTTACAATACACTTGCTTTTCCCCCATCTCCCTCTCTCCCCAACAGCATTCGCATGGGCAGCAGCAACGTGTTATCAGCCCACTACTTCCCCCCGTCTCTTCCCGCAAACCAGACTGAACCGCACACCAAACCTATCAACCCTGCTGCTCCTGCTCCTGCTGCAGCAGCTGCTGCTGCTAATCCGGCAGCTGCCCGCGCTACTCAACAGCACGAACCACACACCGAGCCATCACCACCGTTACAATCACCTCCACCATCGTCCCACCAACCTCTCACAGACCCTTCACTTCACCGCCTCGTGCATGCGCTCCTGGCGTTCAGCGAGCAAGAGCAGCTGATTCCAAGGAACGAGGGCGCAGCAGGACAGGTGGCTTTTGAGAAGTCTCTAAAAGCACCTACACCACCAAGGAATGAGGGCGCAGCAGGGCGGGAGAGGCTGGTAGGGAGAGAGAGCGCGAGGGAACTTGGGCGAGAGGAAGGGATGGGAGGAGGACAGGAAGCGGCGAGGCAGCAGCAGAGGTCGGGTGCTGGAGGGAAGGACAGAGGGAAGGACAGAGGAAGGGCGAGAGGGGACGAGACAAGTCACGAGGCGCCATCTCGTATGCAGGGGGTGCTGGCAGAAAGGGAGGGCAGTTCAGAAGGAGGGGAGAGGGAGAGCAGTTTGGAAGAAGGGGGCCGTTATCCGTTTCCTCCCCCACTCTTTAGGTCCGTGCTGTACCCATAAACGCTTCCGCACACTTCATCCCCACGCCTCTTGATGCACTTGCAGCATGTGGTGCAACCTTTGTTTTGTGACTCCTGCGTTGTTCACAGGCGTGCCCTTCCACACCCACATCACCACCCCCCTCCCCACTCCCCCACCCTCACCCTTCCCAACTCCCCCCCCCCACCAGATATGCCTATCCACCTCCCTCTTCCGCCATCGTCATCAACATAGCTCTCGCACTCATTGCCACGCCCCGGCTCTACACACAGGTATGGTGGCGCTCCAACCCCCTATGCTACGACCCGGTGTGATGTCGCACTAGGTATGCGTGGCCGCGTCTATGATGATGTCACCACGATCAACATCGCACTCATTGCCACGCCCCGACGCTACATGCAGGTACGGTGCTACAACAACCCCCTATGCTACAACCCGGTGCGATCTCGCACGCACCATGTATGCCTTCCTGCCCGCCTCTACTGTCTGTCACCGTGATTTTGAGTCGACTCAAAAGCCGCCTCTACTGTCTGTCACCGTGATCACCATAGCTCTCGCACTCATCGCCACGCATCACTCATTGTCACGCATCACTCATTGCCACGCATCACTCATTGCCGCGCATCACTCATTGCCGCGCATCACTCATTGCCGCGCATCACTCATTGCCACGCATCACTCATTGCCGCGCATCACTCATTGCCGCGCATCACTCATTGCCGCGCATCACTCATTGCCGCGCATCACTCATTGCCGCGCATCACTCATTGCCGCGCATCACTCATTGCCGCGCATCACTCATTGCCGCGCATCACTCATTGCCGCGCATCACTCATTGCCGCCATCACTCATTGCCGCCACCGCCATCCTCATTGCCGCGCATCACTCATTGCCACGCATCACTCATTGCCGCGCATCACTCATTGCCACGCATCACTCATTGCCGCGCATCACTCATTGCCGCGCATCACTCATTGCCGCGCATCACTCATTGCCGCGCATCACTCATTGCCGCGCATCACTCATTGCCGCGCATCACTCATTGCCGCGCATCACTCATTGCCGCGCATCACTCATTGCCGCGCATCACTCATTGCCGCGCATCACTCATTGCCGCGCATCACTCAATGCCGCGCATCACTCATTGCCGCGCATCACTCAATGCCGCGCATCACTCATTGCCGCGCATCACTCAATGCCGCGCATCACTCATTGCCGCGCATCACTCATTGCCGCGCATCACTCATTGCCGCGCATCACTCATTGCCGCGCATCACTCATTGCCGCGCATCACTCATTGCCGCGCATCACTCATTGCCGCGCATCACTCATTGCCGCGCATCACTCATTGCCGCGCTTCACTCATTGCCGCGCATCACTCATTGCCGCGCATCACTCATTGCCGCGCATCACTCATTGCCGCGCATCACTCATTGCCGCGCATCACTCATTGCCGCGCATCACTCATTGCCGCGCATCACTCATTGCCGCGCATCACTCATTGCCACGCATCACTCATTGCCGCGCATCACTCATTGCCGCGCATCACTCATTGCCGCGCATCACTCATTGCCGCGCATCACTCATTGCCGCGCATCACTCAATGCCGCGCATCACTCATTGCCGCGCATCACTCAATGCCGCGCATCACTCATTGCCGCGCATCACTCAATGCCGCGCATCACTCATTGCCGCGCATCACTCATTGCCGCGCATCACTCATTGCCGCGCATCACTCATTGCCACGCATCAGCTCTACACAGAGGTGCGATGGGTCAACCTGTATGCCAGAACCAGGTGTGGTGCCACAACCAGGTGCGATGGGTCAACCTGTATGCCAGAACCAGGTGTGGTGCCACAACCAGGTGCGATGGGTCAACCTGTATGCCAGAACCAGGTGTGGTGCCACAACCAGGTGCGATGGGTCAACCTGTATGCTACGACCCGTAGGGTTACAAGACGATCATCCCCATTCGTGTCCTGAAGGGCTCAAGACCTCCCCTCATACTCATCCTCATCCTCATCCTTCCCCACCTCCCTTTCAATGGAACCTGCCCATCCTCATCATGCCTTCATGCATTCATGCATTCATGCATTCATGCCTTCATGCCTTCATGCAGTCATGCATTCATGCATTCATGCATTCATACATTCATGCCTTCATGCCTTCATGCATTCATGCCTTCATGCATTCATGCCTTCATGCATTCATGCATTCATGCCTTCATGCCTTCATGCATTCATGCATTCATGCCTTCATGCATTCATGCATTCATGCCTTCATGCATTCATGCATTCATGCATTCATGCCTTCATGCCTTCATGCATTCATGCATTCATGCATTCATGCCTTCATGCATTCATGCATTCATGCCTTCATGCATTCATGCATTCATGCTTTCATGCATTCATGCATTCATGCCTTCATGCATTCATGCCTTCATGCATTCATGCATTCATGCCTTCATGCCTTCATGCATTCATGCATTCATGCCTTCATGCATTCATGCATTCATGCCTTCATGCCTTCATGCATTCATGCATTCATGCCTTCATGCATTCATGCATTCATGCCTTCATGCATTCATGCATTCCTGCATTCATGCATTCATGCCTTCATGCATTCATGCATTCATGCCTTCATGCATTCATGCATTCATGCCTTCATGCATTCATGTGGCCATGCCTTCATGCCTTCAAGCGCTTTAAGCTCTCCCCTCTCTTGTCCCCGCCCCCCCCTTTTTCCCTTTCACCTCACCAAGGGCTGCTCCATTCAATGAACAAACAGAACCTGCCGCCCCAATTCAGCCCCGCCACGCTGCCTGCCCGCTTCCCATCGCAGTGCGGCAATCGCTATGATCCTTCCCCTCCCATCAAGCTCTCCTCCCTCTTACCAGGCACTCCTTCCTCCCAGCCAATGAACAAGATGAACCTGCCAGGCTGCCACCCACCGCCCAACCTGCTTCCAAGCACGTCAACCTCCCCTCCTCTTCCTCCCTGTCCCCTTCCCCCCTCTATTCCCCTTCCCCCCTTTACTCCCCTCCCCCCCCTTCTCTGGTACCCCGTCAGGTTCTCCACCTCATGAACAAGATGAGCCTGCCGGCCCCATTCCGCCCAGTCGTCCCCCCCTCCTCCTTGCAGCTGATGGCAGTCCAGCAGCCGCAACAACCCTTCCCATCCAGCGCTCCACCTGAGCCCATCCCACCAAGCCACCCGACCCATCTCCTGCAACCACGCCCATCCCACCAATCACCTCAGCTTGCCTCTCCTCCTGCTCCCCCCTCAACTTCCTGCCAAGACCCAACAACCGTCCCTCTTCACCCTCCTCACCCTCATCACCCATCCCACACACCGCAACCTCTTCATCCGCAGCCACCCCATTGGCACCCGCCCCAGCCACGACCATCCAATCTCCCTGCTCTCGCCCCCTTACCTCCCCATCCGTCGTTTGGCCAAAGACCCCCCTCCCTGGCACATCTGCCTCCCCATCCTCTTGCTTTCCGTCCCTCTACTCCCTTCCCTCGTGCACTCTCGCCTTTCCCTCTACCGCCGATGCACCACCCATTCACTCCCCCCCCTCTTGCCCCCACTCCCTCTCTTGCCGCCTTGCCACACACCTCCTCACCTACAGCGGCGTTAACTGCGTCACCCTCCACTCCCCTCCCCAGCGAAAGGCCCCTTGAGATGAAACCCTCAGAGCTCCTTAGAGCACCGTCGGCCCCAGCAACAGCAGCGTCCAGCCCAGCAGCAGCTGTCACTGCCTTGCCCACCGCTCCCTTCCCCAGGGCAACGCCCCTTGAGCCGCCTCAAGCAGCAGCGCCCAACCCAGCAGCAGCGTCCCACCCATCAGATACGAGTCTACGGGTGCGTGCCTTTGCGGCAACTCACGATCGTCGGTTAGATTCCAGAATGGGTGGTGGGGAAGATGGCAGCAGGGGTCCTGTGCGCCATAGCTGCAAAGGAAGAGAGGGTGGTGGAGTTACCAGGGGAAGGAGAGAGGGAGGAGAGGTGGAAGAGGAGGAGGAGGAAGAGGAGGGAGGGGAGGGGGGTGAGTGGGAGGAGGATGAGGGGGAGGAGCAGAGGTTGGAGAGGGCTGGAGTGAGAAAGGTAGTGGGAGGAAGTGGGAGAGGGGTAGGGGGAGCAGCGGCATTGGTGGTCAAGAAAAGAGTGCCTGTCTTGCAGGTAGAGTTTTTTTTTTTTTTGGAAATGGGCTCTTTTTTTGTGGAAAAGTTTATTTTTTTTTTCCCCTGCATAAGTTCTACATCTCGCAGGCAGGCGATGGCAGGGATTCACCACTCTCCATCGATATTTTCCTGCTTCTGGGATTTTCCAAAATTCAGTTGGTTTGTCCTGCTTCTAGGATTCTAGACCAACATACTGCTCGCTCCCTGCCCCTCTGCCGCCTGTCGATAACATTCTGCCTGTTTTCTTGTGTCCTCAGATCCAGCTGCGCCCAGAGAAGGCTTGATCTAGTCGACTCTGTCCAGACGGAATGGCTCAAAAGTCACCCCTACTCCTGCTCCCCCCTGCCCCTACGTCATAACATTCTGCCTGTTTTCTTGTGTCCTCAGATCCAGCTGCGCCCAGAGAAGAAGAAGCCCAGGAGAGGGAAGGAGCACGAGGGCAGCGCGGTTGAATGCAGCACTGTTGTGACAGACCGAGAGGCTATGTCGACAGGCGAAGAGGTTACCTTGACAGGCCTCAGTGCCCTGCTGACAGGCGGACAGAAGGAGAGTGGTGCAGTGGCGTTGCCTCAGGTGCAGCTGGTAGAGAGGGAGAAAGCGGCGCAAGTGGTGCAGGGAAATCGGGATACGGATGCGGCGGTAGAGGAGAGAGATGCGGGTGGGAAGGACAGGAGAGGTGTGGGAATGCAGGGTGGAGGAGCGAGAGTGGCGAAGGAGAGGGAGACATACAGACCGGTGGATGAAGGCAGAGAGAGGGAGGGAGGAAGAGGAGAGGGAGAAGGAGGAGGTATGGAGAAGGCGAGAGAGGAGGGGGGCGGTGGTAATGAGAGGGCTACTGTAGAGGAGTTGAGGAGACAACAGCTGATAGGGGAGCAGCTCCTGGAGTGTGTGGCTCATAAGGTGATCATGCAAAGGCAGGGTACTGGGTAGCTGTGTGCGGTGCTTTTGAGTCGACTCAAAAGCGGGCTACTGTAGAGGAGTTGAGGAGACAACAGCTGATAGGGGAGGATCTCCTGGAGTGTGCACCATATAAGGGAGTCTGTGGTTGTGCTCGGTGTAATTTGATAAGAGGTGTGTAGATTCGTCTCGATAAACCTGATTTTTCCGTTGAATTTCCATGTTTGTGAATGCATGCACGCATGTGTGCGTCTGTGTGTGTGCCTGGTGCATGCATGTGTGTGTGTGTGTGTGTGTGTGTGTGTGTGTGTGCGCGTGTGCATGTCCACGTGTGTGTGTGTGTGCGCATATCCACGTGTGTGTGTGTGTGTGCGCGCGCGCGCGCGCATGTCCACGTGTGTGTTTGTGCAGAATTACAAGAGGGGAGAGCCATCCCACACATTGTACATAAAGAACATTGCGAAGGCCACCACCACCAGCGACTTGATTCATATCTTCGGTCAGTCACCGTGATTGGTCCTGTCAGCCAATCCAGCCCACTTCGTTCCATCCACCATGCTAACGAAAATTCCATTTACTCTACAGTTCACCGCAGTGCGTACCTTTTTCTGATATGCGTCAGACTTCCCACCCTTATCACCTACTTCTACGCACACGAGCAAACTTACGTGTGTTTACCTGCCATGCATGCATTCTCCCCTTTTCTTCCCATCAACCCCTTCGTCCCTCCGTGCCTTCCTGGGGTTGTCAGGAGCATTTTTCCCTGGCGACTCTGACTGGAAGTCAAAGATAGGAATTCGGCTGATGCAGGTATTTTAGCCTATTGTGTAATGCACTCTTCTATTTCTTTTGTGTTCCCTCATTGACTCCCCTTGCCCGAATTCCTTGTCCTGTGCTTATGCTTCTAGTGGTATTTATCTTATTGTGGTATTTGTCTTATTGTGGTATTTATCTTACTGTGGTATTTATCTTACGGTACGTTTCTCCTACACTCGGTGCCTTCGTATGCTGTGCTGCTTGGATACCCCTTGATAGGAAGGTCGGATGAAGGGCCAAGCATTTGTCACACTTCCGACCCCAGAGCTCGCCACAGAAGCATTGGTAAGTCACACTTGTACTGGTAAGCATTTATATCTGTTTCTTAACTTCACATGTGCGAGTAAGCATCACGACGATATGCCATTGATACTCTGGACAACTCACAAAGGTCGCTGAAAGCAATGATTCTGATTTCCAAGTGTTTACACTTCCGTTTTTGTCGAATGCAATTTATTCTGAGCAGGAGGCCACTCTTGGACTTGTGTTGCATGGGAAACCAATAATTGTGCAATTTGGCCGAAAATCAGTGTAGATTTTTTTGGACGAAGACAATTGTAATGATTTACACAATGTCATTCTCGCACTAGTTACACAAAGTGCTTATCCATATTGCTTACCTGTATACTATCTTGTACATTAGGTGTACACAATTTTGGGTTGACGATAATAGCTTTCGTGAAACTACGAGGTTGTAACGAGTCTGAGACCCGCAACTCCGCACTTTCTCCCCGCAAATGGCGGCAGTAGCAGCAGTCGCAAGCCCCATCCGCACTCTAATTCTAACACCTAGATACATCCACTCACACTCATAACTAGCAGAACTGCTAGCCGCGGCTTCACACTTTATCCCACACCTCACCCTCGCTCCTCTCCCCCGCAAATGGCGGCGGTAGCAGCTGCAAACCCCTCGGCAGCGGCGGCAGTCCCGCCGGCAGCGCCGCCGGCGGAGGCGGCGGAGTGCGTGCGGCAGTTTCGGCTGGAGCGCGAAACTGAGCTGCGCGTGGAGGTGGAGTGGGACGCGCGGCTAACGGTGAAGCTTGTATCGGGGACGGCGGAGATCTTCGGGTCGGAGATCGCCGTCGGGCAGAGCGTCACTTTCGACGGCGGCGAGAAATTCGCGGTGGGTGGGTGGGCGGGCGAGGAGAGCGGGCAGAGAGTGAGTGGAGGGTGGGGGGAGGGTGGGGGGAGTGAGGGCGGAGGGTGAGAGAGCGGGCGGGTTTGCGGGTGGGAGAAATTGGCGGGGACGGGGAATCGAGAAGGGTGGATAGGGGAAGGGATCTCGGGGAGGGGGTTTCTGGTGATGGCCATATGCGGAGCGGAGATATCGCCCGTTTACCCATTTCCGCAATCCGCCCTCCTCCGTTCCGCCTCCCCCCATGTTCCTCTCTCTCTCCTCTCTCTCTCCTCCCTTTCTCCTCCCTTTCTCCTCCCTTTCTCCTCCCTTTCTCCTCCCTTTCTCCTCCCTTTCTCCTCCCTCTTCATTCACCCTCCTTCCAGACACAAGTGTATTTTTTAGAACTCTCAAAAATACCTTCCAGACACAAATGCTGTCTGCTTTTGAGTCGACTCAAAAGCTCCCTCCTCCTCCCCCTATCTCAAGTGTTCCTCTGACAAAAGTGCAATCTGGAGGCATAGAGGGTGTACGCCAACCCCCTCCCCCCCTCCCCCTCTCCCCCTCTCCCCCTCTCCCCCTCTCCCTCTCTCCCCCCCTCCCCCTCTCCCCCTCTCCCCCTCCCCCTCTCCCCCTCTCCCCCTCTCCCCCTCTCCCCTACCAGGTCTTCTCCTGGCACGGGTGCAGTCTGGAGGTGCGGGGATCGCCAACACTCCCGGAAGCCATGTATGCAGCTGACGAGGTAGGGGGTTGGGAGGTAGGGGATGGAGCATGGGTTGGGGTCGGAGGGGCAGGGCAACATAGGGGGAGCCGGCGCTGCCAGAAGCCACGTATGCAGCTTATGAGGTAGGGCGGGTGGGGGGAAGTGGTGTGGGTCTGTGGACGGGTGCGTGGAATTGCTGGGGTTGCCAACACTCCCGGAAGCCATGTATGCAGCTGACGAGGTAGGGGGGGGGAGGGGGGGAATGGGGCGCGGGCTGGGTGGGGTGTGTGTGAATGCTTCTGGAGGTGTGGGGGTCGCCAGTATGCACGCAGCTGACGAGGTAGGGGGTGAAAGGGGGGGGGATGGGGCATGTGTTGGGGGGGAAGGGTACTGGGGTAAGTAGGGGGAGGGGGTGTTGAGTATGTGTGTGTGTGTGTGTGTGTGTGTGTGTGTGTGTGTGTGTGTGTGTGTAGGTCCCCAACACTGCCTGAACCCATGTATACAGCTGACGAGGTGGGGGGGTGGGAGAGGGGCATGCCTGGTGATCGAGGGGGGGAAGGAGATGGTGGGGAGGGCGGGTTATTGACGAGATCGGCACTCACTGCCGGGTGTGAGGCAGGCCATTGTGGGGGGGGGGACTGGGGTTGTGGGGAGGGCGGGCTGGGTGGGGTTTATGTGTGCATGTGAACACCACTTAGTGCCATGGTACTTTACGTGGCAGCAACTTGTGTAAACGCTTTAAGTAAAAATAGAGCTTGCTCAAAAGGCTCCTTCGTGAAAAAAAATTGATGGTAGCCGGTTTCGGCTCGAGAGCCTTCTTCAGACCACAAAGAGAAAAGAGCAAACAGCTAGCCTAAATACCAATCCCAAGGACTCCTCGCGAGGCAGTCCTCTGCAGGATCTCGAGGATGGCAAGGGTAAAGAAAGATAAACGAACAGTAAAACATACTAGTGAAGTCTAACTCTAATGAGCAGAAATTATAAAGATTCCAACTCTCTTCGGCAATCTCCAAGCGAGAATGGTTCTTCTTGAAGTGAAAGTTCCGTGTGACATTGTAACGAGGTGACTTTTGAGTCGACTCAAAATGTTCCCCAGGCGTGAACGGTCAACCAGAGGGTTGAGCAGAAGTTTCAGCACCAGGGGCTGCGGTTCGCAGAAGATTGAATTGCAGAGGCGCGTTGAAGAAGTTCCCCATGGGCCACGGTTAGCGAAAGAGACTGACTTGAAGACCGGAAGTAAAAACTTCTCCGGATACCCACGGTTCGCACAATGCTCTAAGGCGAGCGAAGAAAAATTGTGCAGGGCATTGTGCGGGGGGATGGGGACTGGGGTTGTGGGGAGGGCGGGCTGGGTGCGGTTCATCTGTGCATGTGTGCATGTGTGCATGTGTGCATGTGTGCATGTGTGCATGTGTTCATGTGTGCATGTGTGCATATGTGCATGTATGCATGTGTGCATGTGTGCATGTGTGCATGTGTGCATGTGTGCATGTGTGCATGTATCCATGTGTGCATGTCTGCATGTCTGCATGTGTGCATGTGTGCATGTGTGCATGTGTGCATGTGTGCATATGTGCATGTATGCATGTGTGCATGTGTGCATGTGTGCTCGAGTGCACGTGTGCATGTGTGCATGTGTGCATGTGTGCATGTAAGCATGTGTGCATGTGTGCATGTGTGCATGTGTGCATGTGTGCATGTGTGCATGTGTACATGTGTGCATGTGTGCATGTGTGCATGTGTGCTCGAGTGCGCGTTAGCATGTGTGCATGTGTGCGTTTGTGTGTCTGGAAATGGCCAACACTTCTAGGAGGCAAGTGTGTGGCTGACGAGGTAGGCAACAGAGGGGGGGGGAGGGGGGAGGGCGGGGGGAGTGGGGACGGACTGGGAAGGAAGTGGGGTGGATGTGTGTGTGTGTCTGGACTCTGGAGGTAGCCAACCCTCCCAGAAGCCATTTATGCAGCGATTAGTCAGGAGTGTTAGTCGACTCAGGGATTTTAAATGCGAGGGGAGGCAGCCAGAAGCCTAAAGCGCGCCAAACAGCAACTCCTGGAGCCCTCCCCCCCCCCCTTCCCCCCGCTGTTCCCCCCTCCCCCCCCTCTCCCTACGTTGGAAAAAACGCGTTTGGCGTTTTAAACGCTAGCGTCTAAACGCTAGCGTTTAAACGCAAAACGCTTAGCCAGGAGTGGAGCAAACGCTAGGAAAACGCTGGCCCGGGCAGGGTTAAAAAAAAGTTCGGGCAGGGCAAAAAAACGGGCTTCGGGGGGAGGAAGGGGAAAGGCACTTTCATCCACCACCCCCATTAATAAAATATTAAAAGTTTCAGGGTACATTCACAAGCCAACCTAACATCCATTCATCACATCACACACACCTACCCCCTCTCCCATGCAACACAACCAGGATGCATCTTTCCCACAACCAGCCGCTGCGAGTACTCCACTTCATGCTCTGCAACACTATGCTGCGGGCAAACCCTAACACGAGCCTCCCCTGCCACCCCTGCCACCTCTTCCCCCCCCAGCCCCTCCCTACCCTCCCATCTCCAACTCCCTTGATCCTCAAAGCTCCACTAACAATACTCATCATCCAACTCTTTGCCCTCCCCCTCCTCCTCGACCACGTCCTCCTCATCCACCAACAAGTACCCCTCTGGAAGCGGGAGGTCAGGGATGTTCCCAGCCACAATCCCAAGTCCCTCATCCCTCTTGTGCCAGTTGCGCACAACCCCCCAGTTGTGCGCAATGTAAACCAGATCCTTCAGCTTCTCCGAGCCGAGCTTGTTGCGCCGAGCAGTGTGGACCGAATCCCACACTGCCCAGTTGCGCTCGCATGCAGAAGCAGACACCGGCTGAGTGAGGACACGGCAAGCAAGTTTGGCCAGCTCCGGGCAGTCGGTGCCGTGCCAGGTCCACCAATGCACCATGCAACCCTTCCCCTCCTTCACGGCCAATCGATCTCTAATGGCACCAGGCATGCCAAAGCTGCCCTCGAGTTTCAGGAAGGACATGAGTCCCTCCTGCAAGACGAGGGTGGCGCGCCTCTCCCCCACACCCTTCCTGGTAATGGTCTGTCCCTCGTAGTGGCGGGAGATGAAGTCTTTGAAGACTTTGGTGCACTCCACATCATCCAGGAAGATCTCTTCCACCTGGTTGCCCGGATTAAGGATCCGACCAACCACGTGGAGGGGGCAGGCAAGGCTGCCATCCCAGCGCGTCTTGACAAACTTGTTAATCTCCCTTTCCTCCCCCCTCGTCAACAGCTCCTGCCCATCCTCCCCCTCAAGCAGCTGCTTCACATCCACAGTCAGCTGCAGCATGTGATCATAGATTCTGCCCATCATCCCTTTCGCCGTGGAATCGGTTGCTCGCATTGCCATGAATGGCAACTTCATCAGCTTCACAAAGAAGGCAGCCGCCTTCCACCAAATCTTGTCCTCGAGGTGGGCTTGGAAGGCTTCCCCTGCACTCCTCCGCACCCCCGTTGCCCACAACTCCCACCCCTCGCTGTGCACCATCTGTAGCAGCGACAGTTTGACCTCACAAAGCCGAGACAATGCGATAAATTGTGTCCCGAACCTTGTTCCGGCCGGACGCACCACCTGCAAGCCCTTTCCGCCTTGCACCTCTGGACTCCTCAAGAATCCACGCGTCCAGTGATGCTTCCGAATGTAAGCGATGATTTCGCCGCCCCGCTCGACCACCCCCTTGGCCCAAGCCATCTTACCCACATCCTCCATGAGGAGGTCGAGCACGTGCGTGGCACACGGCACATGCTCGATGTGGGGCCACTCATTGAAGATCTCCTTGTAGGCGGCGGCGTAGTTGCTGCCCCCATCCATGCAGAGAGCAACTATGTTCTCCGCTCCGACTTTCTCCACTATCGGCCTTAGGATACTAGCGATGTACCCGCCTGTTTTTTTTTCCATCTTGCAATCCACGCTTTCCATAAAGACGGCGCCGCTGTCGTTGATCATCAAGACGTTGGCCTGCGGACGACCGCATCTGTCGGTCATCATGTCTGAGGCTATCGTCACTCCATGCACCCAGCTGGCCACAACCGGTCCCAGCGCCATCTCAATCCGCACGCGGCATTGCTGCAAGCCAGCGCCGCCGACGTTCTTGCGCTTAGGGGGGACATAGCCACTTCCTGCGAGGCCGATGCACTCCACGGCGTTGCGCCAGAGAGGGTGGTCCGCGAGGTGCTCCGGGAGGCGAAGGCCCGCGAACATGAGGCAGATTGCCTCGTCCGCAGCCTTCTTCGCATCCGCCTTCTCGTCGCCAAAGAAGTCGGTTATGCGGTTGCGCTTATGGCCGCTAACCGCTTCAATGGCGGCTACCTCGGCGGAGCGGATGTCTTCGGCCTCCTGAAGCCTAGCTTCGTAGTGAGTGCGGACCTCTTCAGCCACCTTCTTTGTTACCGCAGTTCAGAGTTTCACCTCACGGCGGCGCCCCCCCGTCCAATTCGTGAGATGCTGAGCCAAACGCCCCACGGATCCGCTAAACTTGTGGGTGCAAAACTTGCAGACGTACTGCTTACCGCGGGAGCTAGAAACTAAGGGCACTCTGAAGTGCTGGTAAACTATGTGCGTGCTATCTTCCTCAAATTGGGGAGAACTTGAGGCCTCACCTGAGGCAACATTAGTGTTGGTCGCCATTGAAATAGGAGTTTCGCCAGCGTCAGCCATAGCTTAGCATAAAAGAAATAAGGGGCTGGAAAAAACGAAACACGCTGTGATCTCGGGAAATGACGTGAGGAGTGAGATCCCGATCTGGGTTTAGCACAATGGTTGGAGTCTACGATGCCTCTCTGTTGAAGAGAGGGTTTGTAGAGACGTGGTTGGGTTGACTAGATAATTTGTGGTCTAGTGCGGTTGGGTGTTTTTCGGGGGTTGGGAGTTGGGAAGACATCTTGAGATTGCGAGGTGGCGAGTCATTCCGTTTTTCCCAGCGCGTCGCAAACTGGTTTCGAAAATTCAAAATTTCAGAATTTTTTTTGCGGGCAGCCCGCTCTTGCGTTTGCGCGTTTGCCTAGCGTTTGGGCGTTTGCGTTGGAACGCTAGCGTTCGAACGCAAAACGCTTGGCTGTTCGAGCGTTTTTTCCAACGTAGCCCTCTCCCTCTCCCCCCACTGCCCAGACCCCCATGGTGAGGTGAGCTACCTGAATCCGCACTCGATGCTGAAAGTCTGGCGAGTGTAGGAGTAGAGGCAGGTCAAAGAGCAATGTACTTTTGAGAATTCTATAAAATGTTATGCTTTGCGCCAACTTTTGAGTCGACTCAAAAGAAATCTCTATGCTTTGCGCCAACTCCATTCCCTTCCAACCGCTCCCGTTCCCCCCGCCCCCACTGCCCAGACCCCCACGGTGAGGTGAGCTACCTGAATCTGCACGCTGTGCTCAACGTGCGGCGAGTTGGAGGCAGCCAGAAGCCTGATGCACGCCGAGCAGCAACTGGCGGACCTGCCCCTGCCCACCCGCCCACCCCCGCTGGTTTTCCCTCTGCCCCCTTCCCCACATGCTCTCCCCCCACCATCCAGACGCCGATGGTGAGCTACCTGAATCTTCACGCAGTGCTGAACGTGCGGCGAGTGGAGGCAGCCAGAAGCGGCTAGAAGCCTGATGCGCCCCACCAAGCTGCCAGTATGCTTTCGATTTTCTTGGAGTATTGGAGCACACTAAACACCCTTCGAAGGAATAGGCCTGATGCGCCCCACCAAGCTGCCAGCTGGGTTAAAGAACCCCTCTCTCCCCTCCCCCCCCCCCCCCCCCCCCCCCCCCCTCTCTGCTCAGACGCCCATGGTGAGCTACCTCAACCTGCATGCAGTGCTCAATGTGCGACGAGTCGAGGCAGCTAGGAGCCTGATGCACGCCAAGCAGCGGCTGGCGCACCTGCAGCAGCAGCAACAGCAGCTGCAACAACATCAACAACAACAACACCAGCAGCAGCAGCAGCAGCACTATCAGCATCAGCTGCAGCTGTTGCAGCGGCAGAAGCAGCAACTGGAGCACAAGATCAACTCCCTCGTGCTCAACAAGGTACCTGCTGTTGCTCCAATCCTTCTTGTCTCCGCTCCTTCTAGTGTCTCCACTCCACCTGCTCTCACCCTTCCCACTCCCCTCTCTTTTCCCATTCAGGCGCCATTTAGGGATTGACTTGCCTGCCAGGGAACTGCTGATGGGTCCTACAGACCCTGGCAAGTCAACTCCAGCTCGCATGCTGCTCTGCTGGGCGGCCAGGCAGCAGTGGCACCGCACCACACCTACTCTTACATATCCATCCTATGCCCTGCTCCCTCTCTTTCCCCCCTCTCTCTCTCAGGTGCCCGGGGTTCTGCTGGTGGGTCCCACAGACTCCGGTAAATCAACCCTTGCCAGAATGCTGCTGTGTTGGGCGGCCAGGCAGCAGTGGCACGCACCCCACCTGTGTGGACCTGGACGCGGCCCACAGCAGTGTGACTGCACCTCCCCTTACCCTTCCCTCTCCTCTTCCATTTTCCCTCTCTCAGGTGCCCAAGGTATTGCTGGTGGGTCCCACAGACTCCGGTAAATCAACCCATGCCAGAATGCTGCTGTGTTGGGCGGCCAGGCAGCAGTGGCACGCACCCCACCTGTGTGGACCTGGACGCGGCCGACAGCAGTGTGACTGCACCTCCCCTTACCCTTCCCTCTCCTCTTCCATTTTCCCTCTCTCAGGTGCCCAGGGTATTGCTGGTGGGTCCCACAGACTCCGGTAAATCAACCCTTGCCAGGATGCTGCTCTGCTGGGCGGCCAGGCAGCTGTGGCACCCCACCTACGTGGACCTAGACGTGGCTCACAGCAGTGTGACTGTACCGGGGGCTGTGGCTGCCACCCCTGTAGAAGCACCTCTTGAAGTGAACGCCAAGAGCGTGGAGGAAGCACCATTGGTGCTATTTTACGGGCATACCAACCCCAGGTGAGGATCATGCCAAAGCAAAGATTGTGCCGGGGGCTGTGGCTACCACCCCTGTAGAAGCACCACTATAAGTGAATGTGAAGAGCTGAAGAAGCTCCCCTGGTGCTGCTGTACGGACATACCAACCCCAGGTAAGGGTGTGTGCTTTTGAGGCGCCTCAAAGGGTGTGTGCTTTTGACGCGCATGCACGTGCACTTTTGAGTCAACTCAAAAGTCACCTACTCAAAAGTCACCTACTCAAAACTCACCTACTCAAAACTCACCCACTCAAAACTCACCTACTCAAAACTCACCTACTCAAAAGTCACCTACTCAAGAGTCACCTACTCAAAAGTCACTTACTCAAAAGTCACCAAAGGGTGTGTGCAGTGTCTGAAGGGCAAGCGCATGCACGTGCATGCTGTGGCCCTCAGCAGTGTGACTGTACCGGGGGCTGTGGCTCCCAAACGCACCTCTGGAAGTGAACGCCAAGAGCGTGGAGGAAGTGCCTCTGGTGCTCTTCTACGGGCACACCAACTCCAGATAGGGTGGTTTTGGGAGAGGGAGAGGGGGGGAAGGGGGTAACTATATGTGCAAGAGCATGATAGCACATATAGTTACCTGGGATGCTTCCACTGGGGGGGGAAGGGGGTAACTATATGTGGTTTTGGGAGCATGATAGCACGCTTGCATGCTATGGAGTGACTGCCACGGTGCCACCCCAGTGGACGCATCGCTGGAAGTGAATGCAAAGAGCGTGGAGGAAGAGCCTCCGGTGCTCTTCGATGAGCATACCAACCCCAGGTACGGTGGTTGTGGGAGGGGGGAAAGGGGGGAGGAATATGTGGAAGAGCATGCTGGCATGCTGTGGCTGGCATCCTGGTAGGTAGGAGCACTGCTGCTTTTGAGTCGACTCAAGAGCACCGCTGCTTTTGAGTCGACTCAAATGCTGTGGCTAGCATCCTGGTAGGTAGGAGCACCGCTGGAGTTGAGCGTCAAGAGCGTGGAGGAGGCGCCCTTGGTGCTGCTGTATGGGCACACAATCCCCAGGTTAGCTCGAGGGGACGGTCAGGTCAGGTTGGTGTGTTAGAATATTCTCCCTTATTCTATTAGCCTACATCGTTTCATTGTCTTAGGTACTTATAAGCACCCCACTAGGGTGTATACACCCAAGTTGGGGGTTGGGTTCCCAACCTTGTTGGGTTCCCAAATTGGTTGGGCTCCCAATTATTGGAACCCCCAATAATCCCAACCAAGATTATTGGACCCACCAATAATCTTGGCTAGGATCATTGGACCCCCAATAAGTTGGCCAACTCAACTTATTGGGGTCACCAATAATCGTGGTCACCTCCCAACCAAAACCCCCCCCTCCCTCCTACTCCTCACCTATGTATACCCACGCTTTTCCTAATACAATCATCACTTGAGTTTCTCACATGGTTTCAGAGCTTATGGCTCACGCCTCTCCGTGGTTCGATCCCTAGCCACCTCGCGCCCAACGCGCCCCTCCCCGCGCCCTTAAGCGCCCCTCTCCGCGCCTTTAAGCGCCCCTTCCCGCGCCCATAAGCGCCCCTCCCCGCGCCCATAAGCGCCCCTCCCCGCGCCCATAAGCGCCCCTCCCCGCGCCCATAAGCGCCCCTCCCCGCGCCCTTAAGCGCCCCTCTCCGCGCCTTTAAGCGCCCCTTCCCGCGCCCATAAGCGCCCCTCCCCGCGCCCATAAGCGCCCCTCCCCGTGCCCTTAAGCGCCCCTCCTCGCGCCCTTAATCGCTACGTTTTCGCGCGGCGCTCTAGCCGCATTTCGACGCGGCGCTTCTGCCGCATTTCGACGCGGCGCTCGGCCGCATTTCGACGTGGCGCTCGGCCGCATTTCGACGAGGCGCTCGGTCGCATCTCGACGCGGCGCTCGGCTGCATTTCGACGCGGGCACTCGGTCACATTTCGGCGCGACGTTCCGCCGCAATTTGACGCGGCGCTCCCGCACCATCTTGACGCGGCCCTCCCGCCATATTTCGACACGCCGTCTCCTCCGCACTCCGTCGCCTCCTCCCCCTTTGTGCAGTCCCGGCGCCCCCGCCTAACAAGCGGGATTCGGCCGGGCTGACCTCTGTGCCGGCGTGCACCGCACGCAACTGCCCACAGCTGCCGATCGTCGCCATCTGCGCTGGCCGTCGCCTTTCGCGTCGGCGCCCGCCGAAGGTTGCGCTCCGCGCACCCGCCTTTTTCCTCCTCCTCCCCCCCCCTTCCTCCCTCCCTTCCTCTCCTCCTCCCCCCTTCCCTCCCTCCCTTCCTCTCCTCCTCCCCCTTCCTCCCTCCCTTCCTCTCCTCCTTCCCCACCAACAACAGCAGCCGCACCCCCCCCCCCCCCCCCCCCCAATCAGCCGCAGTCGCCGCATCAGCAGCCGCCGCCGCACCCTCCACCGCCCTCCACCTCCTCCCCACTCCCCTCATCAGCCGCAGCAGCCGCATCTCCCCCCTCCATCTCCTCCTCCTCCCCTTCCTCCCCCCACCAGCGGCAGCAGCCGCCTCATCTGCAGCAGCAGCCGTATTTCGCCCCCTCCCCTCCCTCCTCCTTCTCCCCTCTCCCCTCATCCCCAGCAGCAACAGCATCAGCACCCGCAATTCCACCATGACCACCGAAGCACTCGCCGTCGACATCTCCACCATCGACGTCCTCGAGCTCATCGACGACGCTGTCCCTGTCAACTGGGCTACCTTTGCCCAAAGCCTCACAAATGTCCTCGGATCCGCAATCATCAACGATTACTGCCTCCTCGACATTCTCCTTGGCACTGACGCAGGGCAGCCCCCAGAGCGTCCTGCTGATGTCTCCCCTGCACCTCCCGCCCCACCTCCACCCCCGTCGGGACCGGCCCCCACCAAGCCCTCCCCACTGGTGTACACCGATGACCCTGATCGATGGGCTCGCGTGCAGCACCAGTATAACAAGGACTTTGCGGAGTACACTCTCCTCCAGCACGCGTATGACGCAAAGCAAGCTGCGCACGACGCTGCCAACACACTTCTCCAGCAGCACAAGGGCGCCACGGCTAAGTATGCTGACGACTTTCGTGAGTACCGTCGTCGCCACTCTGCCTGGAACATTGCCAACCGCAAATGTCTCGCTATCCTGTCTGCATGCGTTCCTTCCTCCCTCAAACGCGAAATAACCCCCTCCTCTGCTCCCGAGTTTTGGAAAGAGCTATGTGCCACCTATGACCTCCAGGACACCAACTCTCTCCTAGCGCTCCACCGCGCCTTCCTCGACATCAACCTCGACTCCTGCCCCAACGCCCTCTCATTCACGCGCCGCCTCCTCACCACTGTCAAACGCCTTGCCGATCGTCGCTCTCCCCTTCCCGACTCGCTCATCGTTTGCCGCCTCCTCGACGGTCTCACACCCATGTACGAGGCCCGTCGCGTGGTGTTCAATGAGGTTCACGCCAGCTTCCCACCCAACTCCGCCTATGTAGCCGCATGGATTCTGAAAATTGAAGCGGAGCTTCTCCGCCAGTCTCCTCCGACGGCTCATGCTGCCCAAGCAAAAGGAGGACGTGGTGCTGGCCGTGGCGGTACTTCGGCAGGACGATCGGGTGGTGGACGTGGCGGGGGGCGCAGTGGAGGACGCGGGGGTAGCAGTGGTTCCAACAGCACCGGCGGCTTCTCCCCATGTCAGTATCTCATCCGCAACGGCCCCAACAAGGGTAAGCGCTGCCTCCAAACCACCCATGCCATCACCACATGTTTCAAGGCCCTCACTGATGAGTGGCTTGATCGAGGCAACACGGGCACGCCCCCTTGCTGGTCTGCTATCACTCCACCTCCCACTCCCTTTGATGTTCGTACCCTCCCCGCCTATCAGCCCTCCTCTACCTCTCTCCACCACATCCTCGCACAGCACCTCCCTCCACAGATCCTCCAGCAGGTCACGCCCTTCCTTCCGTCCCCGCAGCCGCAGCAGCCGCAGCAGATCCAGCAGCCGCAGCAGTCCCAGCAGCAGCCGCAGCAGCTCCTGCAGCAGCTCCTCCAGCAGCTGCAACAATCTCAGCAGCACCAGCAGTCTCAGCAGCAACCCTCCCCTCCCTCCGCCTGGAGCTCCGGCCTCTCTGCTCCTGCTCCTCTTGCGCAGGCCCCCACCGGACCTCCTGGCTTTACCCCATTTCCCTCTCCTGGCTTCATCAACCATGTTAGCCATGCTTCTCCTGCTATTCCTCCAATGTATCCCGAGTCTATTAATGAAACCTCCTTCCAGTACTCCGTGTCTCACCCCACCCCTCCTTCCATTGAGTTTGTCATTGACAGCGGCGCCAGTGTCACAGTCCTTCGTGACGCTGGTGCCCTCACCCCCTTCCCTAACCCCTCCACCATCATTGGAGCCGATTCTACTTTCTTGGTCACCTCCCGCCATACCTCCACTCTTCCCTGCCCCCTCTTCCCCTCAGGTTCAGTAACTGGCTTCCATGTCCCCTCCCTTCGCACTAACCTTGTCTCCCAAGGTGCACTTCAACGGGCCGGGGTCACAACAATCTACCCCGGCCACGCCACCCACTGCGACATGTTTCACTCCTCCACGGGTCATTTCATCGTCCGTGTTCCCATGTGTCCTCGCACTCGCATGTACACCCTTCACACTCCCCGTCCGTCAGCCTGTCACACTGCCTCCACCATCCCTCCCCTCCCCCTCCTCTCTTTCCTCCGCAACCTCCCCCCACCTCCCCTCCCGCCCCTCCTGCTCCCCCCCCATCTCAGTGCCATTGTCGTGATCTTACACATCCTGCCATCCTCCTCCACCACCGCCTAGGTCACCCCAACTTTGCCACCCTCCACAAGGCCGTCGCCTCCGGGCTCCTCAATGGCCTTCCCCTCACTCTCCCTCCACTACCTCTCTCCCCTGCCCCCCCTTGCACCATCTGTGTCCAGAGCAAGCTCAAGCAGCTTCCTCATAAAAGTCACCCTTCTTGCGCCCCAGAGCTCTTGGATCTTGTCCACATGGATCTCTGGGGCCCCAACCCCTCCCCCACCCGTCAAGGGCACCGCTACCTCCTCGTCCTGGTCGATGACCGCTCACGATACACCTCGGTCTCCCTCCTTCGCACGAAGGCCGAGGCACCGGCCTTCATCATTGCCTGGGCCGAGCAGGCGCGCACCCACTTCGGTCGTCCCGTTCGCCGCTTCCATTCCGATGGCGGCGGTGAATTCCTCAATCACCATCTCTCTTCCTATTTCTCCACCCATGGTATTCACCACACTTACACCCTCCCTCACTCCCCTCAGCAGAATGGCGTGGCAGAAGCTCGTGTTCGAGAAGTTACAAAGACCGCCAGGTGTCTTCTCGTTCACGCCTCCTGCCCGCCTTCTCTCTGGGGTTATGCTCTTCTCCACGCCGTCCTCCTCACTAACCTGTATCCCCACCCTCTCCTCCCCTCCACCACCCCCACCGAGCTGTGGACATCAACTAAACCCGACGTCTCCCCCCTGCGCGTTTGGGGTTCCAGGGCGTATGTTCTCATACACCCGGCCGACCGCTCACGCACAGCAGGGAAGCTCGCCTCCAAGAGTCTACCCTGTGTATTCTTTGGTCACAACACCTCCTCCCCTGACTACCTGTTCCTTCATCCCCCCTCAGGTCGCCTCATTCGTAGTCGGGACGTCATCTTTGACGAATCCTCCCCGTACTACACCTCTCCTACCTCACCTGACCCACTCACCATTCCTCCTCGCCCCTTTATCCCCTCTGACACTGTCACCCCCCCCTCCTCCCCCTCTCCCTCTTATTCCCCCACCCCCAGCACCTCCTCCTCCCGAATCTGCTCCCTCCTCATCTTCCTCAGGTGACATCCTTGACCCAGTACTCCCCCCTCTCCCTCTCACTCCGCTTCCGCTCCATCCTCCCCCTTCTCCCCACCTCCTCCCCCTCCACCTCCTTCCCCCCTCCTCCCCATCTCCCCCACCTCCTCCTCCACCCCCCAGGTGTCTTCTCCCCTTGTCCTTCGCCACCGCCCTCATACTCGGTCCATGGATCCCCTCTTTGGTCCGCCCTTAGCCCCTCCCTCCCCTCAAGCAAAGGCACCCGCTCCAGCACCCTCTGCCTCCACCTCTGCACCCGCCGCAGCAGCTCCCGCCGCCGCACCTGTGCCTGCCCCGGTCGCCGCACCCGCAGCGTCAAGATCCGCCGCAGCAGTGGCCCCGGTCAAGCAGCCGTGCAGCCGAGTCGCAGAGTCGCCGTGTCGCAGCCTCCCCCCTCAGCAGCGCAGCAGACTTGCAACACCACCCTCCCTTCCTCCTCCTTTCTCTCCCCTCCTCATCGAAGACTCCCATGGTGAATTTCTTCGCCTCCACCTCTTCTCCAACACCCAAGCAGTCGCCTTCAGCATGACCGGCGCCCCGGTACTTGTCTTCTCCGGCACGCCCATCATCTTCGAGCCGGGAGATTATCACAAAGCTATGACATGCCCCGACCACCCTCATTGGGGCAAGGCAGTCCTCAAAGAGAATGAGGCCTTTGTCCGCAACGGCACCTTCATCAACGTACCCCGCCCTCTCAACCACAACGTGGTCAAGGGCAAATGGGTATTTCGGGTCAAGCTCCTCCCTGGCGACGACCCGATCTATAAGGCCTGCTACTGCGCCAAAGGATTCACGCAGCGGTACGGCCATGACTTCCTTGACACCTACTCGCCGACCGCCACTCCCCCTGTCGTCCGCGTGTTCTTGGACTTCGTCGGCCGGCGCGGCATGATCCTGCACTCGATGGATGTCACCACGGCATTTCTCCAAGGTGAACTCCATGAGCGCATCTTCATGGAGCGTCCTGAGGGCTGGCACCTCCCTTTCCCTCCCAACACCGTTTGGGAACTTCGCCGCCCGGTCTATGGCCTCAAGCAAGCTCCTCGGGAATGGCATGCCAAGCTCTCGAGCACTCTCCGTGCTCTTGGTTTTCGCCCTTCCCAGGCTTCCTCCTGCCTCTTCCTGCGCACCTCCCCCTCCCCCTTCTACATCCTCGTCTACGTCGACGACATGCTTCTTGCCGCTGACAACGAAGCAGACCTACAACAGGTCAAGGATGAGCTGCAGAAGCGCCTCCTCTGCAAGGACCTGGGGGAGGTCCGCAACTACCTCGGGATGGAGATTTCTCGCGATCGTGCGGCCAGGACCATCTCCCTCTCTCAGGCATTCTACCTCGAGAAGGTCCTTGAACGCTTCGAGATGGCCACGGCCAAACCCGTCTCCACACCCCTCCAAGTCGGCCACCAGCTCTCGCCGACATCCACCCACGGTTCCTCCACCAGTCCTTACGCTGAGCTGGTCGGGTCCCTGATGTACGCCATGATGTGCACTCGCCCTGACCTCGCCTACCCTATCAGTGTCTTGGCGCGCTTTGTCGGTGCTGGCAAACACACTCCCGAGCACTGGCAAGCGGCCAAGCGCGTTCTCCGCTACATCAAAGGCACCAAGGACTATGTCCTCACCTTGGGTGGCCCCACCCCTCCTCAGCTCACCGGCTATAGCGACTCCTCTTGGGCAGATTCTCAGCCCGATCGTCGCAGCTCACAGTGGTATGGTTTCTCCCTCGGGAGCGGCCTCATTTCCTGGCGCTCCACCCGCTCCTCCTCGATCGCTCTCTCCTCCTGTGAAGCAGAGCTCTACGCCGTCACCATGGCGGCCCAGGAGGCGCGGTGGCTCAGCTTCCTCCTCGCTGAGCTGGATGCTCCCCAGCCCTGTCCCACCATCTGGTGCGACAATGCCAGTACTATCCACCTCACAAAGGAAGCCGTTTTCCATGGTCGCTCCAAACACATCGAGCTCCGACACTACTTCGTTCGTGAGCTCGTCCAGGCTGGACACCTCACCGTGCGCAAGATTGACTCTTCAGCCAACCTTGCAGACATCTTCACCAAGGCCCTCCCTCGTCGTCCCCATGCAGCTCTCCTTCGCCTTCTGGGTCTTGCCCCTCCCTCACAGGGGACTACCTGATTCAGGGGTTGCTTCTCCTCACCTTCCCAAGACTTATGGCACTCTGTAGACTAAGGGGTTGTGTTAGAATATTCTCCCTTATTCTATTAGCCTACATCGTTTCATTGTCTTAGGTACTTATAAGCACCCCACTAGGGTGTATACACTGTGGGGTTCCCAACCTTGTTGGGTTCCCAAATTGGTTGGGCTCCCAATTATTGGAACCCCCAATAATCCCAACCAAGATTATTGGACCCACCAATAATCTTGGCTAGGATCATTGGACCCCCAATAAGTTGGCCAACTCAACTTTTGGGGTCACCAATAATCGTGGTCACCTCCCAACCAAAACCCCCCCCTCCCTCCTACTCCTCACCTATGTATACCCACGCTTTTCGTAATACAATCATCACTTGAGTTTCTCACATGGTGCACGTCCATGCCGTGGCTCACACGTGAGGAGTCTATTTTTTAGGCGCCTCACGCATGGTGCATGTTCATGCCGTGGCTGGCGCATAGCACTGTGACGAGGTGACTTTTGAGGTGACTCGCGCATAGCACTGTGACGAGGTGACTTTTGAGTCGACTCAAAAGTCTGCCGTGGCTGGCGCATAGCACTGTGATGAGGTGACTTTTGAGTCGACTCAAAAGTCTGCCGTGGCTGGCGCATAGCACTGTGACGAGGTGACTTTTGAGTCGACTCAAAAGTCTGCCGTGGCTGGCGCATAGCACTGTGACGAGGTGACCTTTGAGTCGACTCAAAAGTCTGCCGTGGCTGGCGCATAGCACTGTGACGAGGTGACTTTTGAGTCGACTCAAAAGTCTGCCGTGGCTGGCGCATAGCACTGTGACGAGGTGACTTTTGAGTCGACTCAAAAGTCTGCCGTGGCTGGCGCATAGCACTGTGACTGCACCGTGTTTTGTTTTTGAGAATTCTCAAAAACAAAACATGCACTGTGACTGCGCCAGGGACTGTGTTGGATGCTACTCCAGTAGAAGCTCTGCTCAAAGTGGATGCCAAGAGCGTGGACGAGGCTCCCCTTGTGCTGCTCTATGGGCATACCAACCCCAGGTAGGTAGGGTTGTGAGGGGGGCGAGGGGGTGGGTGTGGAAGAAACTCGCGAGTGCATTCTTTGCGTGGGGTATTTTTTTTCCGGTATTTTTTTCCTCTTCCTCCGTCCCCCCTTCCTCACGCGTTCAGATCCCGTTTTTTTCCAACGGTACCAACCTTGATCTATACCGTGCTCTAGTGAATCAATATGAGAGCAATTTAAAGGCGTTTAAATACCGTGCTTTATGGTACCTCTCCCACCCACCTCTTCTCCCTGCCTCTTCCCCCCACCTCTTCCCCCCACCTCTTCCCCCGACCTCTTCCCCCCACCTCTTCCCCCCACCCTCTCCCGTCCTTTCCCCCCTACAGCGCCAGCCTTGATCTATACCGCGCTCTAATATCGCCAATATTCGAAGCAGCCAACAGCCGACGAGGGATTCCCCCTTCGAGTTCACTTAATTCCTTCCCTCCTCCCCCCCCCCCCCCCCCACCCACCCCACCTACAACCTTGATCTAGACCGGACACTAGTATCGTCGATATCAGAAGCAACCGATAGGCATCTAGGCATCTCTCTCGCACCCGCTTCTCTCCCCCCCCCAACCCCCTCACCTCTCCCTACTCCCTTGCTCTTCCCCCCTACAGCTCCAATCTTGATCTATACTGGGCACTAGTGAAATCAATATCAGTAGCAACCGACATGCGACTAGGCATCCCTCACCCACCCGCTTCTCTCCCCCCTAACCCCCCCCCCTTCCCCCCCTCTCTTTCTCTCTGTTCCTCTACAGTGCCAACCTTGACCTATATCGGGCACTAGTAACATCACTGGCAGAAGCAACCGACAGGCGACTAGGCATCCAACCGCTGAGCGAGGGGGGAGGTGGAGGGGAGGAGGGGGGAGGCGAGGGGGGGAGGGGAGGGGGAGGAGCAGGAGCAGGAGCAGGGAGAGAGACAGCAGGAGTTGGGGCGGCAGTGGGGGCGGTACCAGTGGAGGCAGCAGCAGCGGGAATCATAGCGAATAGCATGGGATGGGTGGATGGTGCTGGCTACCAGGTATGTTGATGGCGCTGGCTATCAGGTATGTTGATGGCGCTGGTTACCAGGTATGTTGATGGCGCTGGTTCCCAGGTACAGTGGTGCAGGTTCACTCGCCTTCGCTACTTTGACCGCCATTCCCCACGTTCTGTTGACTCCTCCGTTGCTATTCTTAAAAATTTTCAGCCCTCCCATTGTACGTTCCCCCTTTTTAACTACCCTTTGTTTCGCTTAATCTCAGGAACTTTTCTAGCCTGCTCATCCATATTCCATGACTTCTGACATATTCCTCTTGTTATCCTCCTTATTGTCTCTCTCTCTCCTCTCCTCCCCCTCCACGTCTCTCCCCGCCTCTAACTGCAGCTCTTGCTTCACTCTATTGACGCCCTGAGAGCCAACGTGGTTCCGTTCAATATCCTCTCCTTGTCCTCCTTATCGACTCTCTCGCCTATCCTCAATGTCTTTCTCCCCGCCTCTAACTGCAGCTGTTGCTCCACTCTATTGACGCCCTGAGAGCCAACGTGGTGTTAGTCTTGGGGCAGGTGCGTTTAACATTACCCACGTTTGTTTGTTTTTTTTTTTTTGAAAGGGGGCGCCGCCCTGCCCCCCTCGTTGCACCTCGTTACATGTTGTTGCACCTGTTTTTGGTTCTACTCATCTCGGCGTGCCCACCTGTTTGTCCATGTCAAAGTCAAAGTCACGCCTTCAATCGAATCCCTGCCTCATCTCGACTGGGGCGCTTGCCTTGGCTCTGTGTGATTTGAGTCCATGCTTTCCCCTCCCCCTTAGAGTGGCCTTAACGGTGCTTGGACGGCCAGCAGCAGCCATGAGGCAGCAGTGGAGGTGGTGAAGCTCGTCCAGTCACAACCACCACCTCCACGTCATCAGGGGGTCCGTCTCACTTCTTCTCCCTATCCCCTTCTCTCTCCCCCTTCCATTTCAGGAGCGTCTATACAGCATGCTGTCAGAGCATTATCGGACAAAAGCAGCAGCTGATAGTGCTGCCGGCTCTGCCAGCAGCAGCCATGCAGCAGCAGTGGAGGTGGTGAAGCTCGTGCGGTCAGGAGGCGCCGTTTCTCGCCCTTCCAAGTTTAGACAGCGCCTCAGACAAGCAGTCATCAAGGTAAGACAGGACTTCACTTTCTTTTTTAGTTATATGCTTTGAAGGGAATGGATTGCCATGCTGTGGTCGCCTTGCGCACGCACTGGCGTCTCCCAGCCTCTCTCTTTCATGCTTTTCCCGCTTTTTCCTGATGCGCCAGGCATACTTCTATGGGCCAGAGCGCCAGTTCTCCCCTCATTCGAGCACGGCTAGTTGGTCAGATTACACAGTGCTGAGGGTAGGCGGAGGGCCGCAGGCACCGTCATCAGCCTTGCCTATCGGAGCAGCCAGGGTTTCAGACCCGCTGCGCACTGCACCTGTGGTGCTGTCTCGGGAGTTGGAGCATCATGTGCTGGCGGTTTCACATGCCAAAGACGAGAAGGACGCTGTCACTGGGTGAGCTGTGTGAGAAGCCATAAAATTGTGTCATGCATTGCCTGGTTACTATCAGTTACAGCCATTGATTACATAGTGGTGCATCATCTCAGCAAGCATGCTGAGCCTTCTTGCTTGTGTTTGGTCTCACCTTTTCTTGGAGTGCAGGAGCATCGCTGGGTTCATCTGCATCACGCAAGTGGATCTTGCCAAGGGCAAGTTTATGTTCATAGCACCCAGCCCAGGGCCATTGCCAGGGAAAATTCTCCTCTTTGGCTCCCTTACCTGGGTGGAGTAGGGTGGGGTATGCTACAGGGTGAAGTGAAGGAGCTCGTGCATGCCAATGAAAACGTGATTCAACTGGAGTTGTAGTTTGTACAACTAAAATCACCGTGATTCTGATCTGACAAGTTTCAAATGTGTTCTCAACACATGATCTTCACATCCCTGTCGACCATGCAGAACTGTCATTGTGGATTGTAACAGATGTAAGCTAGTCCAAGCTTGGTCTTGGCTTCTTCCACACCAATTTGCACTGCTTCCCATCACCTTCGGCCCGTTCGTACGCTAAAACCTGCAATGAGAAATCAATTGTCAATGACTACGCTCAACACCAATCTAGGCTGGAAACAGTCAGTCATGCTTACTTCTCGTGCTCTCTTGTCACTCGGAGTCCAAGACAGGCGTGACTCCTCAGCTTTGCTAGAGAAGCTTCTTGCTTGATCTGATGCCTGCTGACCCTGCAGCTTACGCTTTAGCAGCACATGCCTCGGTATCTTGCTCTCCGTGTGCCGGAACTTTTGCAGAGACGCATCAGCTTCCTCTTGCCTTCTTCCGGTGTCATCTTGAAAGAGACCCATACAGACACGCTTGTTAGGGTTTCGATTTTGCTCCCTGGCACGACGCTGGGCGTAAGCTTGAGGAGGTGCTTGTGGAGAAGCCCATTTCTCCTGGTTTGGAGAGTGCTGTAACTGCTGATGGTGAGACTGATAGCGCTGGGAGCTCAGAGGGTGCTGCTGCTGCTGCTGCTGGTAGTAGCGAGAATGACTGGGTTGCTCCTGTTGAGGACTGTATCCTGATGGAATACGACCGTCATCAAACCTTGTCCCTGGCCCAGAATAACGGGGGAGCTGAGGGGGGGAGGACACAGAACCATACGGGTTTCCACGTGAACCGGCTGGTTGGGCTTCTGAATGGAAAGAAGAGCTGCCAGTGGTCCTATTATGTTGACCTGCTGATTGTCTTCTTGACATCCAGCCCTGCAAGGCAGATTTGACGCCACTTGCAGCTGAGGCGGCTTGAGAAGGCTCAGAATCTGATGCTCCTGCACCAGGAAAAAAACGGTACGAAAATCAGTACGGAGAAAATCTCTTGTACAACATCAGCATAGAGAAAGCGTAGGTTCTCTAGCTGAAGAAGAGAGAGACTTTACGACAACAGACAATGCAGCCAGCCCACCTGGAAAGTACGTGCTACTGGGAGGTGATGCCAAATGATGACCGTTTGGTAAATCGCTCATGCGCGCTTGAGACATGTGATTGCGGTAGTAATCTTCATCCGCTAGAAGCGAAGCTGCATCAGCTTGCTCAATCTCAAGTGCAGACGGGAAGCTCTGAACACCACGTGCTTCATCATAAAATGCATAACCATCCATAGCTGCACCTGCCGTGATCAAACGCCCCGGTGCTCCTGACCTGTCATATACCCCACGCTGCTGTGGCTGCTGCTGGGGCCTGTCCTGCAGGTCATGCTGTTGCCTGTACGTGCTCCATCCACCATCACGCTGGCCAGGATCGTCATCATCATCGCTCAATACCAAGGTTTCGGCATCTGGAGGTGATCTTGATCGCCTCCCAGATGGGAAACCGGTCCCTGAGTACGCAGCAGCAGCAGGGTCGGCATTGCGTTCATGACGTGAATCATACCTCACACCGTCAGATACAGGAGGCAAGCCTCTGTGGCGCCCTGGCATGGCAGAGTATGCACTTCTGAAATCATATCCTGCTTGTATCATGTCACTCGGGTGCATTGGCATGTTGCCTTCTGGTGGAGGTGAATTCCGTGAGCCCTGGACAGGCAGTTGGATGTAAGCCGGGCCTTGCTGTGCTGTCTTGTGTTCGCACTGAGCCTGGAACAAGCTGAGGGAGCGTGCTCGGAGGCCGCGAGGAACTGTTGCTGATGCTTGCTGCTCGTGATGCAGGCACATGAACACAGGCAGAGGTAACCCCGAAGTCATGATGATGTGAGCAGAGAGGGGGTTGAGGGATGGAAAGCGGCACAAGAAGGCCTCTTGAGGAGTCTCAGACTCAGGCAGGGGCGTACGGAAGGGCTGGGAACCTGATGGACCATCAGCAGAAGGGGAAGCTGAAGACAGCAGCTTGAGGATTAGGCTCTCGGTTGAGTCTTCAGATGATGAGAAGAAACATTGCACGTCCAGATCCAGAGCTGCTCCTCCAGCATAAAGGTCATCCACATTGCGCTTAATCTGTGTCAGATAGGCGGCAGTACCCTCAAACACCTGCCAGATGAGTAGCACACGTTAGTGACACAAACTTCCCAGTGAAACTGAACTGTCAGCGCTCTGGAGATTCTGTGACGCTTACCATGAAGCAGGACTGGTAAGCGAAACTGAGGGCCTTTAGATGGGTCTCCACAACAGCTTCCAAACACACGTTCATAAGCGAGCTTGACGGAAGCCCATCCATTGCAGCCAGTTTCTGGACGTCTGTCAGGCGCTGGTGGTTATAGATTATCAAACAACTTGAGGCCGTTAGCACAATCTCTGCTGGCGCTAGCAGGTCCCTTTCAAGTATCTGGAATGTATCAGGAAGAAAATTAGCATTTCTGTTAGAAAACACTAAGCTGTGACACGGGAGGAAAGCACAATAAACGCAGTACCTGAATGCCACTCTCCTCCAGCTGCAGGATCTTATCATACAGATGCCTTCTTTTGAGAACGATGGGGCCAAATTGCTCCCTGGTGTTGACTATGACAGTCCTCTTGTATTCCACAGCAGCCTTCTTCTGTTCTGGCATTGCCACTGGATGATGATGTGACAGATGACCCTCCTGCCTCCAGTCGTTCTGCTCTGCAGCGACCTCATGTGCTTCTGCAGCTGTATACGTAGGAGCATCCATTTCAGTTGGGGCAGAATGTCTTTGAGGTTCTGTTGCAAAGTCATTTCCATCATTGCAACCGTCGTCTGGTTCGCTGTCAAGGACAATAACTGCCGGAGGTTCTGGTTCCTCGTGCCTTCGCTCTACGTCTAAAGCCCTTTCAGCCGTGATTGGACGCAATCCGTTCCCAGATGGTATAGGCATGTCCTGCAGCATGCAACAACAAAAGAAGTGTGAGAGCATGTGATAATGGTGAGCAGGAGAGGCACACGCATAAATGTTACAAACCTTCATCTTTGTTTGTTGTGGCTCATCAGGGTCCTCCACAGCAAGAACGTGGAACTTTCCATTCACATAGATAATAGCGCTTAGATTTTGATCTTCCACAAGGTCACTGTAGACGATTACCACGTTGAACTTGCTTATTGGAAATGACGGCACCAAAAACCTGCATTACAATCAAAATCAGCCAATAACCAGTCATAGAAAACTAGGCCAAAGAAACAGAAAGAATCTACTTACCTGGGTGAGACCAGAAGACAGTCTGAAAACTCGAGTGCTTCGTTCACCTCCTGCTGCACAATCGTCCATTTCTCCTCTGGTACTGACTTCCCATCCAACCCAGTGAGCACTCCAGATCGTCCAAGCTGGAAGGGTTGGAACTGGCACGTTCCAAGCAGCTTGTACATGGTGAAAAACGCCATGTTCTCTGCGACAATCAGGACGTTAGTAGAACCCTTGGGATCCATTGATTGGCAGGTCTTCTTGTGGGATCGGAGGATAGAGGTCAGCATGGAGAGCTTTGGGTGATCCACCGTCGCACCACCCTCCACCAGTTCAAATGCAGACGCCAGCGCTTCTCTGCTCCTCTTGACAAGTGGTGCAAGGTGAGCAATCGATGCAGCTTCCAGTCCCTGCTCCAGGAACAGATGTGCAACGCGGATGCCATACTGCCAGCACAGCATTGCAGACTGGTGTAGCAGGTACAGGCATTTCAGTTGTTGCAGCACACGTTCCTGCACCAGCTGACCAGAATTCTGCCGAGACATTTCTTCCTTTATAGATTGGCTGACCTCCTGCTTCAGGCGAAAGGGCTTTACAGATGCCCTGACTTCCTGGTTCAGTGACCACAGCAACTTCTGATACTCTCCCTTGGCCAGATCCAGGATATCTTCAAGGTCCTGTGACATCTGCACTTTGTGGACATGTCGAACCGGTTCTTTCGAGAACTGACTAGCAGCAGCAGCAGCTGGAGGTGACTTAACGCCAATGGGTTGCACAGCACTGACATCCTGGACCTCCTTTTCAAGAGCTCTACCTGCATCACCTTCTCGGAAGCTGGCGTCTTCTGCAACTCGGCTTGGCTTGATCGCAACTGCAACCTCCTGAGGCGGGTCTTGCTGAAGGCTGCTTGCCTTCCCTTGCCTTGCATTCATGAAGAAATTGAGCTCGCTTGACATCTTCTGAACATGGCGTTGGAACCCAATCCGCTTGACCTCCTCCCTAGTTGCTGAACCTGGCATTGGCTCTTCATGCTCATGCTTCTTCAGCATAACAGAAGCAGCAGCAGAGGCTGCGGCAGTTGCACCACCACCACCAGCAGCAGCTGCTGCAGCAGCGACAGAGGCAGAAGTGGCGGCAGAAGCAGCAGCAGCAGATGGCAATGGCACGATTCGAGAACGAGGGAGGTCCACTGGTGAAACAGGAGGAGGTATCGCAGGTGATGGCTGAGGCTGAGGCTGAGACTGCGGCTGAGACTGGTGCTGAGATTGAGGCTGAGGTTGAGGTGAAGGCCTGAATTCAGCACGTGAAAGCGGTCCCTCAGGCTGAGTTGAAGTCTGAAGTTCAGCGTAAGAGAACTGAGGATGAGGCTGACTCGGCTGCTGTGCCGCAGCAGCAGCCTGAGAAGCACTTGGTGCTGGTGGAACCAACGATGCAACGGATGGAGAGGTCGAAACTGCATCCACCATCCGAACAAGAGCCGATGGCAACTCCATTCTTTTCTCACTCCCCAAAACCACTCGAGCAGGAGCATCATGGACCGTGTCCTGAATGAGAGAAAACAGTGAGCCAGGATGAAGAGACTCTGATTGGAGCTGCGGAACTTTCTGAAAGGATAGCTTGCCACCAGCGTTGGAGCGCTTGGATGAATTGCAAGACTTGAAATCCTGCGACAGATGCCAATCCAGATACAGGAAGTCTCTTGCACGCGAAGCCATTGTCGAATTCGCCTTCACAGACTCGCTCATTGATAAGAATGCACCGACAGATAGAACATTGCCATCCCCTTGCAAATCGTCCTGCTGTAGAAGTGGAACTGGCAGGGATCGAAGTCCACCACAGTCAAGTGTGAGCTGAGGAGCCACAACCAGCTCGTTAAAGCTCTTCATTGACACGCTCGTGGAGGGAAGTGCTTCAAGGCGAAGATTCTTCTCCTTGCAGACCAGCTCCATGGCCAGCTTCTCACCCATAGGTGACTGACTGAGTGACGGCAGTGGCACATCAAGCAGCGGGAGATCATTGCTCTTATCCAAATCATCAGCAGAAGTACTCGACTTCTCCAGAGCCTTGCAAAGTGTCTCACTGTATGTTGGCTTCACGTCATCAACGGCCATCCGACCTGGACCCAGCAGCGACATCATGTCTATGCGGCTGTTAAGAATGCCAGTCATGGCGTCGTCAGATGGCTTCATCAGGTCAATCTTCTTTATGAGTATGGACGGATCCGTCATGACATGACCGGGATTTATGGGATCGTCCAGGATGCAGGGAGGGTCCATCGGACAGAACTTGTCCATGGTGTGCCGCTTGTCGCGCTTTGAGCTCGTTGATGGCGTGCAGGTGGATTCCAATTCCAGCACAAACGCGACAGGGTTCTTGAGTGGTGCAGACTCCATCGCGATGGGGTCTGCATCCCTCTTCACAGGTCTGACGTTCTGCCAGTTGTTGAACAAATTAGCATTGAAAACAAGTGGACAGAACAACGCGGCCCTGAACGGAGGAAGCTTACCAATTTAGGAGGAAGACTGACGTTTTCCAGTGGCAAGGTTTCACGGCCAATTTCGTGGAAAATCTCCTCTCCGAGTTTCTGCCAGCGTCACCAAGTATGAGAATGCTACCAAGGAGACGTGATAAGTAGCGCGAGGCAAGAAGAAGCAAAAAGGACGGCAAGAGAGACCTGAAAATCAGTGTCCGGCATCAGAGGTTCTTCAAGAACGACAATCGAAGGAGTACCGAGCTCGCTGTCGTTCCTTTCGTCGCTTTCCAGGATTGATTCAACCGAGTTGAAGCTTGACATTTTCGATACGGCTTGCTTTTGAGGAAGAAATTGCGAAAGAATGGAAGCGGCTGCTGCTTTCGGAAGGATGCTGGCGGGGAGCTCGGAGGAATCGACGCCATGATTGAGGTTCTTGTTGTCATTCAGTAGAAGCTTAAACAATGCGACAGGAATTTCATCGTGTAGAGCAAATTCTTCGCCATCAACAATCTTAGGACACGGTAAAGTACGCCGATCCTGCTTCAATTGTTGCTTCATCGAGGCTAACGCGTAGTAGTCCACGTGATGCCAGCGTAACCGCATTATTGTTGATAACGAAGAATAAGGCGCTCCTAATACTCCACTATACCGTCTGGTGATTAGAGGTGATGAGCAAGTAAGCTGAGTTGATCAGGTGGAGCGACCCATGGTGTGGTGTGGGTGCGTGAAATTGTGAAAACCGGAAACACCGCAGACACAGTGCTCCTCTCAGAGTTAGTCGTGGAGGTGTGCCAGGCCATGCTAGTCCAGCTCGGGAATTCCAATCAAGATTCGACAAAGGGATGAGCCTGGATACGCGCCACACGCGAGGTCGTTGTTCGAAATCGTTTCCACCACTGCACAACGCCCTATTTTGAACTCATATCGTCATGTGTAACGAATCTCTAAGTGAAACGCTAAAACCTACAGCAAACCATGGGCCAGCATGCGGATCACGATGTGTTATGCAAATCCAAAGCTATGTACAATGTATGACGAGCTCACGAGAGTGAGCAAACGCACGCGCATCATCTCAAAACTCTCATATGGCGGTAGGAGAAACTGGTGAAAGCACGTATGAGCCGTGGGCAGACGAGAAAGATCCACATCTGCCCGATGCAGATGAAACCCTAATGCCAACCCATTGAATCCGTTCACTGGCAGGTTGGAAACAGCAGTTGCAAAAAAGAGCAACGACTTCCGCTGCTCGCCCGTAAGCGACTCCACAACTTCCCAGAACCATGAAACCTGTGGGTCGTTTTGGCAATATCCATGATATTTCGTGTGCGCCTGCCAATCAGACACTGCCACGTGGCGGTCCTCCCCATGGAGAAGCAGATTGAGGTCGTCACATGAAAGCGGGGCGAGCATAGCCGCCAAAGTTACGCCTTCAATAGAATCACCACCGTCCAAATCACCATCTGTATGGCCACAAGGGAGTCCATCACCACCACACCCACAGCCACCTGACTCACCACCACCACCACCACCAGGGCGCACTCTACCTGTACTACCTCCCTCCCTTCCGCCGCTTCCTCCAACTTCACATTACCCCCGCCCCCTCTCCCTAATATCTCCTCCATGCCTCTCCTCAGCGCCTCCCTTCCTCCTCCACCACCCCACACACTCGGAACTGCACCAGCCGCTGCACAAACTTCGCCACGTCATCCGCGCAGACCACTCTCTCGCCGCCACCTGGCACGAGCTCTGCCTCGATCGGCGGGCCCCCCATCGGATCCTCAACCGCAGCCACAAAGGTGAGACACAGTGCCTGCACTTCCCCTCCTCCTCCTTGTCCTGCACCTCCTCCTGCCTTACCAGCTACTCCTCCTCCTTCTCCTCCTCGTTTTTCTCTTCCTGCAGTCTCCTTTTCTGCCATAGCCAGCAGAGACCTACAGCTAGCAACCAGCTGTGGATCATCATCAGCAGCGTCGGCCAGAGAGGGCGAGCGAGAGGCGAGGAGGGCAAAGAGAGACCGAGACAGCTTCACCCCCAACGGAACCTGATGGGCCAACGCAAGAGCCAGGATACGCCCGGCGAACCGAAGGTACTCTTTAGCTTCGGCAGGGTTGGCTCGGGACGCCAGGGAGAGGGAATACCGGCTCGGGTCGTGAGGTACGGGTCGGAAGAGGCCCAGGTTTGGGTCGAAGAGGTGCGCCCGAACGAAGGCGAAGAACTCCCGAAGCACTCCCGGACCTGCCGCGCCACCCTCGCCTGTGAACCGGACGTCCAAGCCTCCGGTTCGGAGGGCTGTTGGGTCGGCAGAGAGGATCTGAACGAAGGCCTGGTGAAGGGCCAACGGACCCCGCTCTATCTGGGGGGATTGAATCGAAGGGGAGAGGGGAAGGGGGAAAATAGGGTGCTCATAGATCCTGAGACAGCGGTGGAAGGGCTGTTGGATCGGCAGAGAAAGCAAACACACACACTCACACGCACGCACGTGTGCACGGGCGTGCGCACACACCCACCCACCCACCCCTCCCTCTTCCCCCCTCCCCCCCCACACACACACAGACACACACACACAACACACACACACACACACACACATTCACACCCACTCGCCCACACATACTAACCCACCTGAATGAACTCCTTGTCACGGTAATCATCCCGAGGAGGCGGCAGGCACCACTGCACCCAGCTCCTCTTGCCCTCCACACTCAGCAGCTCACTCCCACTACTGCAATGAGCAGCGCTCACAGCATACTCCCAGCCCACCCACCCACCTGAATGAACTCCTTGTCTCGGTAATCATCCCGGGGAGGCGGCAGCACCACTGCACCCAGCTCCTCTTGCCCTCCACACTCAGCAGCTCACTCCCACTACTGCAATGAGCAGCGCTCACAGCATACTCCCAGCCCACCCACCCACCTGAATGAACTCCTTGTCTCGGTAATCATCCCGGGGAGGTGGCAAGCACCACTGCACCCAGCTCCTCTTGCCCTCCACACTCAGCAGCTCACTCCCACTACTGCAATGAGCAGCGCTCACAGCATACTCCCAGCCCACCCACCCACCTGAATGAACTCCTTGTCTCGGTAATCATCCCGGGGAGGTGGCAGCACCACTGCACCCAGCTCCTCTTGCCCTCCACACTCAGCAGCTCACTCCCACTACTGTCACTGCTGTCCCTGCTGTCCCTGCTCCCACTGCTGTCCCCCTTGCAATACGTGCAGCGACTGCCACTCCTGTCTCTGATACCATGTGCACAACCACCGCCAGTGCCACTGTCAAAGCCACTACTGGTGCTGCGAGTGCTGGTGTTACGGTAGCAGGAGCAGGAAGAAGGAAACGCCTGGCTTTTCAGCTGTAGCATCCATGCTAAAGGCATGGAGCTGCCGCCATGTATCAACTGGCCCTCCCAGGCTGTAAACGGCATGGCTCTGTGCTGAGACGTCTCAAGACTCAACACGCCCTCCCTGGCAGTACACGGCAAGCCCCTGTTCTTGCCATTCTTCCCTCCAGTCGGTGCGGTATGGGTGAGGGGACGAGTGGGGTTGAAGGAAGGGTGGAGAGAGGAGGAGGAGCATTGGGCAAGGGAGGCTGAGAAGAGAAGGCTGAGGGAGGGGCGGTGGTGGAGGGCGAAGGAGAGGAACTGATGGGAGAACGAGGAGTGGAGGGGAGAAGGCGGGAGAGGCGACATCAGCAGCTGCTTCCGTATCAGCCGCACGAGCACCACCAACATCACCACCGCACCATCACCATCTCTATCATTACTACCAATGGCGACACCAGCGCCAGCACCAGCACCAGCACCAGCACCAGCACCAGCACCAGCACCTGCACCAGCAGCACCACCAGCTCCACAAGCACCACGAGCACCAGCAGCAGCAGCATCAGCAGCAGCAGCAGCAGCAGCCAGGGAAGCCGAATGCAGCGCTCCAAGCAGTTGATTCAGCTGGTCAAACTGTGATTTATCCCGCAGGAGCTTCCCAGAAGCTTCGTCAGAAAGCGGGGGCTCAAAGGGCCAGGACAGCGAGAACCCGTGCGGTGGAATGCGGTGGGGTGGGAACATGGAGAGGATGCAGGTGTGGAGAGTGGTGAGAAGGGCGGAGCAGGAGGCGAGGAGAGGGGAGAAGTGGGTCAAAGAGGGAGGGTGTCGCGGGAAGAGAGGTAGGACGCCATGTGAATGGGAATGGAGAGGGGAGGGTCTCAGCAGAACCGTTCGTGATGCTACTGATGCTGCTGATGCTGGGGGAACAGCCCCTGTTTTCCGTACTGGTGATGATCCTGCTTCTGGCGCTGTTGCTACCGCTGCTGCTGCTGCTTTTGTTCCTTCTCCTGCTGCTGCTGCTGCTGTTGCTGTTCCTTCTGCTGCTCCATGTACTGCTGCGGCAGGTCGTGCTGCTGCAGGAGTTGCTGCTGCTGACACGCTACCAGTTACCACCTTCTGCCAACCAGAGGCGCTTGCTCTAGCGCCACCGGGCTGCGAAACAGGCCAATCAGGAGATGCCAAATCTGCTGCATGATGCATGGGATTTGCCACATCAGCACAGTGATGCGCTGGAACTTCCACGTCAGCAGCTGATCTTCCCGCCGAGCGAACCTGACTCCGTCTGGACTTGGAACCAGAGAACCTTCCACCACCTGATGGCACCTGAAAAGCACCTGAAGGCGTTTGAGGGCCACTTGAAGGTACTGCAAAAGCATCTGAAGGCAGCTGACCTGCATCCACAGCAGCCTTGTGCCTCTTTCTGCTTCTTCTGCGAGCTTTGGGAGAAGAAGGGACTCCGTCCGGCGCTCCATCCGGCACTCCATCCGGCACTGCATTAGAGGAAGAAGGGACTCCGTCTGGCACGGCAAACCCATCCCAGTCTGCTTCCCTTGGCCCCCTCCTTCCCCTCTCTACTTGTCTTACCAATGGCTGTGCAGGGGATAGTGATGGCAGTGGTGGCACTGCGGATGGCAATGATGGCACTGCCGATGGCAATGATGGCACTGCGGATGGCAATGATGGCACTGCGGATGGCAATGATGGCACTGCGGATGGCAATGATGGCTCTGCAGACGTTAATGATGGCACTCTAGGGTGCAATGATCGCCGAGCAGCCTGTCGTAATGACCCAGAATGCAGCAGTGATGATGATGATTGCGCAGCAGTTGCTTTTGCAGTTGGTACCAGCGGTGTAGCATGGTGCAACAGCGATGGCACAGAATATGGCTGCTGCTGGTGCTGCTGCTGCTGGTGCTGCTGCTGCTGGTGCTGCTGCTGCTGCTGCTGGTGCTGCTGCTGTGGTGACGGCTGCGGCGGCTGCGAGCAATGCCTTTGTTGCTGCTGTGATTCCAACGCTTGCTCTTTCATACTCAAGGAGACAGGCTTGGAGGGGAGTAGCAGCAGGAGGAAGAAAGCAGGCAGCCAGGAGGAGAGAACAGCAACGTCTGTCTCGGGGAGCGAGGAGGAGAGAGAGGAGAGAAGCGCACAGGCATCCTTGGTGGACATGCAAAAAGGGGCTGTCTCATGCAGTCTCTGCTGAGAATTCTCAAGACGCTCTTCCCCTAGTAGAATCTGGCCGTCGTCTGCTCTTACTCGCCCTATTCCTTCTGCTGCTTCTCCAACCCATGATGCCTCTGCTTCTACTTTTGCTGCTGAGCCTTCTAGCGTGGAAAAAGGTGGCGGTATGCCCGATGGCAGCATTACCAGTGCAGATTGAGAGTGGAAATTTTCAACAGCAGCTGTTGCGCGCTGCAGGCATTGAAGCAGCAGGAGGGAAAGCGACTCAACTGCAGCAGCTGCAGTGGTCGCAGCAGAAGCAGCAGCAGCGGAATCAGACCCACGTGCAGCAGTGGAATTACCAGCAACAGAAGCAGCAGCGGACAGAGCAGTAGCAGGAGAACAGGCAGCAGAAGCTGCACCAACAGCAGCGGCAGCACCAGCAGCATCAGCATCAACCATCGTGGCCTGCAGCGGCAGGAGCTGCTGGCAGCACTGCAGGGGGCCTAGTACAGAGGCGAGGCGGGCAAGAGCGTGCCGGCACCTGTCGAAGGCACAGCCCAGATGCGTCTGAGTGGCAAACAAAGGATGCGCTTGAGTGGTGGTAAGGAGAGGATGCGTCTGCTGAGTGGCTTGAGTAGACAACAGAGATTGCGTTTGAGGGGTGATTAGTTGATGGGGATGATGGGCCTTGGGTGAGGTTGAATAGTGGGGCGAATTTGCTGTGGCGGCCACAAGGCGGGAGGCGATGTGCAGGAGAAGCGGGACTAGGGAGTGCTGCAGCTGACGAGGGGGCGGGGGGGGGATGAGAGGAGGGGAGAAAGGGAAGGGAAAAGAGTTGTTGTGAGGAGTGGAAAGCGGATGGCAGCCACAAGCTGGGAGGCGATGTGCAGGAGAAGCACAACTAGGGAGTGCTGCAGCTGACGGGGGGGGCGGGCGGGGGGGGGAATGGGAGGAGGGGGGGATGGGAGGATGGGAGGAAGGTAAAGAAAGGGAGTTGTTTAGGAAGAGTGAAAAGCGGGTGGCACTGGCAGAAACAAGGCGGGAAGCGACGTGAGGGAGAGACGGGGCGATAAAACGTGTTGGAGCTGAAGGGGGGTGCAACAACCTTAAACAGACGAAGGCTGACCCCAGCAAGGCCAAAGGGAGGAAAATGTTGGAGGGGATCAGCAGAAGAATACCCTTTGGCAGCTGATAAGCAGCTGATCAGCAGGAGTTCAGATCCGCAGAAGATAAGATAAGCAGAAGATAAGCAGAAGATAAGCAGAAGATAAGCAGAAGATAAGCAGAAGATAAGCAGAAGATAAGCAGAAGATAAGCAGAAGATAAGATAAGCAGAAGACAAGCAGAAGATAAGCAGCAGAATACCTTGGCTTCTCTGGTGGAGGCAGGAGGTCTCGTGAGCACCCGAATGCATTCAGCACCACATTCGGCATCTTCTGCACACCCTGCAGCACCGCACTCCACCGTCATGGACCCTCCACCACTCCCTCTACTTGTGGGCTGCTCTGCTAGGAGCAGCGCAAGCAGAGCATCGGCAGGAGTCGGAGAGGACACAGAAGCAGCAGGAGCAGAAACAGCAGCGGACACGGCAGAACGAGCGGCAGTCGTAGGGGCAGATGGGTTAGGAGGACGGCTTCGTTTAGCCTGGCTCGGACTGCCATAGCCAGGGGTTACAAGAGCCAGGTTGGACGACCCAAAGAAGGCAGAAACGAGCAGCGGCAGTTGAGAGGGCTTGACGCGAGAAGAAGAGGCGACGAAGCGGGTGGTTGCCTGAATGATGGTGGCACGGAGTTGCCGAGCCTCCTAGGGGAGGAGGTAGAGAGTGGGGAGTGGGTGGGGAATGGGAAGGGGGTAAAGATGGGGAAGGGAAGTGGGCTTGACGCGAGACGAGGAGACTTTTGAGTCGACTCAAAAGTCACGACGAAGCGAGTGATTGCCTGGATGATGGTGGCGCGGAGTTGCCGTGCTTCCTGGGGGGGGGAGGTAGTGGGTGGGGAGGGGTAGAGGGTGGGGAGGGGTAGAGGGTGGGGAGTGGGGATTCCTGGAGACGGAGTGGGGCTTGAATGATGGCGACGTGCAGATGAAATTCCTGGAGGGGAGGTAGAGGAAAGGCGATGATCAAGCGAATACGCATATGTTAAAGTAGTCGGTGTTTGGCTCAAAGCACAGTGATAAAAGCCATCAAAGGACACGACGGCAGTGAGATACGTGTACTGAATGGGGAAAGGGGTGTACTGGCATGCTCGAGTGTTAGTACGCTCGTTTTTAGATGTCTCAAAACGAAATTCCTAACACACGGATATGGTCGATGAGAAGCACAAGCGTTGGAAGCGCAAGAAGCTGTACTTTGGGATTAAGCCTTAGTTCGGACGATGAACCGCCGGAATTCGGATTCAGGTGAGGAGACGCGGGAAGAAGCTTCCACGTAGGCTCGACGAAGTCTCTCAGAAGCATGGCTTGAGCCTGCCTTGCTGGCGAGGACGATGAGGGGGAGGGGGACGGGGAGGCGGTGGGGAAAGCGGAGGGGGAGGGGGAGGAAGCGGGGAAAGCGGAGGCGGGAACGGGAAGGAGGATGGCGGAACTGGGAGCGGCGGGTGAAGCGGAGGGTGAGGGGAGGGAGGTCGGGTTAGGAGACGACGAGGGAACGGGAAGGGGGGTGGACGAGCTGGGAGCAGCAGGTGAAGCGGGGGAGAGAAAGCGGTCGTCGGAATAGGTCTGATTTGCTCTAGGTTTGCCACTGGACGAGCGGACATCCCACATCCCGCGAGGCAAGAAGTTATGACCAGCCATGGTCACGAGAGGTGGAAACGGAGGAGGTAAGTCACACCACAGGGAGCCGGCAGCCTACCTTGCTGGAGATTGCATTGAGGGAAATTAATCTCTAGTAAATCTCCGCTGGAATTATAACACCAGGATTCAAGGATTCAGAATAAACACTCAACTCTAATGTGTTGATTGGCTTCAAGCGTAACTTTTCGTTGCGAAAGGCCTTGCGACGAATTGCTTGGTCAGACGAACTATAGGGTTCATGCCAGATCAGCGGAGGCAAGCGAGAGGAAAATTTCGCCAGTCCGTGCCCTCTTCAGTTCACGGTGAGTAATATCGAAGTTTTCGCCACACAGTTATTCGGTTATCGGAGGCGGCCTTCAGCGAGGCTGTGACTTTCCGCAGTGCGTGACGGAAGACAAAGCGAACACCGCCTGTTGACGAAAGCTGCTGTGCTGAGTTCGCTAACGACTCGTCAACATCCTCTCGCCAACGTCCACCAAAAAATGTTCCAGAGCGTTCCCCTCACCCTCCGGACATGGCCAACAATCAGCCCGCGCGAATTGGTTACGCCACACAGTTATTCGGTTATCGGAGGTGGCCATGAGCGAGGCTGTGACTTCCCGCAGTGCGCGCCCGAAAACAGAGCGAACCCCGCCTGTTGACGAAAACTGCTGTGCTGAGTTCGTTAACGACTCGTCAACATCCTCTCGCCAACGTCCATCTAAAAATGTTCCAGAGCGTTCCCCTCACCCTCCGGACATGGCCAACAATCAGCCCGCGCGAACTGGTTACGCAGCGCGCCCACGTTCAGCATTGCCAAAAACGCCAAGAACCGAGACCCCAAAACTGGGTGACCCAACAGTGTGACATGCGCGGCCTGCCGGCCTATTATATGCGAAGTTGTTTTGCGCATTCCTGGTTTTCGCCCAGGTTCCACATGGCAGCACTGCTCTGGTGCGCGTATTCTTGTTTGCCTTAGATTAGGCTAGCTAGCGCGTGAATTCTTCTCCTAGCTGGAAGCTAAGGCGCTCCTGCGGAAAGTGCAGAGTACCGTCACCGTGACGCTCATGCATTCTGCGTTCACTGCCATTGCCTCGGGTGATTCACGAGAAAATTGTTTCGAAATTAATCGTTCCACGCACCCACCTACCTTCACGGAACAGCGGCAGACGGGTTCGAACAGGTGACTCACCTCGGAGGGCCTCCTGCCTTCACCGAACCTCAGGTTCGATAGTGTCGCACAGTCGATAGTGTCGCACAGTCGATAGTGTCGCACAGTCGATAGTGTCGCACAGTCGATAGTGTCGCACAGTCGATAGTGTCGCACAGTCGATAGTGTCCCACAGTCGATAGTGTCGCACAGTCGATAGTGTCGCACAGTAGATAGTGTCGCACAGTCGATAGTCTCTAGACGCAAAGGAAGCCGCCGCCGATCGGCGTTTGAAGTCATCTCGCTAGAAGATACAGAACTCAATCTAGCTATCAACTGCATTGGCTCCGATCCCCCCCTCCGCCACCGCCGCCGCCGTCGCTGCCGCGGCGTCTCTTTCGCCCCAGGATGTTCCGCCCCGTCCCGGTACTACCAGACGGGTGTCATAGGGAGGGGAGGCGGAGATTAAGGGCGCTGGTGGCGTGCGCCGCGGCGCTGGTGGTGGCGGGGTGCGCGCTGATGGATGTGGCGGACGCGGGGGAGGGGCTGGGGCAGGGGCTGGGGAAGGGAACCAGGGCGCGAGCAGCGGGATTGGAGCGATGCGTGCCGCAAAACATCGCAGGTGGGCGGGGAAAGCAAGGGGCGGCCTTAGCAGTACCTTGTGGGGAGTGGTGGTGGGGGGGTGTTTGCTTCTCGACGTGGCGGTCGCGTGGCGGACACGTGGCTGGGGCTGGGAAAGGGTGGGGGGAGGGGGGGGGGAGGTGTGGGGGGAGAGGGGGGGAGCGATGCGTGCCGCTAGACATTGCAGGCGCATCGGTGGGGTTGTGCGTACAAGGGGCCCGTTCCTCCCTGCGTGGCGTGGCGTGGCGTGGCGTGGCGTGGCGTGGCGTGGCGTTCGCATCCAAACCTTGCATTGTCTTTTCCCGGCGCGTACACACATGCCCCCGGTATGATGGCATAGTACCGCAGTGCCATCATCACCAGCGGCAATGACTGGCACTGACAGCTGAGAAGTATGTGGCAGACGATGCGGATCGACGAGGGTAGACGAGGGTAGACGAGGGTAGACGAGGGTAGACGAGGGCTGACGAGGGCAGACGAGGGTAGACGAGGGTAGACGAGGGTAGACGAGGGCAGACGAGGGCAGACGAGGGCAGACGAGGGCAAACGAAGGCAGACGAGGGCAGACGAGGGCAGACGAGGGCAGACGAGGGCAAACGAAGGCAGACGAGGGCAGACGAGGGCAGACGAGGGCAGACGAGGGCAAACGAAGGCACACGAGGGCAGACGAGGGCAGACGAGGGCAGACGAGGGCAGACGAGGGCAGACGAGGGTAGACGAGGGCAAACGAAGGCAGACGAGGGTAGACGAGGGTAGACGAGGGCAGACAAGGGTAGACGAGGGTAGACGAGGGTAGACGAGGGTAGACGAGGGTAGGAGCCACCGTTGCAGTGCAGGTAGGTGAGTCCTGTGCGCCTCTCTTCCCCCTTCCCCTCTCCATCCACGCCGCAGTGCCCACTGGCAGGCATGAGAGCCCATGAGAAGGTGGGGCAGATGATGCACATAGACAAGGAGAGGCCACGGCACTTGATTATTCCTCTCCTCCCCTCCCCCTCTCCCCCCTCCCCCTCTCCCCCCTCCCCCTCTCCCCCCTCCGCCCCCCCCTGCAGTGCCGTCACTGGCGGACATGACAGTGGAGGAGAAGGTGGGGCAGATGATGCAGATAGACCAGCGGGCGCTGGGGCTGGGAGACAACATCACAGCGTACTACATCGGATCGGTTCTTAGGTGAGCCCTTCATAGGGGCGCTCATCTTGGATTCAAGCTCCAACCATTAAACCTCAAGCCTAACCCTGGTTACAGGTGAGCCCTTCTTAGGGGCCGCCTCTCCCTATCCGCCTCTCCCCATCCGCCTCTCCCTATCCGCCTCTCCCCATCCGCCTCTCCCCATCCGCCTCTCCCTATCCGCCTCTCCCCATCCGCCTCTCCCCATCCGCCTCTCCCTATCCGCCTCTCCCTATCCGCCTCTCCCTATTCGCCTCTCTGCCTTGTTTCGTTCTTCCCCCGTTTCGCCCTCAAGACCCAAGCCGTGTGGCGGTTATGACTAGTAGCGTTTACGCCAACGCTCTGCTTTTGAGTCGAGTCAAAGACAGTAGAACTGACAACTTTCTGGCCAGGACGCCCAGCTGCGCGCCCACCTGCTCCCATCCTCCCTGTCCTTCTCCCCCCATCCCCGGCCCGACTCCCGCTCCAGCCCCCCACTCTCTCCCCTCGCCCATTCACCAGTGGGGGGGGGGCGGCTGGCCCCAGTACGCCCCCCCCCAACACCCCGTGGACATGGGCAGACATGGATGACAACTTCGAGGCCAAGGCCCTGCAGCTCTGCTCTTGAGTCGACTCAAAGACTGAAAGTTATAACTGACAACTTTTGAGTCGACTCAAAGACTGAAAGCTATAACTGACAACTTTTGAGTCGACTCAAAGTCAGTATAGCCGTTCCTCTCGCCCCCATCCCCCCATTCACCAGTGGAGGAGGCGGCTGGCCTCAGTACGCCCCCAACACCCCGTCGGCATGGGCAGACATGGTCGACAACTTCCAGGCCAAGGCCCTGAGGACTCGCCTGCGCATCCCGCTGGTGTATGGCGCGGACGCAGTGCACGGGCACAACAACGTGCTTGGGGCGACTGTCTTTCCGCACCATGTGGGGCTGGGGGCCGCTGGGAACGCGACCCTGGTGGAAGAAGTAGCTGCCGCTGTAGCTAAGGTGAGAGGCATAGGCACTTGAACTCGGCCTTTCACTGCACCGTACTGCCACGTTTCCGCATTACTTGGGGCTGTTGTGAGAGGCTTAGGGACTCGTACCCCATCTGTGCCGAAACTGAGGTGGTCAGTCGCCGGGGTGGTCAGTCGCCGGGGTGGTCTGTCGCCGGGGTGGTCAGCCGCCGGGGTGGCCAGTCACCGGGGTGGTCTGTCGCCAAGGTGAGCTGTCGCTGCATCCCCTTCAACTTCTCCTCCTCTCTCCTCCCCCATTCCTTGGCATTAGAAGTAGCTGCCACTGGCATCAGTTGGACCATTTCCCTGCCTTGAAAGTCTGCCTAGACCACGCTGGGGCAGCTTTCAACACCCACCACCCTTCAACCTCCAGCCCTGTCTCGCTTGATGCTTGCACTGCAGGAAGTGGCAGCCACTGGCGTCAGGTGGACCTTCTCCCCCGCCGTCACTGTCTGCCTGGACCCCCGCTGGGGCCGCTGCTACGAGAGCTTTGGGGCGGATCCGGGGCTTGTAACGGAGATGGCTACAGCGGAGATAAGAGGCTGGATGGTGAGAGGAGAATGATGGGAGGGTGGGGGGGGAGGGGGAGGGTTCAGCGGGTGGTGGGGAAAGGGAGATGGTGAGGGTAAGCAAGCCTTTGAGCCCTGCCAAAAGGCTACTGGTGCTGTGCTAGCCGGTTTCCAGTCACTTTTGCTGGTGTCTTTCTACACATACAATATATGTACATATATAGATATATGTATATATGTACAGATATGTGTATATATTCAAGTTAGAAAGAGCCAACCGTCTCTCTCAGGCCAGTTGTATTCTTCCCCTGTCATGTGTCCTTTTTTCAACGTTGTTTATTTGTGCATCGATTCCCACAAAAGAGCCCCTCTTTATCCTATGGCCTTTTGAGGCGCCTCAAAAGCACTCTTATCCTATGGCCTCCCCACTCTCCTCCTCAGAAAGTGCCTTCCGATGCTGGCAACTTTCCAGGAAACGTCTTCATAGCTCCGACAGCCAAGCACTACTTGGGGGATGGTGGCACGCGGGGAGGCGTGGACCGGGGAGAGACGGTTGGAGGGGAGGCGGAGCTGAGGAAGGTGCATCTGCCACCATATGTGGCGGCTGTAGCAGAGGGGGTGTCTGCGATTATGGCCAGCTACAGCAGCTGGAATAGCAGCAAGATGCATGGCAACAGGTGAGCTGGGTGGGTGGGGTGGGTATGGCTTTTGTGGCGCCTCAAAAGTCGGAGTGGCAGCAAGGTGCACGGCAACAGGTGAGCTGGGTGGGTGGGGTGGGTATGGCTTTTGTGGCGCCTCAAAAGTCGGAATGGCAGCAAGGTGCACGGCAACAGGTGAGCTGGGTGGGTGGGGTGGGTATGGTTTTTGTGGCGCCTCAAAAGTCGGAGTGGCAGCAAGGTGCACGGCAATAGGTGAGCTGGGTGTGTGGGGGGCGGGTAAGCATGGAAGGAAGCTGCAAGGGGGGTTGTCGACATCAACTGAGTGGCAGCAGCTGGAATGGCAGCAAGATGCTCGGAAACAGATGAGCTGGGTGGGGGTTGGGTATGAATGACTTTTGAGGCGCCTCAAAGTTGGAACGGCAGCAAAATGCACGGCAGCAGGTGAGCTGGGTGTGTGGGGCGGGTGTGCATGGAAGCAAGCTGTAGGGGGGGGTTGTCGACAGCAGCTGGGTGGCAGCAAGTTGCCCGGCAGCTGCAAGCAGGCTTCTCTCTTGTACGTAGTGTGAGGTGGGGAGAGGAACGGAAAGATGCACATGCGTGGCGGGGCTGGGCGAGTGGGGAGATGCGTTTCGAACGACTTGAAAGTACATAGTGTGTGTGAGGTGGGTGGGGAGAGGAGCGGAAAGAGGCGAATGAGTGGCGGGCTGAGCGGGGAGATGCATGGAAACAGGCAGTCGCAGACGGGGTGCGCACAATTATGGCAGCAGCTCAAATGGCTTTAAGATGCACCGCAACAGGTGAGCTGGGTGTGCTTTTGAGTCGACTCAAAAGCACAATCATGGCAGCAGCTGGAATGGCTGCAAGACGCACCGCAACAGGTGAGCTGGGTGTGCTTTGAGGCTGGCACCTCAAAACCTTCTCTCGTCCTCCACCCCTTTCCCTATTCCTTTTCCCCCTTGACTCATTTTGCCAATCAGGTATCTCCTCACGGACGTGCTCCGCCAAGAGATGGGCTTTAAGGGCGTGCTGCTTTCCGACTGGGAGGCGCTTACGGAGCTTCCAGGAAGCTACGAGGACCAGGTAGGTAGTAGTTGGTCGGTTGCTTCCAGGAAGCTGCGAGGACCAGTTAGGTAGTAGTTGGTTGGATGATTCCAGGAAGCTGCGAGGACCAAGTAGGTAGTAGTTGGTCCGTTGCTTCTTCTTCAAAAAGTTTCGATGCTTCCCTTAAATTATTTACTATTACTATTCTATTGTTGCTGTTAGTGTTATGGCAACTGCACCCAGCAGAACGTGGTCCAGCTTCCTTTTCACAGATGCTACTACTATAATTAGTTCCTTTTCACTGAAAGCCGACCAACTCAGTGGGGTCCTATCAAGTCAACCCAGAAAAGTGTAGCCTCGCCTGTCTTCTCCTCCTCTGTCGCCACCTGTCTTTCTCCCCTTTCTCCGCCCTCCCCTTTCCTCTGTCCAGGTGGCCCTAGGGGTGAACGCCGGGCTCGACATGATCATGGTTCCCACCGATTTTGCCAACTTCTCCTCCACTCTCACGTCTCTAGTCGATTCTGGCCGCGTACCGATGTCGCGAATCGACGAGGCTGTTTCGCGCATTCTCTCTTTCAAACACTCCCTAGGTCTCTTTGATAAGGACCTAGTGTGTGCCCAGTCCTCCTCCCCCTACTCCTCCTCCTCCTCCTCCTCCTCCTCCTCCTCCTCCTCCTCCTCCTCCTCCTCCTCCTCCTCCTCCTCCTCCTCCTCCTCTTCCCTCTCCCTTCGCTTCCTCCCCTTTTTTGGCTGCCCGGAGCACCGCCAACTTGCCCGAAAAACTGTAGCTGCCTCGCTGGTGCTTCTGCAGGACACATGGAGGCGAGGAGGAAATGCAAGCGGGTACAACTCTGAGGTGTGGGGCCGGGGCAGGAAGAAAATGTTTCCGCTGCCCGTGGAAGGGGCGAGAATTGTGGTTGCGGGCAGCCACGCAGACGACATAGGGAGGCAATGCGGGGGCTGGACAATTACCTGGCAAGGGGGAGAGGGGCCAATAACCAACGGCACCACTATTTGGCAGGGAATTAAAGAGCTAGTTTCAAGCCGGGCAGCTAATCTTTCTTACATTGGATATCCACCTGAGGATGACCGTTACGAGAATGGTACGAGGATAAGGCCAATCGAAGTCACCCAGGAGGCAGCAGCAGCGTGGAGAAAGCGAGCTAAGGGTTTAGACGCCGACCTTGGGATTGTCGTGGTTGGAGAGCCGCCTTATGCCGAATACAAAGGGGATAACCAGCAGCTGGAGCTGACCGCCCCTGCCCGGTCTACTATACTGGGCATATGCAAGCGGATTCCGTGTGTTGTGGTGGTGGTTTCCGGGCGGCCGCTGAAAGTTACGGGGTTGTTACGGCATCTTGATGCGTTGGTAGCTGCGTGGTTACCAGGTTCAGAAGGTAGTGGGGTGGCCGACGTGTTATTTGACGAGACGGTGGATTTCAAGGGGAAGTTACCCTTGCCGTGGTTTCGTTCGGTCAGGGACTTGCAGCCGGACCACTCCCCTGGCCCTAACCCCCCTCTCTTCCCGATGGGCTTTGGTCTGAATAAGGTGGGTAATCTGACCGATATAGGGGGAGGAAAAGCAGCACCATCCCCACAACATGGCGCCCCCCTCCTCTCTCCCCCCCAGTCCCCCCTCTCTCCCCCGCAGCCCCCCCCCTCTCCCCCACAGTCCCCCCTCTCTCCCCCACACCCCCCCCTCTCTCCTCCACAGTCCCCCCTTGTCTCCCCAACGTCCCCCCCTTCTCTTCCCAACAGCCCCCCCCTCTCTCCCGGACTGCCTCCCCCTCTCTCCCCGACGGCGCCCCCCTCTCTTCCCGCTGCCCCCCTCTCTCTCCCGGACTGTCCCCTCCTCTCCCCCCGACTGTCCCCCCGTCTCTCCCCTATGGGTCCCCCCCCTCTCCCCGACTGCCCCCACCTCTCTCCCCGACGCCCCCCCCCCTCTCCCCGTCGGGCCCCCTCTGCTCCCGATGGGCTTTGGCCCGGATAGTAAACCTGCCAGAATAAAAAACCCTGCACTCGTGACACAGCTCGGGGTCTTATTTTCGGCATTGCTACTTTTCTATCACCCCCCCCTCTAAGTTATGGGTTTATATTAGACCCCTCCCCCACCCCACCCCCCAGTTTTTTTCTTTCTTCCTATATGTGGGTCTTGCAATTGGTTGTGCTTCCGTACTATAAGCCTGGATGTGTGACACGTGGGTCTTATACTGCCGTTATCCCCCACTGTTCTATCGTCTCTTATTTGGCCCAGTGTGTTGGGCATATTTTGTGTTCGGTATATCGTGTCGTGTGTTCAGCATATCGCGTGTTCGGGTTAATTGCCCAACATTCCGTTATGGACCCGTCCTTTTTCTTAGGAATTTAAAGTTCTTTCAACCTGAGTAATTTGCCCAGAGGTCACAAAATGCATCATACTTTAGACACCCACTACCGTAATCCCCCGTATATAACACCCGCCGAAATAGTCACTCCGCGGGTGGTTTATGCGGGGGAGAGCTTATGATAGGGTGAATTTAGGAGAGCACCCGCTTTTCGGGGGTTGCATTTTACATAACACCCTCCTCGTTTTATGCAGCAAAGAACAGTATTTCGTAGTTTTTCAAGCTCAGCTCGATTGAAAAAAAAAACGAACAGGATGAAAAACGCAATGTCAACTACCATTAGCAGCGAAAAAACGGGCAGAAACATCAACACAAGTTGCAGCGCGAAATGGAAATGTCAGCAAAGGTCAAGACTCGGGAGGATTTCGACCGTCGAATTCGCGGATTCTGTTGTGATTTGACGGTCAGAATCCTCCCGAGCGAAATCCTCCCGTCGAAGTCGCGGATTCTGTCGCGATCATGACGGTCGCAGGTGCCGCACAAACCTGGCCCTAACTATAGCACTCAGCAGGGATTGGCCAACGACGATTGGTTTGTGAGTTTCGTCGTAGCGGATGCTGTACCTCGCTAACAGTCGCTCCGCGCAGTTTGAACACACATGGCCTAAAACACTTGTTGGGCTGAGAAAAGCCCTTGGGATCTTTCCAGAGACTAAGTCCCAACTGTAAAGACTTGGGGTAGTGCAGCGGAAGTTGAGGCAGTTGAACCCTTGTACTAGTATGTGAGAACAAGTGATGATAAAAAGGCAAACATACAGCAATATATAGAAGATAAGAAACAGTTGTAGAGTACAGTTGCAGTAGCGGTTTATCGAGTCGTACAGCGACTCGATTGTCGCTTCGGTTACCATCCGTGCTGTTGTAACGGTCAGTCGCAACCTCCAGTTGCGACCCTTTGAGTCCCAAACCCTTCGTGTTCTTTGTCCGCCCCCTCGTGTAACCTCCGTTGACTCGCGTACCCCTTGCAATCTTCCTCGAGTGTAGTGTTACACTTCAGAAACGCTTAAGTCTTTTGATGTACTTTCAACACTCCCCTTCGTTTCTGGAGTGCTGACTTGTTCAGGTCCGATGACGTTTGTTTGTCCGGTCAGCAACATGCAGTAGTCGAATTTTGCTTTTGCCAATTTCTTCGTCAAATAGTCTGCGGCCATTTCTGTTGTCGGGCAGTAACTGAGTTGAAGTCTCCCTTTCGCGATTTCATCTTTGACGAAGAAGTACCGCAGGGCGATGTGTTTGGTTCGGTTGGCGAAGCCGTCCTTGTTTGCGATTTTGATAGCAGATTGGTTGTCGCAGAAGAGTGAGAAGGCGGGCAGGGTCGTGATCTTCGCTTCCTCGAGTAACTCTCGCAGGTAGAGTCCTTCCTTGGTCGCAGTACAAAGGGCGATGTACTCTGCTTCAGCCGAGGATAGTGCGATTAACTCCTGCTTGCTCGACTGCCAGGAGATAGTTCCGATGGGTTCTAGTCGGTAGATGTAGCCCGTCCTAGATCGTCGATTTTCCCTGTCTCCCGCGTGGTCGGCGTCGACGTATCCGAGTAGTTGTACGGACGGTGTTGTCGCTTTGCTGTAGGTAAGTCCGATCGTCGGTGTGGAGACGAAGTAGAGTAGTGCCCGGTTGAGTTCCTCGAGATCTTCCTGTTCCGGTTGCTTCAGATGCGTCGCTAGTTGACTCGCACTATAGGACAGGTCGGGTCGGCAGGTGACTGCTGCGAATAGTAGGCAACCGAGCTTCTGTTGATACTCCTGGATTTGCTTCGCGGGGAGTTTTGCGGAGGCGTTGTTGTTGTTTCCGTAGCGGTAGGGAGTCGGGACCGTAGTCGGCGTCAGTCCGAATTTCTTCGCGACAGTGCCTGCGTACTTTCCAGCGTGTAGGTAGAACGCCGAGTTGTCTTCAACGACATTTAGTCCCAAGTACTGGGTCACTGAGTCGGACACCGTGAGCGTCAGGTCCCCTTTCAGCTCCCCTTCGAACCAGGTGACGATGTCGGTGGTAGAACCGATGTAGAGCAGGTCGTCGACGTAGACTATGAGCAGAATGTAATCTCTTCCCTTCTGCAGTCGGTACATGCCTTGGTCATGTGGTAACTGTAGGAATCCGATTTTTACGAGCCGGCCGTGAAGGTGCTGCTGCCAGAGCCGTGGGGCTTGCTTGATCCCGTAAAGGGATTTTTCCAGCTGGCATACTTTTGAAGGGTCGTCGATGAATCCGTGGGGTTGTTCGACGAAGATTTCGGCGTCCACAGGTGCGTACAAGAAGGCGTTTGCGACGTCGATTTGCCGTAGTGGTAGTTTCTTCGTGGCCGCGACGGCGAGTAGGATGCGCAGGGAGGTGTGACGGGAGACTGGGGCGAAGGTCTCTGTGTAGTCGGTTCCGTATCGTTGGTCGAAGCCTCGTACGACCCATCGCGCTTTAAAACGTTCGATGGAGCCGTCCGCGTTGGTCTTAATGCGGTACACCCATTTTCCCGAGAGAATGTTCCTCCCGTTGGTGTTGGTTGTCGGTACTAACTTCCATGTATTCCGGTCTTGGAGGGCTTTTAACTCTTTTTCCATTGCTTCCTTCCATTCCGCCTTATGTTCCCCCCCCAGAGCCTGCGACAGGGTCGATGGCTCGCGCGGAGAAGGCGGCGGCGGGTGCTGGACGGAGACCCATAGTCCTAGGATCTGCAGTCCCATGGCTGTGTGTCGAGGGGAATTTTCATTCCCGGGATAAGCTGCTTCATCACCGTCTTCAGGATCGGGTAAGAAGTTTGGCCCGATGCGTTCGGAAATATTCGAGTCGACGGGGTGTGGTGTAGCGTAGCCTTGGTCAGCGAAGTGGTAAAAGGTGTCGAGGTTGTTTTTATCGAGGGGATTATCTTCATCGAGTGGAACAGGTACGGAGCAGTAGGGGAGTGGTCCGGCAGCCTCCGAGGCTCCAGGGACGTCTTCTTCTGCTGCGTCAGCCTCGGCAGCATGGTCAGCGAAGGAGCGAAGGCCCGCGAAGCCGTCGGTGGGGTCGTCTGAGTTGGCAATGTTGTCCAGGTAATGCTGCAGCGTCAGTCGCTCGTAGAAGATATAATCACGTGATGCCACCGTATTTTTGTCTTGTATGTCGAGAATCTTCCACGCGTGAAAATGTTTGGCGATGCCGAGGTGTAGTCCCCACCGAGCTCGTTGAGTGAAGCGTCCTGCTCGAGCTGTGTGGGGTCTGTATTGTACCATGCAGCCGAAAACTCGAAGTAATTTTGTGCTGCCCCTTTTTCCCGTCCACAGCAGGTGTGGTGATGCGTTGTTGGGGAGCGATGACGAGGACAACAGGTTGTGCAGGTGGACTGCATGTGTCATCGCGTCTGGCCACAGTGTGTTGGGCAGTTTCATTCCCAGGAGCAGCTTTCGCATTGTCGTCTGCAAGGTCCGGTTCATGCGTTCTGCGACCCCCTGCTGCTGGTGAGCGTATGG